GAGGGGGCCATTGGTGTGATTTTTTATTCAGAAATCATGGGGGGGGTCAGGTCCACCCTGACCCCCCCCTCTAAGTCCGCCACTGGTTCGACATTTCATCTATATCCCAGGGAATTTAGAAGGAAACCGAATGCCTAGGTCGATTTATCTGACGACAGCAGTGGCAGCAGTTCGGTTATTTAATAAATTATGTCTATTTGTTATTAAACCTCTTACTTTCTATATGTGATTGATGTCCAGTGACAAGTTTACTCTATCATTGTTGATATTGGAAGTCATTTTTGTACGCTGAGCTGGGTGCAGGAATGGCGCGCTGTTATTGCTTTGCAATTGTGTGTTATTATCGGGGATTGCGTCTGCGACGGGAAGATAAATAGGTTTGTAAAGAACAGAGCACAGACACTGAATGAGCAACGTATTGATCTTGGATGTCATTGGAGAAGAGCTACCTGGTACTTAAAGATTCTTATACTGCATTCCCACTGATTAAAACCCTCTCACAGATTTTAGATCGATCTATCCCCGTGGGGAGTCTCATTAGATTACTGTCAGCTTAGCCGGCTTAAGTGTCTGTCCCGCCTACTAAAAGCTGCAAGGGGGTAATTAACTACCGTGCGCGGTCGGCTGACAGCAATTTAGATTGAATCCCCAAGGAGTTAGGTCGATCCAGTTGGATTGATCTAAATATCTGGGAATGCGCTCTTAAAGACAGTCTTAGTTGACAGGAAACCGTTCTTCCTCTTACAGGCCTCTTGGGTCCAATTTCTGTGCACTTAGTTGAAGATATAATTGAATGGAACAGAATCACAGACAAACTATACCCGAGATTAAGAAATGCATGTCACTCAAGTCAATTTACAAAAAGGGCAATGTGCCAATTTTAGACTTAAATTGAATAGAGTCAAAGACAAAAATCAACCAAAGATCAAGGAATGGATGTCACATAAGTCGACTTCACAAAAAGGGCAACGTGCCAATTTAATAAGAAAACTTATACCCTTGTTATTAATCACGGAGTGGTTGGTGTGGAAATCCAGCGCTGTGGTTCAGATCGATCATTGCATTGTCTAGCCAGGACAGCCGTTTTCAGAGAATTTCACCTTACGTTAAAAGAAAAGGAAAGAGAAAAAAGACGGCCGTTCAGTGCTACAAATATAGAGAACAAGAGATAATGATTAGATAGGCTACTCCAAAGTGTATTGAGATCCTTGAGGACGATTTGAAAGTATGAGTGTTTCCCTGATGAGTCCCGCGTGTCCTTTTTAATGAACGTTTGAGGGTGTGGCGAGGAGGAAAGTGAAGTGAAAAAATGATTGCCAGTTAGTTTTACCGTTCCATCATACAAAACTAGGAAAAGATGGGGGGAAAGAACGTTCTCCTGCAGAGTTTTTTGCGAATCTGTCCCACTTTACAAGACTGAAAATTATATTCGTACATTATTGAAAGCCGTTTCCACCCATTTGTACAAAACACAGTTTCAAGCTACGGCGTATTCTGGCTGAAATAAAATTGTTCGCAATGGATCATTATTTAAATTCTTGTTCTTATTAGTTTTATTGTTTTGTTCAGCTTTACTTTGAGCCGAATTACGAATTGCCGATGAATCGTACCAAAACACAACACAAGATTTACAAAAAAAAGCCTTTGATTTCACTATAGAAATTTAAAAATAACGTATATCAGAAAGGCGTTAATAGCAAAGAGAGTATCATTGCTGTCTGTCTGTATGATTAATGATGCACCAATATTGTGTGTACTAAAATACTACAACCTAAGACGTGAAAATTCTAATCTTAAACGAAGAATTGTACACTAGGCATTCCGCTCTGGCTCAAGAGTTTTTCAAATTGTATGCTTTATGGACAATAAATTGGCGTTTGCGTGTATAAGATACATTATAAAACAATTCTAAGAAACTGAAAATGAGCACCGTTCCGATTACCTCAGATTCAGCGTATGACAATAACAGACACGTGGCGAAAATTGATCTATTATAACATGTTATTTGATGCAACTATCTGGTACATTTAATTTTCTTTGTATATTTGAAACAGCCATCATAACATGTTATTTGAAACATTATATTGTAAAGGATATATTTTATCAAGAACTCTTTGTCCTTCGTATTGCTCTAATAGCCAAAATCGGTAAATTGATCAAGAACAAACATTTAACATGACTGGATCTTTAAAAATTCTATGGCTAAATTTGTATCTTTAGGCGATAGGAACTCCTTCAAAGTAAATTATACGCCGGTATTTTTATGTAAACAAGTGTTACATGTATTTCATGCAATCCCCCTAGCAAACTTTATGGAAAGACTCTGACGTGAAAAAAAATTCCGCCGGGCCGTATACTAGCTGTTTCAAAAAAAACATCTTACTCACCTCGTAAAATAAAGATGTCAAATAAAAAGTCCGCCTATGGAGGAATAAAAATCAACTTGAGTGGATGAAAACTTTGAATAAATTGCCGCCAACCAACTGTGGTTTTCTGAGATGCCCCTCAGTTTTCTTTTCTCAAAAGACAGTGTTTCTGACAGTTATCAATTTTATATTTTGGTCGACGACTGCGCCCCAATTTCTGCTGCTGCTCCTCCTATTTCTTTGCTCCCTTGCTCTTGTCACATACGCAGACCCATCGCATACTGCTCCCCGTAGCGTTGATGTCATCTATTTATACTATTACGTCGCGGCCTTTCCTCAGCAGGCCCCAGAGTTCCAGGCGTTCATTACGACATGACTTGGTGAGGCAAAACAATATGAAATATTCCAGAAATTCGCACAGGTGTCAGGCCCATAGCCAACGATTTCAAAGAGGGTGTTGTTTTTCGGAGAAAAAAGGGGGACCTTTTACTGTGAAACCTTCGTGTACCTATCTAAAAATTTACCCAAAGGGGACATTTTCTCCGTAAAAAGGGCGGTTCGTGCGACTCCCCCAAACTCCCCTTGCCACGGACGTAGGATGTATTGCTTATAATTTCAATGGGACTCATTAAGCTTTTAATTTGCCTTTGCGACTTTGCCTATTTTAATCATTTTTATTATGAACCGTTTCTATTATTCCCGGTGCGGGAAACGTTTTTCATATGTGATCCCAATTTTTAAAAGGTCACAGTGCCGCCTTCTTTCTTTCCCAGCTCTTTAAAAAAAGAAAAGAAAAGATGATTAGTAAAAAAAAGCACGCGATAGGTGAATCTTTAGAGAGCATTCTTATTTTATCCACACAAATGATATCCCCGGGTCTGGGAGCCCCGGCTATAATATCGATCGAACAGCATTTAATAATTGGTGGGCTGATTAAACAACCCTTGAATAGGCTAACAGGCATATTCTAATCATGCAAATTTAGAAAAGTATGAAAATAAATTTTGAAGCAACATTAACGGCCTGAATACCCCCAAAAAGCCAAAGACTTAATGCGTAATCAAATAGTGATTTGGGAGTACACGCGAGATGGGCACCCACATGGATATTTAAGTAGCGTATAAAGCCTGCATTTGTCTATTTACATCGCGGTTATTAATGAAATTAATGAACACATCCCTGGAATATCGAATGGCTACATCTGCTAATGATGTGACTTCATTTTGATGTTATAGCGTGGCTCAAAATGTTCGTTTTGAAAAATACAAGTTTTAACTTGATAAGAAAACTAAAAACACACTTGATTGGCCTGCTTATTTGCATACAAATTTCAACTAAGGCATTCTCCGGTCTTGTTCACTTATTTTAGTAGTTAGGTTATTTAAATAACTGGCATTTTGGGTATAGTGTCGACACAATTGTTTCTCTCGGCCTATTATCTCGACCTGCTATCATATGATACTACATGTACGTGTATACCAATCGGGCGGTTAACAAACATACGTTCATTCTTGCAACTTGGGAATTTCAAGAAAATCTAAGATGGCCGCCAATTACAAAAAAAGTGCATGGGTTTAAAATGCTGCCAGCTCAATACAATGCCCATTATTAAATTCATTTTGTTTCTCATTGGAGAGATGGTTGTTGCAATACATAAAGTTAATGGCGCCACAGTCACACTTATTCTGATTCAAAGGAAACAACCAGAACCAGCTGGAATGAAGAATTTTTGAAATTCGCGCTACATTCAGAAAGAAATTTCTCTTATAATCACAATAAAAGTGAAATGAATTAAAAGGCTGTCAAAATAAAGATTCATTTTATATTCTTGGATATTAATGTATTTTAATTGCATTTTTTTTTTAATTTGAGTGCATTTCAGATAATCGGCCCCATACTTGTGGAAGGAGTTTGCGATTGGTGACTGCGCATGCGCACGACAGTCATTCATTTGTAAATGGTTGCGTGTTTGCCAAACAGGAATTGGACGAACTGGATGAGAATCATTATCAAACCCTAAGCATCATTCATAATATTGTTTTTTCTTTTCATTACTTATAAACTTACGTCGTAAGTTCAACTTAAAAGTACAATGTATTCTATACTGTATTGTTTCGCCAAATCTAATTTTCTTCAAGAAAAAGGCTATTTTCTCCAACTCACAAATCGTTGTTCGACCCGTCCCTGCAATTAGATTTAATGCTTTTTTCTGTTCCTTATTAATTAAATTGGGTCTTAACGATTCGTGATCAATTTAGATCGCTATGTCTTCATGGCATTTTAGAAGGAAATATTGACTTTTATTTGAGGAGTTTATGAATCGTTATGAATATCCGAATTGGAAATGATAAGTAAAGCTCTGTAGGATATTCAGACATAAAAAAAGACTTTAGGACACTCCAAACGCATAAAGCACATCTTAACACGAACACACGGTAACCTAATAAAATAGATAAAAGATTTCGTCGACACTTCTGCAATATTCATAGCGGCAGTATGTCCACAATAATGCTCTGGTGAATCAACGAGGTATTAAAGCAATTCCGGTCTATGAAGACCTTAAACTTAATTATAGAATTTAGCATAAATGACAACAAAAATTAGTCTTATTCATAAAAGATACTAGTGCATGTGTACGTTTAGATATAGATTTTATTATATATGACCTCCTGCAATACATTTCATAACAATTCAATTAGCAAGAATCTTGGCCAGATTGCTGAAAAGATTGTTAGTAGCGCCAGTACCTAGCGATTCAGCGACCCTTTTCTCAAAATGGCTGCAACAAGCATGCCAAATGGAGAACGTATGCTTTCATTACTTTTTAGACGTGATTTACTAGCAGAAAACAGTGTGTCTGTGATACTGAAGCATAATGTATTATTAGTCTTTAACGCTGGATTAAAATCTAATATGGCTGCTAATCCAATATGGCGTCCGCTATGGGACTTGGTTAGATCATTTCGATAAAATAGATACAACAATCTAAGAAGCGCCTTTGCGTCCATTTTAAGGTCTCACAAAAGTTACTATTGTGTTGACAATAGCACCAAAAATGACCATTTTTGTTTGCAATGGTCTGTTGTTATCCTTCACTTCAGCACACATTATTCAGCCACTTTTTTCCCTCCGTTCCCTTCCAGTGTGGCGGCCACGTTTTCATAATGGAAGGTCGCTTGCTGACCGTTTCATAATACTTCCCCAGCTCCGGGAAGGTCGGACGCAGTGCAAGGCCGAGACGCACCATAACGGCTAAGACGGGGAAGAAGATGCAGTCAGCCATTGTGAAGTCCTGGCCAGTCAAATAGTCACCTCCTGCCTGCAAGAAACATGCACTTAACTGATACACTGAACTGTCGACGTTATTATACACATGCGCGCTATATATACATTTAGATCATCTGCTTCTTCTAGATTAAAGGTCATTCTTGAAAATATCATCATTCTCTTATCAAGACTATAATGAGTAATTGTTAAATTGGTATCTGGTAAATCTGGTAACTAGTTATAAAAATACTACATGTATATTTGCTGAAAAACGTTAATTCATCTACAGTTGTTTTAATATATATTAGTGTTCTTTTATATAATTTAGATTGTTGTAACAACATTTGGTACGTTCAAGGAAGTGTATATCTATTGCCTTGGTGTGTTAGTTCGTCTTAACATACTAGTATACAAGTTGGTGCCAAATCGCCATAACATGTAGGCTACGGCTGAGAATATATAAATTCACATTTCAAAAGAATAACATCCCAAAAGAACATCATCATTCTACGAAATGACAGGAAAATGCACGTAATTTGTCAGTTATAAGATTGTAACCTAATTAAAACTGAAAGTTAAATTTTACTAGACATGACGATACAATATGTAACATCAAATAAGGCCACCTGTCCCATTAGGCATTTCACAAAACTAAGAAAATCGATGATTCTTAAAATTGAAAAGTAAAAAATTGATACGGATTCAATTAGTACATACTGCCTTCAGATAACCTTCCCAGAGAGCCAGTTCAGCTTTCAGTGATGCCTTTTTCTCTTTCATTTCTTCCTGAAAAAAAAAGACCTTTGAGTCATACAGTAACCTAGACACAGAACACAGATGTCTGTGTAAATTTAGAATATCGAATCATGATTTACAGGTAGAAAATGGACGCTATAACAGCACAGAGGCAGAAAACAGATTATGCATCGCTTGTTTTTCAAAAGGATATAGTTATGTCGTAAACGTGATTCATGTCCTACAAGAGCGTAGTTAATATATAGACTTCAGAAAAGAGTACATACCAGATATACAAACAATGACCATGACAGATGCTATATCTTCGCGAAACGATGACTTTATTGAAGAAGATTGGCAGCTTACTTATATCATTGTAACAAAATAAGAAAATATTATACCAAGATCATTGAATAAGTGGACTTCATGTATACCTTTATTTTCATATTTATATTGAGAATGTTTGTTACTTTTATTATATTTTTATCCTATTAAATAATGCGTTGAACTATGTACTCTGGGTCTGAAGGCCTGAAATATGAAATAAATGAATTTCAATCTTGAAAAAAAAAAGGTAAGAAAAAAGTAGAAGTATGGGAGCTGCATTAAACTGATAACCTGCATTTGGGAAACGTTAATATTTCTTTCAATAAGCAAACGGCTCTTCAAAATTTCGTTTCGTTTTATTGAAATGTTCAACTTGCGTCTGAAAAGACTTATTTATCAGGACAAGAAAGAAAGAGGGAGGTGAGAGAGGGAGGGGTAATTAAGGATTAAACAATTACGAGAGAGACAGAAAGAGATTTTGACCGTCTCGCCTGTCGTGCCTGTTACCTCATTCACGTGGCTTTTTATGTACAGATAACCCAGGTCTTCAAACCCTTTCTTCATGAATCTCGGGGCCTGAAGAGGGCAGAAAATAACAAACGTCAAAACATGCACCCCTGTATTTGCCCAAAGGGGGAAAGGGCGTTGCACAGAAATCTGACAAGTCTCATGAGATCGGGTATTACATAAGAAAATAAGCGCGGGGGACTTGTTCTGCTACCTTTTCAGCACCTGCCAGAAACCTTCATGAATGACGAAGCAATATTGGAACAAACCAAGGCCCGAAGGAACCCGTGCTTGCGTCTTTCAGATGGACCCATTCATGCCACAACGACGTGCACCATGTCTGGGGCCATCTGGAAGACACACGGACAGGCTCCTATTTGCCATGGTAGGAGCAGGTTTTTGTGGCCGAAGCTCACTTTGTATTTTCTCTAGGACCCACCAAACAAGTTTATGGGAGGTAGATCTCCTACCTCAACAGTTCTTTGCAGCACCTCGGCCTTTCTGGGGCCATCCGTGGGAATAAGCTGCACACCTGGCGACTTGTACGTGTCCTGCAAGATCACAGAAAAAGAGCTGCATCTCGCGTGTAACAGCACTCATGACAACATTTCAGAATTCAGTATCATGATTCGTTTAGAACCAACTTATTTAAACCATTTATTTTATTATTATCTAAAATTGTACAAAAACATAGAATCTAAGTGCAAAGGCGGGTCGAGCCGAGAATCATTAGTAAGAGAATAAAACTGCGTTTTTTTTTTCAAAGAAAATTGGATTGGAAACCAGTAGCCTATAGAATACACTATTTTAGGTAACATTCAATAAAGATATCTGCGTACCTCAAGAAACAAACAGATTGCCAGCGATTCACTGATGACGATGTCCCCTATAACAAACATTGGCACCTTAATATAAAATATACCATTATTAATTCAATATTACCAATCCATTCTAAAGTTTACGGTTTTGTGAAATATATGGGACACCGATAAGCGGGCACACGTGGAAATTAGGATAAGAATCTGAGTCTATATGCAGTCATACATGGTCGTACGCATAGGCCTACATGTACAAAGACCCACAAACAGGTCATTTGTACCACCTGCGGAACTCAACTAGATGCTGATTGAAGGAAATGTAAGAGACCTCTGATAGATTGGTAAAAATGCAAATGCTAGAAAACTTTACAAAGACCAAAAAATGTTTTCACATAAATCTCTCGGTGATCTCTGCCCACCCCAATGAGAAACCCATGCAGTAAATCACATTCGCTTTGTGAGCGGCATAGGGCCTAACCTCACCACGTGGATTCATCTTCATTATTTCTTCAGATTTGTTCTCGTTTTTATCGAAGGAGATCAGCTTGCTTTCGTAGTCTCTGATTCCTTTCTCCTCCAAAACCGCCATAACACACCAGCAAGGTGCGCATCCTGAGCCCCAGTACAGTTTCATCGATCTCCCGGCTGTTGCCAACGCCATTTTGTTTCTGTACTGTATTGACTGTTTGATGCGCCTCACATGCAGTACCAGAAAACGTTGATTTACCCGTATTCATTTTCTAGTTCAAGGGCAAAGTGTTATTGATATGAAAATAAAGCAAAATACGACACATATTCTAAGCGGTAAGGATAAGCAAGAGAGACGATTTCATTTCATCGCTGTTTAACCGCCGATTGAAGATAGCAGCGTGTTTTCCCAACTCGGTGAAGTTAAGTGACTCTTTCCTGATAGTTTTTGTATGTGTTTAATGTTGCATTTTCCAATAAGGTAAAATACGAACACATGCTACATAAAGTTTTTGTCGACGCTTCTGCAACATTCATAGCGGCAGTAATTGAAGAATAATACCCTGATGAATCAAAGACGTATTAAACCGATTAAGGTCTATGATGGCCTTACACTTAATTCTAGAAGTCAGTATGAATCACATAAAAAAGCCATAATCATAACAAATACTAGTACATGTGTACGTATACATGCTTCTTTATTATATATCAATACACGTAGTACACTTCATAACAGTTGGGTTTCAATTTGTAAGAAACTTGGACAGATTGCTCAAAAGCTTGACGCTTGCATTTTTTATAAATATAAAAAGGCAGCATCTAGTGAAATACGGTGAACATTTTTCTAGATGGCTGCCATGAGCATATCCAATGTTTTCAGAAGGCCTCCTTTTTAATTAGAAATTACTACTTTTTAATAGAAATTATTTACTTGAATAAAAGCAATGTGTCCGTGATGCTGAAGCATAATTTAGTCTGTAAAGTTGGATTGCAGTCTAATATGGCTGCTAATTCAAGATGGCACCCATTCTTACGTAATTTCAATTCACATATACTAGTAAACACCGTAGGGCTTGGTTAGACCATTTACAAATATTGGACGCGACAACCATACAAGACCTAATAAAAGTTACCATGGTATTGTAAATAGCACCAGAAATGACCGTTTTTGTTTGCTATGGGCTGTTGTTATCCTTGACGTTAGCACACATCATTCAGCCACTTCTTTCCCTCGGTTCCCTTCCAGTGTGGCGGCCACGTTTTCATAATGGAAGGTCGCTTGCTGACCGTGTCATAATACTTCCCCAGCTCCGGGAAGGTCGGACGCAGAGCAAGGCCGAGACGCACCATAACGGCTAAGACGGGGAAGAAGATGCAGTCGGCCATTGTAAAGTCCTGGCCAGTCAAATAGTCACCTCCTGCCTGCAAGAAACATGCACTTAACTGATAGACTGAATTATTGCCGCTATTGTACACGTGTGTGCTACATATACACGTAAATCACCTGCTTATTCTATAATATAGGCCATTTTTGAAAATATCACCATTCACTTATCAATCTGTTCAGACTATATATCGAGTAATTGTAAAGTGGTAAGTGGTTATAATATTACTACACGGATATTTGCGAAAAACGTCAATTCATCTAAAATTGTTCTCATATATAATTGTTGTGTTATATTCAACATTGCCGAATTCAATACTTTAAAAGATATGGATATCTATTTCCTTGGTGTGTTAGTTCGTCTTTATGTATTAATATACAAGTTGATACCAACAACGATAATGTCCTGCCGAGAATAGACAAAATTCTTATTTCAAAAGAATAAAATCCCAAACAACATCATCATTCTACGAAATGAGAGGAAAGTGCACGCAAATTGTCAATTATATAATTGTAACCGAATTTAAACTGAAAGTTGAATTTAGCTGACAGGACGATATAAAACATAATGTAACACCAAAAAACAAGCCACCTATCCCTTTAGGTATTTCACGAAACTAAGAAAATCGATGTTTCTCAAAATTGAAAAGTAAAAAATTGATACGGATTCAATTAGTACATACTGCCTTCAGATAACCTTCCCACAGAGCCAGTTCAGCTTTCAGTGATGTCTTTTTCTCTTTCATTTCTTCCTGAAAAAAAGGCGATAAGAAAAAAAGTAGAAGTATAGGAGTTGCATTAAACTGACTGATAACTTGCATTTGGGAAAAGTTAATATTTCTTTCAATAAGCAAATGGCTCTTCATAATTTCGTTTCGTTTTATTGAAATGTTCAACTTGCATCTGAAAAGACATTTATCGGGGCAAGAGAGAAAGACGGAGGAGAGAGAGAGAGTGCGGGGTTATAAAGGATTAAACAAATTACGAGAGAGAGAGAGAGACTCAAATTCTTTTGGCAGTCTCTCCTCTTACCTCATTCACGTCGCCCTCCATGTACAGATAACCCAGGTCTTCAAGTCCTCTCTTCATGAACCCCGGGACCTGTAGAGGTCAGAAAATAACAAACATCAAAATAATGCACCCCTTGATTATTATTATTATTATTATTATTATTATTATTATATGTGCCCAAATAAGGCTAGAAGGCGTTGCTTTTAAATATGACGAAGTCTTTTGATATCGGTAATAACATGAAAATAAGCGCGGGGAAGGTGTTCTGCTACCTTTTAGTACCTGCAGGAAACCTTCATGAATAGGGAAGCAATATTGAAATATACCATGGTCCATAAGAACCCGTGTTTGCCTTTTTCAGATGGACCCATGCATGCACCATGTCGATATGGCAATTTGTTGCATGTTTGGGGCCATCTGGAAGACGTACGCATGGGCCATTGTAGGAACAGGCTACTGTGGCCGAAGCCAACTTCGTTTCTCTTCTAGGACCCACCAAACAAGTTTATCGGAGGTAGATCTCTGATCTCTTACCTCAAAAGTTCTTTGCAGCACCTTGGCCTTTTTGGGGCAATCGCTGGGAATAAGCTGCACACCTGACGACTTGTACGTGTCCTGCAAGATCACAGAAAAGAGCGCTGCATCTCATGTGTAACAGAACTTGTGAGGACATTTCACGACTCAGTATTTCCTACTGACATGTCAGGAAGAAGTCATTCTAAGGGAGTTACGATTCGTTTATGAGTACCAACTTATATTAACGTTTTATTTTATAATTGTCTGAAATTGTTCAAAACATCGAATCTAAGTGCAAAGGTGAGTCGACCCGAGAATCATTAGTAAGAGAAAACTGTGTTTTTCTCAAGGAAAATTGGATTTGGCGCGAAAACCAGTAGCCTTTAAAGTACATTTATATAACATTCAATAAAGATGCCTCCGTACCTCGAGGTACAAACAGGTTGCCAGCGATTCATTGATGACGATTTCCCCTATAACAAATGTTGGCACCTAAGGGTAAAAATGAATCATAATTAATTCAATATTACACTTCCAAGTGCAGGGCTTATATTCTGCAGTTTAGGGTCTTGTGTAATATATATATATATATATATATGGGACACCGATAAGCGGACACAAGTGGATTTAAATAAGATAATGGGTTTACGAGGAGTCAGAGTCATAGGCTGATAAAAATGCTTGGGATGGAGGTGGAGTTATACATAGGTATAGACTATATATCCTCTACCAGGGCCGCAATTATTACCGTGGACATTTTTGCTGAGGCGAGTACACAGTGCAGAGATTAGCTATCTATTTAACCAGAGACGTATCTGTTAATGTCTAGTGAAAAATCAATCTGTGGCCCTGGTAGAGGGTAGGTATAGACCCACAAACAGGCTATTTGTGGCGCCTATGGAACTCATGTAGACGCTGACTGAAGGAAAAGTAAGGGGATTCTGGTGGAATGGGAGAAAGGAAAAGGCTAGGACACTGAAAAGAGACCAAAATGTTTTCATAATATTAATTTGTCGGTTATCTTTGCCCACCCTGAGCTGCAGCGATAACTTGAAACAAACCTCTACACAGCACACCCTTGCCGCGTCAAGTAATAATGTACTAGGGTATGCTGTAGTGTAGTGTAGTGTAGGGGTTTGTTTCAGGTTTTCTCTGAAGCTGAGGGTGATCTCTCTGGCCGCCCTAAAGAAAGGTCCAGCATATTTGTCACATCCGCTTTGTCAGCGACATAGGTCCTGTACCTCACCACGTGGGTTCAATTTCATGATTTCCTCAGATTTGGTCTCGTTCTTGTCGAAGGAGATCAGCTTGCTATCGTATTTTCCGAGCCCTTTCTCCTCTAACACTGCCATGACGCGCCAGCAAGGTGCGCTGCCGGAACCCCAGTAGAGCTTCATCGACCTCCCTGCTGTCGCAAACGCCATTTTGATTCTGTGCTATATATCGGCTTTTTGATGTGCCCCACACAGTACCAGATAACGTTACTTGGCCCCTATTCATTTTTAGTTCAAGGGCAAAGAGTTTTCACATGATAGGTTTAGCTTTTATCGGAAAAACGTCAATCAAGCTTGGAGCATTTTGTGTAGTGACGTTTGTGCCTGTTGAGCGCTCCCTACCGCTCCCCCCGGACCTCTTTATATTCAGCAAATATTTTTTAATCCCCTTTGAAGAAAACGCGGCATGTCTATATTCTAGTAGGCCTATGTAGGATGAAATATTTCAATTCTCTTCTCAGGACTCCTTACTGTATAGCTTAGACAAAAAATAACTTCGAGTAGAGGTTTGGTTCAATGTGGGTTTTCAAGTATAACTTCGCAAACATCACCCAGATTTAGAAGGTAATAAGCTAACATTGCCCACCTGACACCAGGATAACGCGAGATTAGATTAATATAGACATTGAATATGGCTTGTCTTGGGGTACACCTTACACATGTTATTTCTTTCCCCTCAGCTTTCAGGTACAGAAATTTTATTCTACTGGAACATCATGTATCAATGTATCATTAATCCTGATTAATTGATAGGAAGACTGATAATGGTTTGATATCAAGGCTATATCAGTGTCACACAAACAGGACACTTTTAGCACCGTTTGAACACACAGCACGGCCGGGGGATGGGGGTGCGGGAGAGGGCTTGATTTGAGTACTACATGTAGTGTGTGGTTCGCCTAATAACTGTTGCATATTANATAAGCTTAATCATAATTGTTTCATTTATGAACTCTGGACTTGAGATTCTGTTGACTTTTGTGTTAAAACAAACAAACAAAAAAAAACATTTACATGTGCCTATGAACTGTGAACATTGAAATGTCTTGGAGACAAAGACAACACGGACAGTGAACTGATTATGTTTATTAGCAACTTAAAAAAAAAAAAAAAAAAAAATTCCAGGATTTATTTTTATTAAAAAAAAAAAAGGGAGATGTTGCATATTATAATGTAATTAACATATCTCCCATAATGCATTGTTCTTTCTCTACCAGTTAGCCAGCATGGCTGGATGTGTTATGTAATAAATGAGTTATTAAAAAAATGTAAACTTGAGTTACATAACAACAGAAAAACTACGACAATAACCAGAACTGAGGGTCTGCACAGCAGTTACAAATCACCAACATGATCCAAATGCTTAATGCATTTGTAGTTACTGTTACCATTTCTTGTTTTAGAACCAACCGCATTATTTCCTGTGTCTAGTCTGTACACCGTTTGAGTTCAGAAGGTGTTGAATGCACCCACATGTCGCATGCCCATTAACCTGTCTAAAAACCTGTACAATGACATGTGCACAGTGACTCTGTATGTACGGTATTAATACCTTTATACTTGCCGTTTTAGATGAAAATGTTGCCAAGAAGTGTTTTACCCATGGCATCTTTAAGGCAATTCAGCACTAACTAGTGTATGGTATTTTTGTTAAAAAAATCATACGATCATGTTTCATGTAGATAATAGTACAGTGTGGCTTTGTTGTAAATGTTATTGTCCACGTATATATATATTGTAATGCTTAAGTTATGTGTAGTCAAGGTTAGGTTGTCAAAATGATAAATGTTTCTAGCTGTCCATCAATTCATGGCATGCATTACGGTAAAGACTCAATCTTTGCAGTTAGGGGCAAAAATAATCAAAATTTCACATACATAATTTTACAGTCACAGAAATTATATTTCTAAAAAATATTAGTGGTTCATTTAATGCACTGAATGGAACTATAGGGTGGTATGTGACATTTTTTTTTTTTTTCAATTTTGTTGATGACACTCAGAATGTTCAAATAATAACAATGTTCTAATAATAAGAGAATATAGATTTAAAATTGAATAATATTATGATAATGTTCTAATTATAAAAAATAATAGATTTAAAATTTACAATGTTACAATTTGTAAAATTCAAAATTGCCCCACTTAAACAATAGAGTAATGGTTACTGTCACTCACAATGACATATATGCACATTTTTAATGGGATATTATCTGCAGTAAAACATGTATTGTAATTTTTCATGCTCAGGATATTTTCCCAGGGTCATCCAAGGTGAACATTTATATGAAGGCTTTCAGGCGTGGACTCACCATGGCTGAAAAGTTGCTGAATTGTCGACAGAAGCGTCCCTCCGCCAAGTACGTTCTTGTTTGTTTCCCCTGGGCAGGAGGTGGCTCAAACTGGTATGGAAGATGGGCACAGCTACTGCCAGAAACCATAGAAGGTATTTTCTACTGTCGAGTCATGAAGGGGGCTTCTCCATAGTCCGAAGGTTCATTGGTTCAAAAAATGGTAACATTTTCATCGTTCTTTTAAAGCAAGGGTTCATTGGTCCGAAGGTTGGCTAGTGAATATTCGGATCAATGAACCTTAAAACTATTGAACCTTTGGACTATTGCTACGGCCCAGCTATGAAATACTGCCTGCTATACCAGGGATAATTAATACAGATATTTTGAACAAATTTAAAAATGTTCCAAGAGCCTGGCCATTGTACATGTATGATAGAACTCCCTTTTGGAGAAGGTGGACGGGTGGATAAGTAAATGTGTATTTTGAAAAGGAGGGTGGGGAGGTTGTCCTAGAGCTTATATAGAGCAAATCCTCCCTGTGCTATCAAGGGCTTTTAGAAATGTATATATGGTGCATGAAAGACGTTTTTTTACCTTTGTTTTGTTGTTATATATGTATATATAGTTACAGTAACAGCCTAATTCAAAATTTAAAGTCATGAGAGGATTTTGAGAACATTTTCAGAATTTGTCAAAACTGGGCTGACTGCATGAGAGTCAATTAGATTGGGTGATCCATAAATTAATTAAGGGTGACAGTTGAGCTACCTTGCAATAATGGTGCGGGTCTGAGCACTGTGCTTTCCTTAGTTGTTATAGCCCTTATATCATGCCACACTAACGTAAATGTGTTTCACTACCTGATATGTTCTTTTTCCAAGTTTGCGCTATAAGATTGCCAGGAAGAGAGAACAGATTTCAAGAGCCATGTTACAAAGACCCGGATACTTATATCCAAGATGTCACAGCTGCTGTGTATAAATATGTCTCTGCTCACGGAACAGCACTGGCTATATGGGGACACAGGTAAGAGAATAATAATAATAATAATAATAATAATAATAATAATAATAATATCATCATAACCATTATATAACAATTATAATAATAATAATATCATCACAACCATTATTATTATTATTATTATTATTATTATTATTATTATATAATGGTTATGATGATATTATTATTATTTACAGTCTAAAATCCATCATAAAATGAGGGCACAGGTAAGATATTTAGGTGCGTGCCATTGGGTCATTTACCCAGGAACAATGGTATTGCTGTTTCATCTTGTCTGTATTGATGTTTAAACTGATATAGATTGTCTGTGCATATGTCAGCTTTAAGTGGCTGGTGTTTAAAGGACAGATGGACACAATATTAATATGTCGGAACTTATAGCCACCACCTACATCTGTCATCACTGTCACCATATACTTTCCTGTTCTTATCACAATTTTAATTTTAAAAAAGAAAATCATTATTTCAGGCCCATAGCTAGCAATTTTGTAAGGGGGGTCCTTTTTCTGATAAAGTGGAGCTTTTACCATGAAACCATTGTGTACTTAGATGAAATTTTACCCAGAGGGGACCTTTTCCCAGCAAAAAGGGTAGTTCGTTGGAAACCCCCCCTGGCTTCGGTTCTTTATTTATTACTGTCATGCTTGCAGGAATGAGTCATAGGAGTATAGTCACATCCCATTTCTCACTGTCTTTCAGCCTGGGATCTTATATGGGATATGAGGTGGCTAAACAGCTCCAGGAGAAGCATGGGCTAGACCCCGTTCATCTTTTCTTCTCAGGGGCCTCTGCCCCACATGTAAGTATAATACTGTATTTACTCAATCTTTTCAATGGGAGAAATCGTGAATTTTGCAGATACTGAATTTCGTAATTATTTGATTTTTTCAGTGGGGGGAAAATTTTGAATTTTACAGCTACTGTATTATGTAAGTCATAATTTCTTTAAATTAGAACATTCCTGTTGAGTGGTGAAAGCAAAATTAAAAATCAGGCTACTCTATAGTTATATGCAGTGAAAGCACTACAAATGCTACACAGAAATATAATTTTTGTGATTATAACATTATGTATCTCAAAGTTTAATCATTTTTGCTCATTAAAAGATCGAGTAATTACCCTAATTATGTGAAATATTCAAATGCCTCACTTTATCTAAAATTTTACTTTTTCATAATCTATTATTTTCCAATTAACACAGCACTTTACTTTTGGACATGAAGTCATATAAATTTTCAAAACTTTTGAAGTGGCATTTAAAGTATATTTAACAATACACATTTTTGGGAGGGGAGGGGATTATACATTTGTTTTGTTCAAATTTAGTGAGTGATTACTGCACTGCATGTTAACTTGCCTCAGTTCATTATATGGCCAATTTTTTTCATTATTCACAATTTAAAACGTATTGTATGAACACTGCATAGCTAAAAGCATTAATGACAGAAATATTTGCTGTAAAGATAATTTCTCACAATAACTGAAGACACTGGCAAGCTATGATTCATACCACCATTAGCAGAGACTGTCATTACTCTGGTTGCACTGAATTTATCACACCAGATACATGGGTTTCAATACATTGTGGTAGATATGTCTGAAATTGCGTTAGTAAATATTTTAACAGTGGTCCATTCTCAGTATACTGATATTTTACATTCAGACACAGTGTTTGCCTCTTAGCAAAATTAGTTGCTGGACCGAAAATACTTGGTTTACATTTATTATTTATAATATTGTGTTTTAACATTCTCTCATTATCTACCCTAGACTATCCCACAGTCCCAGATTGTCCCATACTGTCCCAGACTATCCCACAAAGTCCCACATGTATGTGTTGTTTTCCTTTTTTTCTTTGTTTCCTTCATTGGTCTCACTTGTGACTTAATTGTAACAGTGGTATTGTAAATCCTAATCAAGGTAATCCACTCCATCAACTTTTTGTGTTTTCTTCCCCAGTCAGAGAAACGTAAACTAAACCAGGTAAAGACTGCAGGAATGAGTGACGAGGAATTCGTAGAAAATATGAGACGTTTGGGAGGAACACCAAGAGAGATCCTTGATGACAAAGAAATGATGAAACTTTTCCTTCCTTCACTGAGAGCAGACTTCTGCATATTGGAGAATTACTGGTGTGTCTGTGTGTTTTATCTTTTATTTTATTTCATTGGTGTTTATATTTTTATATTTAATTTATTGAAGTGACCTTTCACATATAAATGTATATTGTAGCAGTTAAAGTATTAATGTTGGTTGGTATCCTATACAAGAAGATAAAAGAAAAGGAAAATAATTTTACACTTTCCTTGAAATTGCTCTTACGGAATCGGTCAACATATTTTAATTTGCAGAGGTTTAATTAATATTTTTTTAGCAAAATTTGTTGCCCCCCCCCCCCCCCCCAAAAAAAAAAAAAAAAAAAAAATGGGAATACACTGTCATTAGCATCAAGCATTGCTTCTTATTTCATTCGTGTTCAGGATGTGCCTAACCCAGGTGGTGGTACTTTTCCAAGGGGTTGTATCGCCTCTCTTATCCTCTGGTTTCATTCTTATTCAGGAGCAACTATGACAAGACTCAAGTGAAACCCTTTTCCTGCCCAATCAGTGTGTTTGATGGCTCCGAAGACAGGCCTCATGATTTAGAAGGTAAGCAGTTTGTGAAATCACCTGTAATTGTGATATCTCTTAGATATAATGTCTACCTAGAGATATCACACATGGATGGGTCTTTTTTTTTAAAGGAAAAAATTCTGTGTAGTTTTATGATAACCTGCAAAACTTCTGTGTTTATGAATTTTTTATGACCCATCTTTATTTCATCAGGTCACCACCGAAAGATTTATTGGTGTTTTTATTAACTTTCTCGGGTATTTCTTTTCAGCTTGGTCAGATTTGAGCGATGGACCCTTTCATAAAATGATGCTAAAAGGAGGGCATTTCTATCTGACAGAAGAGGCAAATACCAGGACTATTACAGAATACATTGCAGCCATTTTGACATAACAGAAAGTCGTGTTAATTTTTCCAAATTGGCCTTATTAGGGACCATCCCCATACCCTATCATACCAACAGGATCGTTCTATCGTTCTATCAAGGCGTTTCTCACTAAACATTTAGCTTAAATGTGCATGAAAGTTAATTACCCCCTAGCAGCTTCAGTGGGCATGACAGATATTTAAGTCGCTAAATCTGAATGCAATTTAACGAGAATCCAGAGTTAGATCGAAACTGCTAGTACGATGGGTTTATGGGAACCCAGTCTCGGTTTATCAAATGAACAATTAGTGCAATATTTTGAGAAGTAACTGTTATCTTTTAATGTTAAGACATTCCTTTATTGCAGTAGGATGGCAGTGGAGAATTATGATAAGAAATGGAAAACTGTGCAAAAATCTCTTGTATGAAAATATTTTATTAGTAAACATGCTGATACAAAAGGAACAATTGCATATGTACAATAAATTGTAAGATTTTTGTCTAACACTTATTTACTTTCATTACAACTGGGACAATAAAAAATGTATGCCATCATAATTAATCTACTGACTAAAACTACCCATCTCTCTCATTTTGAATAGAGGCTTAGGCGAAGGTAATACTTCACAATATAACTGAATGATACTTAACTGGGTTATAAGTGAGTTTTTGGAAAATGAATTGTGAGGTGTTAATGCACTCAATAAACAGTAATAGAGGTGCAGAGAGGTGGTGGCTCCCTCCTGATTATGTACCACCAGCCATATGCTTGTGAATTAAAAAAGAAAAACAAGAATGCCACTTATCACATTAAACAGCTACCTAGTTTCTTTCATTAAATACAGGACATTTATTTGATACTTAATCAAACTAAAATATGAAAAATTCTGCAAATATTTTGGAGGGGGCAAGTTAAAAATGGGAAGCAAAATTCTTACTTAAAACATATACAGTTAGTATTTGAAAGTCCTATTTTTACATATAAATAATGGGGAAAGATTACCAGTTTTTCAGACATGTAATTTTGGAATGATTAAGAATATGTTTTTATGTAGCATTAGTGGTCCATTTACTGTATACAATGGCACTCTAAGGAAGCATATGTAGCCTGGTTATCACTTTTGTTGCTATCACTCAATAGGAATGCTCTTATTTTAAGAATGTGTGTCTTAAAAAATGCAGAATCTGTAAAATTCACATTTGAAAAGATTGAATTATTGCCATACTTGTCTTTTACATATGGGGCTGTTAAAATGATAAAACCTGTCAAATAAAAGCACCTGATGTTGATACTAATTTTTTCTGAAGTATCAAAAAAAAAAAAAAAACTGTGACAGCCTGAATGTCTGGCTAGACATTAAGAACAAAATCATTTAACAGGAATAATGGTATAGAACAGTGAATCCAGGGTCAAGCAATGATTTGGGAGAAGGAAAATTTTACTCTTAAGATAATTGGATGTAGTGCCAAACCACCAGACATATAGGGCACCCTTTAACGGGTCTATAAAATGTTACAACTGGCCTATAGTGGCAGTTTGGGTTCATTTGTACAGTCAGCTACGTAGGCACTTGTACAGCTACATGGATGAACATGTATGTAAGCAATACATAATACTTATTTTGTACATGCTATGTTAAAAGTATTAAAAATGTTCAAAAATCAACACTGAGACAATTAAAAATTTTTCAAATTTAAAGTTACGTTAACTGCAGTTACCCTTCTCTCTCCCCCCCCCCCCCTCTTTTGGTGATCTGCCCTGAGATAAATATGCTTTATATTTTTATCATAAAATTTTACATAAATCATAAATGGGATCATATGGTCCCGTGTTAACATCCTTTTCATGGCCTAGACATAACAGACCACAAAACTTGACATTTTATTTATAGCATATACAGCTTATGTTAACAATACTTGATTTAAATGTATGGCTGCTTGGAAAACATTTACCCTCTCCCGTGCCTCTAAACAATAACTTAAAACATACTGTTATTTTTGTTGTTCTATGGTCAACAATCCCCGTTAAGTCTGCTGTATGAGGGCATTTTTTTTTTTTTTTTTTTTACAAAAAAAGAACTTAATCCATGTCACAGCTCAGTTCTTACAGTAGCATATCTATCAGAACAAATAACTTTCTAAAAGCTGAATGACAGTTCTACCTACAACCGACGGTAAAAATAAATCATAATAGATGCGATTCGGCCTCTTTTTGTTCGTCGAGATTAAGTCCCTCTTCTTCCACCTGCTGCGCACGTGCCACCTCTCCGCTGTTGCCCCTCCTCTCCTGAATCTTTATCCGCGTCAGGACCTCCTTAGTGCGCCGCTTTTTCCTGTTCTCTCTTTGGTCTAACTCTCCATAATGAGACAGAACGCACACCACGCCAGCACCCTATAAGGAAAAAGGAACAACAAAATCAATTATGGCTCAGTTCTTCTTTTGAAGAGGCAATTCTTGTAAATTGAGGAAGCATGGTTTCACATGTCCCGCAACTCACCGCCTTCCACGTTGTTTCACTTAAAATGGTGATACTTTATATGAGTACGTTGCCAGCGGTCCTTTATCCTTGTACCCATGCCCATTTGTGATTTACACTTCCCCATTGCGATCCCCTTCCTCCTCAGTAAATACTGTATTCACAAGCATCCTCAGTTGCCTGCATGACTGTACTCAAAATGTAAAGATCTATTGTCTGACATTTTACTAACAATGCAATAACTCCTGTAAACAATGAGTCTGTCTTTGATGATATACGCAGCATACGCGTTTGATGCGTGGAGTCGACAACTCTGCATTTTGAATGACGCCACATTATTCTAATCACGAACGCATTTTAATGTTTAAACAATACTTTACAGCAAGCACAATGAACATCTCCGAGTACTTACAATAATCCCCGTGTCAAGAATCCAGAATACAAACAGTGCAATCAGGACGGGGTTGACATATATCACAGTCTGAAATAGATTAAACTGATTGACAAAATAATCAATCAAATTTTATACAACTGGCCACTGGTCCTTGCCAATAGCAAAAGCACGGATGGAACAAGAACTATCTTCACTGCTTCCTGTGCTTGACGAATTTTGACCGCTGTTGAATGTAATGATAACAGAAGATGAATATTTTTTGTATTAGATAAAAAAGTAATAACGCATGACACTGGCCAAAATGTGGTTAAAAATATACTAAAGACTTCACATAAAACTATATAGTTTGAAGTATTTTTAATATGAGCAATAAGAGAACCGCATAATGCCAGCTTCATTTGCAAGATGAAGTAAACGGTTTCAATGAATCGGTAAAGAGTTCAATTGAAAATGCACATCTTATTCTTTATGAACTTTTTTTCAGTACATTAGTAAGCCTTATTTTTATAAATTCGCTCTATTTAAAATATGATCACTGGACGCTGATTTCAGAATTTCACTTTTGAGCAGTGTACATTATTCAACATACCGTGAGTCTGTGTCCTAGGATGGCAAGCACGTAGCCTATGCCCACGATTTCATAGATTCTGAAGAGAGAGAACCCAGCGCACCATAACTTCATCCACACGTGTCCTGCATACCCCTGAAAATACAGAATTAAATTATACATAATTTTGATTATTTCAGACACCCCATTCCCCCCCCCCCCCATTTAGCCCCCTCCACGCCGCTTTTTGTTTCCGATTTGTTAATTACTCCCATCATTTTTAAAATTCGTTCCCCGTGCATCTACTTACGCTTTTAAGATATAAATCATTAAGGAAGAATAAATGAATATTGAAAACCTTAATGTATCCAAGGGAATAAAAGATAGTGAGAGGGAGATAGAAGAGTTATCGCTGTAAGATATACACTGCAGGGATAAAAATGGAAAAATCGCCGCAAAAACAAAAACAAGAAAAAAAAAAGACTTCAGCGGCGGTCGTATCATAACAAAATAAGCACTCCAATTTACCTTCCGTAACATCGCTAGCAGCATTACTGAGATGAGAGCACCAAGTATGGCGTTCACCAAACCTACCACTAACAGGGGAACAGAGGCTGGAAGATAATATAACGATTAACGATTTTAATGTTGCAAAACCGGACTGTCGAAAAGAGCTGTTCATTTTCGAAAATGAAAACAAATCGGTTCTGACATTTCAATCCTTTTTTGACTCGCAAGAAACAGGAAAAAACATTTCACTTCAAAATTGGCTTTAAATATTCTTCCTAATTGCCTAAATATCCATAAAGGCGTTTAGTTTTTAATCAAATCAAACCTCGATGAAATCGATATCAAATATCAACCCTGCCTGTAATGAACTCTGGCAAACTCACCGGGTGGCACGAAATTTTCGTACTGATGAAGTCTGAACGTCTCTCGCTGTTCTTCTTTGTAGTTGTTAAGAAATACGATGGCGTAGATAGCCAGCCCAACGTCAATTACTGAGGTAATCTGGAGGAATAACAATTAAAGCGGCATGAAACAAACCCTTAACTAAACAAATTTATCAGATTGTTGAATATTTCAGTTATCCAGAAAACCGTATTGTTCATGTTTTTTCGCGATTTGATATGTTGTAACTTGAAGTTTAATATAGTTTTTTAAATATAGTCTACCCTAAATGACGAGAGATGTGTTACATTCCTTAAAATGGCGACACCAGCACCGCTGCCCGAAATAGCATTTCATACAAAATGTAAATTACTGTGTGAAACCGTTAACTATGATTTATGTGAATAAAAGGGTGACCTTGAAACTTAAATGTACATAAATAGAGTACATCTGATTTCGAAAATAATTCCAGTGATGGTTGAGGAGTTATTAAATGGTTGAAAAACCAGAAGAATTGACTGCAATAAATGAATAAACAAATAAGTAAATAGGTAAATAAATAAATAAAACGTTCAAAATTTCTTGAAGTTATAGATTAGGTGCAAAATACTAATTAATAAATAGGGTCTCTTGCTTTATCGCCTTAGTTTCAAAAGAAAGGGCAGGTTATCTCCCCCCTCCTCCAAAAAAAGCCCCATAGAAAAACCCCATATGAATAGCTCCATATCAGCAGTGCAAATTTCATCACGAAAAAAGCTAAAATAAGCAGAATGTTGACATGAATATATAATGTTAGGAACACACTGACTAAAACCTGTAATGCATACTGTGCCTATAGGCCTACACTGTAAGAAAATGTTTCTAATACCTATCCATTTACTGTCACACACACACACACACACACACACATAGATTAATGAGGCAGCCATATATCTTGATTGGGGTTTCTACTTTTCTAATGTTTTCAGTTAGGCCTAATATGTAGGGGTACTGTAACGTAGAATCGATAAATAGGCCCTATATATGATCCCCAAGTAATTTATTGTTAATTCAAAGCCTTTGTATCAAAATGTGCTTGTAACAATAATAATAATAATAATAATAATAATAATAATAATAATAATAATAATAATAATAATAAAATTTAAAATCTCTTAGTATCTTATTGTTTGACTTTTTGGAGGCGATATTTTTATGATCGAAAACTTTTATGTATAAATCGGAAAACATTCATACAAAAAATGTTATCACATCTTTACAGATACAGATACGAGAAGCAGGTCCATTGACAGCGAGAAAGCAATCAAGCCATTGTCTAATTCCCATGCCACCCTTGACACCAAAATATCTGGATGAACGCAATGCTCTTTAAGGGGAGTTAATACCAACATTTTAAAATGGAAAACTGCACCGATCACAGACAGGCATGTCCGACATGAGACGAGCAGATTTTTTAATCTTATTAAGATTAAAAAATTAAGGTACCTACCAGTGTATAGAATCCTGCAGCGTAAGACCCCGTCTTCAGTTTAAACCAACAGCAACAACTAGCCAGTAACGGTTTCATTTTTATCTTCACTTTCCCTCGAACTCCTTGTTTACTGTACGATATTACCGTCACCTTTCAAATACCGGTGAGCAAAGAGAGGATGATCCACTCCTCTAAATATGACGAATACTTGCGATCTTACTAATAAAAAGTGGAGATATTCAATTACTTCATTCTGATCATCAGTTAACAGATTAGTCATTGATGTAGTACACATTTGTCTTTGTGATAATTATCTAGGTCAAGGTAAGCAATATGGTTTTTAGTTCCGGTGAGGTACGACAGGGATTTCACAGGTGATAATGATGTCGTTTGAAGATGAATAAAAGAAAATATTGTTTTGTAGAATTAACACGATGGCAATATTACCGAATAACTAAAGATAGCTGAATCAATTTAAAATGTAACTGAAGTAAAAATTAAAGGAAAATCTAAGTAACCTCAAGATAATAAAATATTTGAAATAAAACAACCTACTTCTGTGCTCCCCGTGTGAAATGCCGTTTGGTGTCCCTGTGGTCGCAGGTGCGCAAGATAAGCCATCACTTGGGAAGTTCATCTGCATCAGGCCCTGTAGGTACAACTGGTAGTACAAATGATCAGGCACTTTCATTTATATTTGATTTATAAAATAGTTGGTCCTTTCACTCATGTTTTTTCCTTTAATATTCGACACAAAGATTTTCCACATAACAAAAAAAAAAAAAAAAAAAAAAAAAAAAAAAAAAAAAAAAAAACAAGCAACTTCGCAAATATCGAAATAAAGGACTGTCTTTTTATTATGTTTTCTTTCCATATCGCCAAACCATTCTTTGTCGCAAAAAGAGTAAAAATGGTCAGCATGCGGTTCCTTCACTTGACTCAGATTTCAAATTTATTCGTATAATTATATAAAATAAGCATTTTGATAGGTGATGCGGGCGTTTCGTAAATTATCGTAAAATCAATTCACTGTTGGATAGCTTACATATTATTATGAATGAACCAATTTTGAACGCCATCGTTCTGTTGTTCGATTGGCGATCTCTGAACTGACCAAATATTTATATACAATGTGTGTATGGAAAATTTGTAGTACTGAGGTACTACTGTATAACAACACCGGAGCACCCAGACCCTACCCACACAAAGCTCAGCAAACTTGTCATTTCTTTACAGTTATATTGGGCAATGCGTTCTTATGAAGAAAAAAAAGCATTCTGCTGAAATAAATAACGAAAACACGAAGTGTCCAGGTATTAAAAGTGCTAAAACTGAGAACAGAGAGAGTCCCAAGGACTTCTATTCCCTCGACATTGTCAACTTTTTAATAATTTTGTGATTCTACCAATTTTTTAAAATTCTACTGCAGTTCTTGAACACGTATTTCAATTTTTAAAGATATCTCATATATTTTTAGAATAACCATTTTAGTGTTATAAATGCTATAAATGTGCCATTTTGGTTGAAAATAAATATTATCATTACACTAAAAAATCAATAAACTTGGTACTGATGAAAGTATTGATTCTAAAATAAAATCTAAAATTCACCTCTTGCTAAGTACTCGGAGAAGGACGTATGTTAAACTGTACCCTGTAAGTCGATCGGTACATTACAAATCACAATGATTTTATTCTTTTCCATTTTATTAAATTTTGTTTAACAAAGCGAATGAGTGTCAAAAACCCGGATAAAACCGGCGAAAATTACAAGGAAGATTGGGGCGTAAATGCTGAAAATTCCAAAAATACTCAAAATAAAAAATCTACTGACTGCTAATTGTTTGGGGTTCCTCTTTCTTTTTATATTGTTGTATTTTCCCTATCTATATCTTTTTCCTTGTCTCTGAAATAAGGAAAAATCAGATGGAATTTAGTCACTTATAAATATCCTAGTAAAAGAGAATCAAGTTCTATCCTTACGTTACCATCTAAATATCGCTTTTACGTAAGCTAAAGACGTAAGATTAAGGATATTTTCTCCACGATCTCCTCCTCCTCATTCTTCTTATTATTGTTACAGTGAAGAATGACGACAACAGTTTGGAGCTTTCGAACGTTTATTCACCGACTCTCTTTTTCACAGAATCTACAAGTATTTATACTCTATTCTCCTAAAGAAGTTTCCATTCTCATATTACCAAAACGCTATTCAATATTTCCCAATTAAGTAGTTTCAGTGAGACTTGTTTTTAATTTACAATATTTAAAATATTTTCCGATTTACTCGTGCTTGGACCTTGTCCATCTCGAGTAAGCATGAGTTTTACACGTGTTAGAAACGTGCAAATCTATAGAAAAATTAACCAATCAGATCCAACTATCTGTGACTTTGAAATGTTTCATTCTTTCTTACTTCGAGAACAGTCTCTACACTTGTTGACACTTAAAGAAATTTAACTTGCACTCAGTAACTTCCTACACATTTGATTCTGTTTTAATTGTTTTGTAATTATCGAAAGTATAATGCATTTGCTTTACAACATTATTATTATTATCATCGTTTTGTTTTGTTCGAAGAAAAAGGTAGTCATACTCAAGAATCGTAATTTAGAATTAAAAATTGTCATCGAACCTCACCAAAGCTTCCACGGAGCGGCTGCAAATAAACTGAGGGTAGGTGAAATCACAGAATTATTTTTAAAAAATGGTGAAACAAAAAGTCCGTCCCCCATAAGATTCGTACAGATTGGGGTTAGCGTGATGACAGTAAGTCAGAATCTACAAATAATCCTGGACAAATGAATGCGAACCGGAGTTTTATCATGGTGGTAATTCTGGTACGTGACATCACCATCATTGCTAATTTTGAGGTGTCAGCTTGCGTTCTCATGCAAATAAATGACGTGGCACTTTTACGTTGTAGGCTACTCCGTTTTTTTTCCTCCGAGAGCAATGGGAGCCAGGCGTGCCATGTGAAGTCTACTACTGTTCAAATAAACGCGATGTCACCAATAATTCGAGATTTTTTTATTCCTAACCCAGCGTAACTTCCCGAGTGGAAAAATCTCTCAATAACAATAGTAAGAATGTATCAGTTGGCTGCATAGATGTGGAATTTCTTATAATTTTGAGAAATGTACCTCGGGACATCACGAAATTGTGGGCGTAGATTGCTTCGAGATATCCTGTTTGGAAACAAGCGTGATGTTTCGTTTATCAAAAAATAGACCGATTTTAGATTAATTTCCATAACACTTCCGTTAAGAAGTTTAAAACCTGTCATGTTTGCAGAATTTATTCGCCCTTAGTAACAGATATCCTCGAAATGGGAGATGGTGAAAGGAGACACGTAATAGAGCGAAATAGTTCAAAGTTGATTGAAAGATTGAAAGAAGGGTCTAATTGAAAGAAAAAGTTGAAATTTATATTCGATGGTGCATATCAAAAATGCAATCCCCCACATAAATTCGCTCATCCATTATTTTGCCAAAATGTGTTTTGTATGTATGATCACTCCCATGATGTTAAAACAATGTATCGGTTGCTTGTTCACCTGCAAGCTGGTGGTGCCCTCTTCTGAGAGATACTGTCATTAAAATGGAGTCATCTGCTTTCCTAAATATTCCTTAATCAATCCCTTAGTCTCTGTCTGAGTGGCACAGTGTTGAGGCCGATTTCGTCACTTTCTTAGCAATGTAAACCTTACCCTCAACCAGAGCCACAGATAGGTTTTTCACCAGATATTCACAGATATGTCTCCAGCTAATTCATGACCATATAGGACCTACATTTTTCTGGGGCGTCTCGATAGTCCGAAGGCTCATTGGCCCAAAAATCGTAACATTTTCATCCGTTTTTTAAATCAAGGGTTCGTTGGTCCGAAAATTCTACAATTAACATTCGGACCAATGGACCTTCGGACTATTGAACCTTCGGTCTTTTGCTACAGCCCCCATTTTTCAACTGTCCAACAAGAATTTCGGTATGGTAATTAATTTCCTCTCTCAGCTGGCCTCTAATATAGAGTAAAATGAATGAATCTGGGCACCATGGTGCTCTCACTGTCCTCTCTCTGTGATGATGATTCAAAGACCAGTATGGCGGCTGCAATCAGACACCTTAGACTGGTGGTCATGACTCTAAAAGTATCTGACTGCGACCAAAGGACTGGCGTATAATGTCATATAAAAGGGGACTGACACCCACTCAGACAGGTATGATCCTGTTCCAAAATTTGAAGTACATCACTTGATGATAATGTGTGTTTCACGCCTGAAAGTTGCTTTTACATCTTCCTATAACACACCATTTCGTTGAGTGGACAATGTATGCTGTCTAAAGATCAAATGAGTCATAATTAATGGAAGCAAAAGACAAAAAATTGCTGAAAGGCCTATAAAAATAACTTTCAGACATAACCTAAAATTATGTACATGTAGTTTTAGTTTGTTTGTTTGCTGAAAGGCCTGCAACAATAATTTTCAGACATAACCTAAAACTATGTAGTTTTAGTTTGTTTGTAATCATAGTTTTACAGTGTTTTTCTTTTTCGAAGTACATCTTCAAAATGGGTATATTTTTATATTGACTGTATACTTGTATGCTCATAGATACATCCAGCCTCCCCCTTTTTCCTCTCTCTTTTCGGCTGGGGTGAAGGTACATCCCCCACATTCCAACAGGATGGAAAAGACCCATTCTGGGACCACAGATTCACACCATAAACTTCAATTTGTACGATATGACACTAGCTTTTCGAAACCTTATCCAATGGAAGCAGGGGGAGTCGCCCCAGCCATTCGTTGTTTTCTATCAGGTTTTTCAGTTTCTATGGAGGCATAAGTTGATATGTTTGTTATGAGCATATCACAAACTTGGATATAAGTTTATTTACAGATCTAAAATGTCCTAAGATTAGTATAGATGTGAACTAATGCATACTAACAACATATATTTTGATGAATTCTACAAAACCTGGTGTATGCATATTCCAACATGTGTATATTGCAGTTATGAGACTACTACTGTATAAAGGCCGAAGAGGAAGAGCGGCTGAACTAAACTGTGGGTGAAGAAAAAAGGTTAGACAGGCTCTCTCATCTTTATCATCTTCATGTTGCCGTCTTCCAGAACGACAACTGCAATCAAACACCTTCAGAAACTACCAAGATGGCCGCCCTCCTGAAGGCATTGGACTGCGGTTGCGACTCTGGGCTCCATTCTGGGTTGACACTGTTTTCCTAGTAAATTGCTACTCAGAAAACCGTTGTCAAATTAATTATAGCTATTTTAAATAAATAAAATAAAATAAATAAAATAAATAAATAAACAAATAAATAATGTATTAAATTCTCTCAAAGTCTTAAGGATGATATACCTCAAAGTCGAGCGTATGTATACGGCTTTTAATTGTCATAACAAAGCCACCATAACAAGAAAAAGTTTTATAGCTTAAATTCGTTATTTTGAAATTTGAATGGGGAAGCTAATTACGAAGTGGCAGGGAATTGTGGACGGCTTTTTCTGATGCCTCTCCACCGGTGCCTCGATCAACATATCGGTTTACAGATCCGAGGAGCAGGCGCTAACTTTTAATCTAATATCAGACGTTAATAATTTTGACAACTATCTATATTTGCACTGTGTGGAGCTTAAATGTGCCACTGACATATTTTTTATGCATCTGACTATTGCCTCTTCATCCTTGACTACAGTGCCATTTCTTCACAAAAAAATTCATTAGTTTAAAGCTTCGAAATGCTTAAAGCAAATGAAAAATTTCCCTTATTGTATCAAAGACATTTTATCTTTATAGATGAACAAAATCCATACATCATGGAATAACAGGAATAACAGAGGAATCAAAATGAACCAGATTTGTACCTGCATTCGTGACAACATTTTAAAAACTGTTTTAGACCTTGCTGTAAATAGACCCAACTTTAATATAACGCATGTGATGAAAATCGATCTACGAGGCGAGCTTAAACACATTTCTGTGAAGAAATGAAAAAGGTAGTCTAGTTTACATAATTAAGTCATTAAAATATCAAAATGCGATCAGGCTTCGCTTTTAAGGAGTATTTTTCGCCAAGAGTCCATTGATAAACTTGAAACCATTCACTTATTTCCGGTGTATATTTAAAACGTGCTAAATCGAACAATTTCATAGTTTCATTTTATACTTTCATTTTAGAGAGTTACCGGATTTCGCGTGAAAGTCAAAACCGTTTAAAGTCATGGGAAACTCTTTTCTCTTTATTTTTGCTTTATCTGTATCCTGTCCAGCTAAAAGTCTTAGAAAACTGAAATCAGTGAAGCAAATGAGGTCTAAACATACACGTCATTAAAAAGTGACTATATGAGAAAATAATATTTTTGCATCGCTTATTCCAGTGACTCCTCATAGTCAGATATGATAAAGATCAACTACAGTGTTGTATAACTATATGCGATTATATCTGTAACATTACCACCATAATTCCCTACCTCAGTTAAAAAAGACATGATATGTAGGACACCGCTGCGTGCAAAGTGCTTTCCACGGAGCTAGCAAAGTTAAATCCTTTCCCTTCTCTCAGCTAGGCGTTCCTCTCTCTCTCTCTCTCTCTCTCTCTCTCTCTCACTCACACAACACTGTCACACACTAGGAAGAATCATTACAAATTAAATATATTTTTCCACCTTCCTGATTGGCTAATGACTTTCAACGCTTGTATACAACAAACAGCATTACCAAGGCCCTGAAACGGATATCTATTACTTATCTTAATCTCGAGAGGTCACGTACGCCGCGCTTCGAAGAACCCCGCTCACCATTGACATACGACTCGGTTGTCAAAAGTTAGTTATCTTCATTTGCTAGATGCCCTAATGAGTTGTTGTTTATTTTGAACTTGAGATTTATTAGGTTTACGTTCTGTTTGCGATAAGAGGACGTGTCCATCTATTATCATAATAATTTTGGGTATCCTATTTTTGTTCTATCATTTTATTATTCATGCTTTTTTAATTACAGACATGGAGGAAACTATGGAGATAATGAGGGTCCAGAAGACCTCCACTACAAGAAATTAAATCTGGAGGTCCTCCCAATTTTGTTCAGTTCCAAACCAAGCATTTCATTTCCATTAGGTTAAGTTAACATTTGATTTATTATTATTATTATATATTGTTTCACATAAACTTTACCAGTCAAGAGGACTATGACCTGTAGGACAGGCAGCTTCCCCATGTTAGTAATTATCTGTGAATTTCCTGCACCAAATTCAGTGTTTTGTTCCTTCATATATTATTTTTTTCTCTCTTACTTCCTGTTCTATATATGCTATAGGTACAACATTTGTAAGTATTTTTCTGGTGATGTCAATGTGTTTTAACATTGACGTGATCTTCGTCACTTTTAAGTGATGCTGCCAGATAAAACAGTTGCAAGAATGAGGAACATAATATAGCCGGTCACCCAAAGCTATGCTGCATCGGGGCCAAAGCCCCCCTCGTGAAGGAGATTATCCTTTCTCGTCCACCGCGTCATGACTACAGGCCCGTTAGAGGCATACCTGACGAGAGCAACGGAACCAGGAAGTAAAAATAGCAAAAGGGAAATCCCCTTGGTCACGTGCATTTCCGCTTCTAAGAAGTTTAATATAGAAATACAACGTAATCAAAAGAGCTAGGAGCATCATATTTGTAAATTCAACCATGTTTAATTAATTAGTTTTTCATGTCGAATTCTAGGTACCTCCCAATCTCTGGGGGCCAGTGCATGATTTTGAAATGCAAAACAAATAGGAAGTTAACGATGCTTAAAGCTACGACAAAACCCATTAGATGATGAAACTTTTGAAATTTGCACGTGGATACGTGCAAAACAATCACAATCAATTGGGTCTCTAAGAAACCAACAAACAATTTTTATAATGATAAAAAGCTGTAGCAGCCAGTATTTATTGGCATTAGTTCTGTTGGCACTATAACTACTCTTATAAACTAATTCAGAAATAAACATAATAAAGCTAGAATGAGAAGTTAAAATATACATGCATTAAACTAAGTCTTTAAAATCCCCTTACAGAAAGACAGCGTACAGTAAGATGTCCATTGAAAGCATATGAAGATGTAGGACTCATATCTTGAACAATTTTATATGTAAAGGATGGGTTTTTCTTATCTGAGTCTGCAGCATGCCAGCCATTATGATAACAATGACAATAACTGAAGTTACAATTCACAAAAATAAAATTAAAAAAATAATAATAAAATAAAAATAAATTTTAAAATTTAAAAAAAAATCAGTTATAAACAAATAATGAAATCAGCCACATGGCCTGGGCAAGTGATTGAAGGCAGATAACACATATTTTGTACTGAACAAGTTTTAAAAACTGTTACAGTAGAGCTAGATAATAACATGAAGATAAACATAATAATACATAAAAAGACAACAAAACACGTATTCAAGGAGTTCAGTAAAACAAATCAGAAAAATCACATTGCCTTAAAGGGGGAGGGAGGTACATTTCATAGTTATTAAAAATGCCACTGTTATCAAGCAAAATGACCAAAACATAAATATGCATATTTCACAGATATATTTTAACTAAAATTCATGTTCACAATTCTTCAAATTATGTAATAGTAACATTTTGGGTGTAAATGTGTAATTCTGGTCTACAGAGCCCCTCTGAATACCATCCTCACGGCACAGTGCGTCTACTGAGAACTCAAATTTGGTATCGAAATTCTCCTTCACGAGCCACAGTTAGATTTCAAACAAATATGAAATTAGAACTTTTGTCAATGTTTTTTTTTGTCTTCTGTGGGACATTTGTCTAGAAGAAGTTTGGTTCCTGAGCTCTCAGATTTGAAAGATTTTTACCTGGTTAAAAACTTATGCTAGAAACCAATAATGATACCTCCCCCCCCAAAAAAAAGGGAAAAAATCCTGATATTGATTGTTTAGTTGCTGTATCTCACCTGTAGAGCAATTAGAGGTGACAAACTTCCCTCGCGTCACCCATCAAGATAAAGCACAAGTTCATATAAATATACCAATTTGCAACAGACTCAATTAATAATCTGGCCTGAATGAATCATCGATTCATTCCTTTAACTAAAATAATATTTTTTTGTATGAGAAGACAGATATCTTTATTTAAGATATAATATGATTATTTATACAGTAAAAGAGAAAAAGCCCTAAAATACAAATTTTGTCAAAAGCAAAGTGTTACCCAAAATCAAGCTAATTGCTTAATTGCTCAATGTTGAGGAAGGCAAAGACTTTCACTGCTTGTTTAGAGAACTTCTACCAGTACATATGTATACTACACAGACACTTGGCACTATTGAATACGCTCAGCTTAATCAATGACCTAGATTCAGTATGTAGGTCACATTATCCAGGTCTTCATATCTTATGACCTTGGTACAGTATCAATTAAGGTCAGTGGTTTAAAACAGGGTTTCTGTGTCTAAGGCCGCATTCACAACCAAAAGTTGATCCGTGGACTAACAGATCCCCTGAACCACTTCAAAGCTTACTGCATAATCCCCATGGGGAATCTATTAAGTGTCTATTATAGGATTATGCAGCAAGTTTTCAACTGGGTGAGCCATACTTGATCTGGGGATCAGTTAGTCTGCAGATCAACTTGTTCTGAATGCGTCCTTATTTGTTATCGAGGATATTTATAGCTTTCAAACTCGTTACTGAACTAAACACGTCAATGTATTTTGCTCAACTTTGCCTTATTCCAGCTACACATAAGTAAGCTGCAATAATTTCATGCTCACTTCAGTACTTAATTTCTTCTTGCATAATCTGATTAACATATCAGTAGAAATATTGAAATTTTAACAAGACAGATAATGTTTAAGGTAAAAGCTAAGGGAGATGAGGTATAATCAAAATCTATCTACATTAGGTTTATAGTTTAATTACAGCTCTATTTATATGTGTATAAATGAAAAATACTGTAAGCAATGAACCTGATATTTTAACAAAAACTTAAACTATTTGCACTTAATTAGCCAATGAAACAAAATAAGCCCCAATAAATGAAACTGACATCTACTTGAAGATCCTTGAAAGCAAGACTAGGAATACAATTACATGATCTGCTGGGTTTACACAATCAACAAAACTACTACTTTCATATATTCATTTTAGAATATTTATAAATGAGAGTTGTCTAGAAATACTATTATACTTTTCTCCCTTCCAGTTAAAATTCCCATTGAAATGGCACAAAATGCCATTCAAATTAAAAACAAAATGCCTTCTTAAATAGTCTTAATCATTTCAAATGGCATTAAGCTATTCAGTAATAATACTCAGTATAAAGTAAGACATAACTGTGTCTCTATTAAATTTGTATTCACATTTTTTATAACCATCATGCATTTTTCACAAATGCACCATACAAGTCTTTTGCAGTTCACGAGCTTAATTACTTCATGTTGCCGGATAGCATTCTACAACTCTAATAAATTTATCATAATTGTGGATTAAATATAATAAGTCCCTTTCTCTGGTCTAAAAAAAGTTCTAACCTGTGACCAACTGTCTACAGGAAGTGCTCAGTCGGCTGCATACACTTGACGAATTTTTACAATTATATTAAAAACTACTAGAACTGTCCACTAGAACTGGACAAATACCCCTTGTCAAATATGGACACACAGACAGAGGGGGGAAATTCCTTCATGCCCCCGCTACATGTTATAGAATTTATGTGTGGCAAACTCTCCTTCAAAATGATCAAAATTGCAGGAGGAGAAAAATCTGCATGAAAGCTAACTGGCCTTAGGTTAAATTTCTCAAAAGTTCACTATTCTGAAACTTTTTATGCTTTTTCAGAGGTTTATGGATCTGAAATTTGAGAACAAAAACTGTGCAGACCATTCTACACCCAGGCAAGATGCTGAAGATTCATATGTTAAATATCAAAAATTGGTTTAAAAAGTTTTTAAAATGGGAAAATGGATATTGAAATAATATGCACAAGATCATTGTGCAAGTGTGAGTGCCACGAAACTAAATGAAATCTGCCAGAGAGGTTAGTCAGACAATTTTTCGACCATTTACTGACAGGCAGATGGGTATGATTCAGATACCCTAAGGGCTCATAGGCAGCAGATTTAATAGTTATTTTTTAGGAATTCATTAATTACTCAACCCATTTCTACCTGCTACTAAAAAATTTATTGCAAGTCCTTGCACTAGGCTGCTAATACTTCAAAATTAAGTTGACTAGTCCCCAGCTGGTGGGTGACGACAATCTCTATCTCTGCATGAAGATATCATTTTCACATTTTTTTATCCTGACACTAGTGAACCTCAGCTATGCCTGTGGAAACATTAACCATGGTCAAGTCTTCTTTTCCTCCTCCAGAGCTGCCTGGCTTACTTGTAAGAGCATCGTCTGAGGGAAGGGATTGGCTGAAAAGAGAGAAATATGTATGAATGATAAAAGTAATGTCTTATAAAATTGGTGAAGACCACATAGTAACTTAGTTTTGGTCTACCACCCCCTATCCCATCCCCTTCTCCAATGAGCTTAAAGATCATTCACTTAAGTTATCTGTTGAAAACCACGTTGCATTACAAAGGAGACTTCTGAATGGCAATCGTAGGTAGCAACTCTCTCTACCAAGAATTTGGAGGAAGTGGTTAGTTCAAGAATTGTGAATCAGATGTAAGTTGAATGAAATATGCTTGATTTTACCTCCCCTTGCTTAGTCTACAGGGGAATCATTTAAAACAATTTTCCTGTACCAAAAAAGCACCAGAATATGGCCTACTTGTGCATAAAAAGTTACTATGAGATGACTCACTCATTAGCGCCAGGAATAGCCACCAATGGTGCAGCACCAGGACGCAGTGACCCAGCACCTGGGACCTTGAGAATGGTCTGGTTGGGATTGCACAATATACTTGTCAGCCCTGGGAAATAAAATGAATAATTTTTATCAATTTTCATGAATTTTTAATAAAAGAAGTTTATACACATTTAAATCACAATTATACAAACACAAACAGGGGTTACTTCACCTAGGCATTGCATGTCTTGTTGTACTAGTCTAGTAATAAATACAACAAACAGCATTTCATTAACTAAGCAATCAAAGTAGTTATTTTGCTTAGGGAATTGGTATTTATAAATATAGCCCATTTCAGGCAATTAAAATTACCTCTGTCTTTGTTATCTGCAAAGATTTCAAAATGTTTTTGAAGCAAAAAGCACATGATGTTACCCATGTTGTACTGTGGCACTTGTAGTGTGTGCATATACAAACTTTACATTCATATTGAATAAAAACATCTACCGGTTTCTTTTTCCCTTTCCTCCTCCTCTGTTTGACCAAATGGCACTAAGTGTGTGATAGAAGTCTTCCTGGCCTTGCGCTTCTGACTGCCCACCAAAGAAGATGGAGCCACTGGTTCAAGACGACCTCCAGCAAATGTTGAGATCTTCACATCGCAAAGACTCGAGGCACGTTCTGAAGGGCAACAGATTTAAAGGTGCCTAAATATTACAAAGAAATGGTAACTCATAAGCAGTAGGTGAAAGTTGGAGGGCCATCCTAAGATATGTACCAACAACAATTTTTGAAAACAATACGAAAAAGAACACACAGAAATATGTTGTCATTTCTCTTCCTATATGAACATGAATTTTTCCTTCAGTATGGAATAAATTGATCAATTTTGTGAATGAAGACCTAATATAATAATATTATGTAGGTTAGTCAACCTACCAAGTTCTACATCAATAAAGTTTTAAAATCTATTAATGGACTTACAATTAAGTCTAATTGGCAAAGTTTCTCGATGATGTTTGATGTCACCTATTCTCAATTTTTATACAGGAAAAATCTTAGATATGTATGTGTCTTTTTCTTTATAGCAAAAGCATGACTCTCACAATTGTTTCAGGAAAGCAGAACTTTCTTAAGTTTACCTATTGTAAGTTCTCCATAAGAGTGGCGTTTACTGCCTTCACTGTGGTGGCGTTTTCGAAGTGAGAATGACTTAGACCTTCGTCGGCTGAGATCATCAATGGAGCAGGCTGGTAAACTAGCGATCTGAGCTTCCAGGTCAAACGTACTGTAAATTTGCAAACATACAATTAAAGCAAAATAACACTTGCAGAAAATGAAGGAGTATAAACAAAGACTTCACCCTTCACTACCTACGCCTACAAAAATGTAAAAAACTTGGCAGATTACCATCTCGCTGGGCACTTGCCTATAATGTACCAAATATGGCAGTCCCACTACCATTTAGAGATAATAGGACTATTAGGAGTATATACAGCAGACTTCTATTATAAGAGAACAAAATGGTCTGTTCAAAAAGTATGTTATATGTGAAGTCTACTACACCAGATGAATGTAACAACTTGTTTAATTCAAATGCATACATATAACATGCCCATTTTTTTTTTTTTTTATTAATAAACTGCTGCAGGCTTCTTAAGGCAAAATCATTCACATTATATTTCCAGATAAAGAAAGAGACATTATTAATATTGTAGGACAACTTTCAAGTTTGTTAATTCAAAATGGTATGTTTTAGAGTTTTAATTTTTTCCCTTTGTTGTACACAGTGAGGACCAAAATCTCAAAAACAAAATCTCTATGACAACAATGATAACTACTATTATTATCAATTATATGAGGTGGGAATTTAAGACAAAATTGGAACAAACAAAAGCTGGTTGCAGTATATGTTTTGGTGATCAGTGAGGAGCTTTATAAACTAACAAGTTCTCACCCAGTTTTGTACTTTCTGGCCCTGTCCAGTTTGTCAGATTCAGACATGTTCCTCCTCCTTGTTAACTTGAGTGGGGGTGACTCATCTTCAGCCCTCGGGCAGGGAGTAAGATTCTCACTGCTGAATAAATAAATACACAAAGCAATAAACAAATAAATAAAATGTATCTTTGTTTTGCTTGCACCAGTCAAATGCACAGCTAAATGCAGAATTAGTTAAAAAAATGACAAAGACAACCTGTCATTTTGAAAATATTGCATGTGATTTTGATCATGTAGTAAAGTTGTTTTTTTCTGTTGGAATACTTTTCTGTCATAAAAAAAATTACATTTTGATATTAATTCCGTCAAGCATTGGCAACTTTTGCTGTAATTGATAATGAAAATGATACAAAATTTGCAGGGGCAACTTTTATGTCAGTGGCAAGTAGTCAACAAAATGTAAGGGTAAGTCTGTCTCTATGCGTTAATTCCCCTGATGAAACTATCATTCTATGTAGATCGATCCAACTCTGCAGGGACTCTCGCTGAATGTAATCAGATTAACATGCCTTCTCTGGTTTCCAACATACTCGTATATTGACCAGTTTTTCAGTAGTCTGCTCAATGCCAAGAGTCTCTGTGGAGTTACATCGATGTACATCAAACAATATTTTTCTTGGGAATGAGCTCTATCCACCCATACTGCATAGTACAACCAGGAAGGTGGACAAGGCAGCAATAGGCCTTTTGCAGCTAGATGTCTGGATGTTGACTTCTTGTTTACTGTTTATTGTTTGTTGGAGAGCAAGCTCTTTAGTAAACAAAGGAAGTTAACATCTTGTTTTCTTGCTACAAAAGGTCTTTCCTATCAAATCAAAAGTTCCATACAGCTCTAGATGCTAGTGCAGCAATAATTACCTTTGTGGCCTCTCAGGGGCAGCCCAGGACCTCCTGCTGTGCTTGTCTTGCACTGTGCTGCCATCTATGGACGAGAGCAACTCATGGGACTTTGTCTTAAACAACATTGCCGACCAGCTGCTCTGTGGGCCCTGTAGCTCATCACAAAATCCAGCCTGGTCATCTGAAAATGTCATCTTTGGTGGTTTGTTACTGGCCTCATTTTCAGTCTCAGCGTGCGCCTCAGAATGTTGGGAGCTTTCGCTGCTATCGACATCCAGTGACATCGAGGACTGAGACAGAACATTGTTGTTGATCAAGCTCTCAGAGATTCCGTTAGAATGACTATTGGTGTTCATGTCATTACACCTGGCATTCGCCTTGTTTCCGAAGAAACTCTCACCCTGTTGAAAGTGTGTCTCCTGAGACGGAAGATTGCCGTTTTGGTGACTTAGGTAAAGCTGCTCAATAACAGAATTAACAACTTTCTTCCCCTCAACATTTGCCAGACTGTATTCCTTTCTTTCATTCAGGAACCGTTCCCGCGCTATTTGATTCTGAACCACAGAAGCCATCTCTACTGCATCTTTATCATTGGACAGCATACAGATAGTCTTCATTTGATTGGTTATTGTAGCGGTCAGGTGATCGGCAGCCTTGGGATCCCTATGGTGTAGTTTACTTGAACACATCTGAATTGACAACAAGACAGAAAAAGATTATCATTTTTATTATTTTTTTTTCATTTCTCCATTAAAACTGCAGTTTGATGACTCAAACATATACACATGTAATCATTTCTCATTAAGATGTATTTAAATGACTCCAACAGTATTCACCTTAATACAAGATCACAATGATATATATAAGGCAGTCTATTTTATTAAGAAGAATAAATAAACAAGAGTGAAATCAAGCAACGCAGGTCACTAATGAGCCAGTGCATATAATTCCTATCTTCTTTGACTGAAGATAATGACATAGTATATGTAAGATTCTTAAAAAACGCCTCATCTTGAAACCTGCCATTTACCTCAGCAAGTTCCATTAGGGCTTCATTTGGCTTGCTGTCTGTATTGTCTTGTTTGGTGCTCCCACCTGGTGGGGATTTCCCCTGCTGTGTTGCTGCTAAGAGCAAATTCAACCCTCCCATGTTGACAGGGTCTGAAAACAATGAGACACATTAATCTATTATATTTTAACATAAATTTTATATTTTAAATTTAAAAATAACCCCCCAAAAAATAATTATAATAATCCTTCTATTAAAATCAACAAGAAAAATTCTGTTCTTGGTTTTTACACTGTTTTTCAGGTAAACGGGAACTGTGCTGGAGAATGATTTAGCAAATCACAAATGCAAATTCTGATAATCTTGCCAACCAAAGAATTTCATCAGCTGTGCATACAACGAAAGTTACAATAGGTCTTCAACACTTCTAGGCTCATTCCCTGATAAAGGTCTCTTGTGAAACTATCAAATATTGGAGTGGTAATAAATCTGAATTAAGCCATTGTTTGGAGCATCTATTAATTCAACTTTGAAAATCTTATCAGTCCAAATTGAAAGCATGAATATCAGTTACAGTGAGAGACCTGGTTGCTGTCTGATTAAATTAATTTTTTACGTGACAGGAGATATAGTTCAAAATAAAGATAATCTGAAACAGTACTTCCCAGTTTCCATGGTTACAATTACTATTTCAGCTTCAGATGACTTGGACCATGTTTACTAACACATTTTCATATTTCTTTCAGCTATAACAATAAAACGTAACGTAAATAATAACCGTTAACGTAAATAATAAGTCCATGATTTACCTGCTAGTTTAAATTTTCCTGTTGTAATACTATTGGGGTGGTTGTCGTTGACGTCCTCATACATCTCACCTTCCTGACCCTGACCTTGCACCACATGACCTTGAACTTCCATACCGCCATCGCTTTCCTGCTCGGCAAACCCAGAACTGCTTCTTTTGGTTTGGACAACTACTCTGGCATTTGACGGCCGTGTTACAGGTTTAGATGTAGTTTCTGTGATCTTTCCAGGATTGTGCCATTTAAAATCTGGATTGGCTTTCATAAAGGCTTCCTTGTACTGGAAATATACATTATAAATTGTCAGACACACATTTTACTATTTCTCTTAAATAATTAAGCTGAATAGTAAGCTGAACATAGAAACTGAGTACATGACCCTTAACTATTAATTAATAGATGGGTGCTTAATTGGTTGATCCAGTTCAGAATGCTTTGCTTTACAAACGGAATGTAGGACAGCAAGATATGATGATATACAGATTTGAGATATATGAAACTTCTGTAATAATGTAAAATGTTCAGCTGCAAGATGTAGAAATAGCAAAAATTGACAACTGTTGACGTTCTGACAATAGTAAAAATTAAGATAATATAAGTTAGAATATTTCTGATTCTCTCTCTTGGGACGTTAATTGCATCAATTCCACACCTCAACATGGACCAAAGTCTGAGCTAACTCTATAAATTACCCTCGCATTGACACTATTACAGCTATTTTAAATTTGACCCTTTCTGCTACTTGTCTTGAGGACTGTTGTATGCATGAAGTCCACAAGACAAGTAGCAGAGTATACAATTCTTTATCAGCTACTGTCAACCATGATTCCCTCTTAAAACCAAAATGACAGTGACTAAAGGGAGAGGTGAAGGCGGGCGTACTAAATGGCACGGACAAGATGGCACCTGCATACTAATCAGTAGTTTGCTTCTGGTTCATTTACAGAGAAGATGGCTTGAAGCAGCATCACAACCTAAACAAGAGCATGTTACACGATCTTATAATTTAATTAAAAAAGGCAAAGAACGTCCTCCTCGGCCTCACTTTACTGTAAACATTTGAGTTTTACAAATTCTTGGAAAATAGATAAAATCAATAGACAAAAATTACAGCAGTGCCTTTAGTATTTTATGTTAAAGCACTGGACCAGACATGCTGAAACTGTCGGTCCGATCAGTCATGACCAGGAAAATTTGTCTGGACCGGTAAAAAATTGGACGTGGTCGGTCTAAAGAACCGACAAGAGTTTTAAGAGTCACACTTTTAAATTTAGAGTGATCATTTGACATACTTCCCTAATAAAATTTGGTGGTATCTGTCTCAAACGAGTAGGGTAATTTTTGGTCCGACAAAAATCCATTCGGTCCGGCAAATTTTTCACAACTGCCGTACCAAATGTCCAGCCACTCTGAAAAGTTTTCAGCATGTCTGCTGGACCATTAGAGTTTGGTGGTGAAGTCAGTGTAATAACATCACTCTTAACTTAAGTACAATAACATAATCACTCTAGACTAAAATATCCAAGAAGTTCATAATTCTTCTCAAAGCACAGCTAACACAATTTAGCATCATCCACCACATCTGTTAATTCCCACCAAGGTCTTTGGTAAGGAATTCAGTAATCATAACTAAATATGGTTTAAAGTTTAGAAAATAAGAGGAGTTAAAAATATTTTAGACCATGATTTTTCATTCACAGCCTTCATTTTTCTACAAACTGATCATTTTAAATCTATTTCGATTTGAAATTTTCAAGGAGGCAAAAAAAAAAAAAAAAAAAAAGAAAAGAAGAGAGAAAAGATATAATCTTTTAAGATTAATATGGCTGTTGGGTATGTAACATTCACTCTCGTGACTCTGTATACAAAAATGGCATTGTTGTTGCCAAATATTAGGTCACAGCATTGTTTGAATTAAAATAGCTAGCGGCTCTCTGAATCTGTATCTACAGAAAACATACAAGGCTTTTCAGTCCCTTACAGCTGGAATGACACAGTACAGGAGTGCCTTTGAGTCCCTGTTTAAAACCTTTAGGAGTCAAGCTGATGACCATGTTACAAGTATATTTACTGTAACCTAGAGCGGCAGTAAATAAATCTTAAACTGTTTTTATTTTACTAGTAACTATTGATTTAGAGGATTTATGGCCTGCATGTTAAGGTTTATGATCAATCAATGATCCTTCCTCTCATTTTACACATACATACCCGCATAACACACATTTGGAGATAATGGGAACAAATGAACAATAACAACCCAATGCTCATCCCTCAGATGCAAGAAGTGATACATATGTATTTTTTCTAAAACTACCAAACAGTGTAAACCAGACACCCCCCCTCCCCCAATCTGAAAAAAGTAATGCATATTATTTGCCTAAAACAATCTGACAAAAAAAAGTGAAAACCTATGTAACCAAAATCCACTCTGGTACATTTCTTTCAATATCAGAACAAATCGAGGTGAAAAACAATAACAAATATACCCTACAGCACATTTTCTTCAATTTCAGCACCAAAGGAGCGGCCTGGATTTGGTCAATACATTTTCCACTGTAGCCGGAGTACGTACCCTGTGACTCATACAGGTCAGCAAGTTCAGTGGGTAAAAAACAAGCACACATTTGTTCCATATTGCAGCTGCTGGCTCTGTTTTTAGGACACTTATGTGTCTATCTCATGAAAACACAAAATGAAATATTCCCAAATATGTGTGTGAGATTTTTTTTAACCTTTCCTACCATTTTTTCTACTTATTTTTCAGCTTGTTTTGTTCCTACCTTTTTTTCTACTTAATTCTCAGTTTGTTTTGATCATCTGAAAATGATACGTACTCAACTACCCTGTGATAAAAAAACTAGGGTTTGTTTCACAAAATAACTGAAGTAGAAAATTTGTGTTGGCAAAGACTGTTAAAACTACTATGAAAAAGGTCATCATTGACTTAAAAGAATAAATTACAAGAGCCATACACCATCCACCATCTTTTGACATTGAGGTCATAAAATTGTTTTATCGCCGTTTTAAGTCAACTTGGTTACATTTCACAAAGACTCTGTAAAGAACATTTCTAAATTGTTATAAACTTAGCCTAAAGCAAAGTGTGATCATCTCAATTGGCAATCCCATTTAGATAAACCAAATATTTTTTTGTGTGCAAATCATTCATGAAATACTTTCATATAGTCAGATATCCAATATTTGTTGTCTAAACTTGGCCCAAAATCATACAACTTTTTATGAAATGACCCCGAACAAACACACCTTTTCTGGCTGTGTTATTTCTAAACACAAGATTCTTGTCCAATAATAAAGACCAAACTATTATTATTATAGTCCCCGTATTTGCCCTCATCAGCTACCTGCAGTATGAGATGGAGCACGTACTAGTAGGATGATCGACTAAGATGACTTCATCCATTACACCATCAGCCATCTCAACATGAAGACTGACATAACCTAAATATCACCTGTTGTGGACTGGGTAACCTGATCTCTTCCTTCTGTTGCTGTTTATGTTTTTGCCGTGAGTGGCGTTAGGTCTTGTTCTAGCAAGTTAACAAGAAGTGTTATTCAGAAAATTCAACTTTTTTTTTTGTCACTCCATTTTGCAATTTTATATCTGCCAAAAAGAAGAATATCTAACAATATCACCGTGTTGCCATGATATTGCTTATTATTATAGTCACAGAACGTATACTTAAGACCTTTACACACACACACACACACACACACACACAAAAAAAAACTGAAATGTACTTTAAAAGTTCACAACCATCAGCCCACAGATCAATCAATAAATAATAAGGTCCTCAAAACCAGTACCAGTACATCCTCCCCAGAGACTGTTTATCTGTCTCTTTAAATATTCTCTTTACTGTTTGATTTCTAATACAAAATTTAAAATGCTTGACTCCACCCCCGGGTAATGTAATTATTCAGTAAATTTGAATAAAATGAATTAGTACATTTCCAGAAAAATTATGTTTATAATAATTGATACTTCAGATGTTAATTCAAATGTTTAAGAAAGTTAGTTGGATATATGTCCAAAATTTAATTTTCATAAGTTACTTAAATGTTAAATCTTGAATGAGTAAAAGACTGCAAAGAGAAAGGCACTTGAAAACTTTTACAAATGTGGTGTATCACATCATTTCCCTAACAGTTGTCCTTTGTTGATAAAAACATGACTGAGCGGTTGAAGAATGCCTTGTATTACAGTTATTTGTTTACAGCTAGTTTCTACATCTCTTGACCAAAACGGAGGAAACAGCAGTAGAGATTTACCCAGAAGCAGCACATCCAGAGTACTAGACATTAAACACTTCTTCTTTATCAGTTTATTAAACACGTTTTATTGTTAAATCTGTGCTTGGTTCACCCCAGCATAACAACTGCTTAAATCCAGAACATAATAGAATGGAGATTCAGTTACAAATTTTTTTTTTTTTTTGGAAATTCACACTATTACCTGTTTAGCAAGATCTGTGTATAATTTCTTTTCGTGGCTGTCTAACTTGGCCCAGAGATCGCCGAGTATCCTGGTGATGCTGCGATTGTCCAAGTTTGGATGCTTCTCCTTCACAACACTTCGGTGACGTTTACAAAATATCAGGAAAGCATTCATGGGTCTCTTGACTGGTGACTCCTCGGAGCCTGTGACATTCTCTTCAAGCACATCCATCATCAGCAATCAACCTTGAAATAAATTTTAAAACAATTGAATTCATCAATTTCATTTTCATAACTGTAATTGTTCACATTATTATTAAAGCTGCTTTTTTAATATTTGATTTCCTTGTGAACAATACAAATTTAAAACTTATGGCACACCCCTTAGTAACGATGGCTATAATAACATCTGTAATTTTCCATCAGCATGATATGTCTGTTATAGGCACGCACATCAGATTAATGACAAATACACAAACTGAATGATGCAAGAAATGCAGGAAGTGAAATAGTAGAGTTTCATTCAACGAACTCGTCAGTCAGCTTAACACAACTGGAACTCCCAAACTGTCAGGGTTATTTTTGGTTTTACAATGACAACAATTTCATTACTGATCATCTATCGTAAATAGTGTACAAAAAGGTGTCACTTTAAGTTTATGTTGAAGCTCTGTAAATTTAACCATCCCCATTTAAATCTGTGTAGCTGCAGTATGTCACGTTTTGACATGGACAAATGTAGTGTCAATGACCTTTGCATAGATTTTAATTAATTTGTGGCAGTAGGTGTCACAATAACCTCTACTTAAAGAAGAAATATTGGAGTGTCACTTCTAATAATAAGACAAAGATTATCTTTAGGTTTTTATTGTGATTTTGAAAGCAGTAGAGCACTGGTGAAATTCTATGCTAGATGTCTCTAGACATGTTCTGTTTGTGGTGTCACTAGTTGGCAAACCTGACTCAGGTGGAGAGAATTTTTATTAATATGAAACTGAAAGTAATGTTTAAAAAATTCCCAATCACACAAAAATTTTGGGTTGGATATCTCTTAAAAGGTGATAACTAAAAGTGAAATATTACATGTGCTGAACATCTTACCCCTCAAATTTCATACTTCTCATCTATTGTTTTCTTCTTCTTTTTTTCTTCAACTAGCAGCGAAAATTACTGTAGTGAAGAATTCCATATTTAGCCAATTTTGTGGAATTTGACACCGTAATGGTCACATTGTGGCAAGTATAAAGTCCTCTGCCTGGTATAATATTAGATGAGTCAAAGCCAATTCATCTAATAAAATATGTTTCAAGGGATACATTGGTAGCACAGATATACAATCTGTTTGTATTTTCCAACCCACATATTAGCCTGTCAGTTTTCAAAGTGAAGGTCACCACTGTTAAACCGCAGATCAGCTGACGGCCTTTTAAATTTACGGTAATTTCAGCGCCACATATTACGGACATTACCCCTGAGTATCGAGTGGCAAAATTAGCCGTGATGTAATCTTTCTACGTCCACCATGATGTGATGAAATAGTTCGAGTTAAAAAGTCCCCTCGATGTATAAAAAGTAGGTCATCGCTTGCACATATGCAAAGATCATCGACATTGGATTTGTGTACATGTCAACACACGCGGCACGTAGCTGAGCGGAGTTAAATGAGAACTGGTGGGATTTTAAGAGCCTCAGCGAAAAAACATCACCTTATTACAAAAAATTTACTTTTTACGATATAATATCTTTCAGTGATGAATTTTTTGTCTCTGTAAAATGAAATAACCCCGATAGTTTGGGAGTTTCCCCTGTGCCCTAAATCGTTAAATCTGCTAAGCTGACCGACCGGCAAGTTCGATGAATGAAACTCTCCTGGTTTCACTTCCTACGAATCTTACGTCACTCAGTATGTATACTGTTAATCTACCTGATGTATATAACTTTAAGAGACTGGCGTGATGGCGATGGAAAATTACTTTCAGTCAGAATTTGATGTGAAAACAACCTACCCATTTCCAGCTGACAGGCTCTACTTGTTTGTTTCACAAAGTGGGTCATCCAGGGATGTAGGTCATTCCGATCGCGTCTTTTCACGCGAGATCTAAGATGTCAGTGTGACACAATGCGACAGTTGAGACGAGACCTAAGTTTGTTTTCACTGCTTCTCTACTGCATTTTCAGAGCATACTCAACATTGTTATTTACTGTCACCCACATTTCACTGAAGTTTTTTAGGGAAATCTATAACAAATTAGTGACAGCAATATTCAGTTCGTTATTACTTAAAAAGTAATATTTTTATGACAACCACTAAAAAAAGTTTTAAATGTTTTGTTGTCTTGCTTGTGCCATTTGTCAAAGATAAGTGTAGAGAAACAGTCCATTTAAACACTTTGAGGAATTTGAAAGGGGTTGGTTTTATAGAGAGGACCATTTCTATGTTTTTGTTATTATTTAGTTTACTTTCTTTAAAAACTAAAATTAAAGTGTTGGGTCTATATCTATGAGCTTCTGAATTCCTTTCAAGACTCAAAAATTCAAATACCAAAATACTATGACATGACCTATTAGAAAAAGTAAAAATAAGATATAATGGGTTTGGTACGATAAAAAAAAATAAAAATAAATAAATAAATAAAAAATAAAAAAAAAACATGAAAAGGTTTGGTACAATGCATATCTAGGTGAAAACGGTGACAATGATAATCAAACATTTTCAATGGCTGCCCTATTCAAATCTAAATGATCCCATCAGCGTCTAGAAAAATAAAGACCCAAGAAATGCATTTTTCTGGAATATATTTATTGGCAACAATCCATTTACAAAAATACAGAAGAGTCATACAATCTGACTGGCAGCTATATACTGTTCTGAAAAAAATTATTTAGCTTATTATTTTAAATAGTGGTACATTATGATATGTACAGCTTCCTTTTCTTTAAGAAATCATGTACAGCATTTTAACACCATGCATATCCAGCTGAAGAATCACAATAATATAAGACCAAATTCTTGGTCACATGTACTGTATAAACCATCCCAGGTCTTCTTATAAATCCATCACAAGGGCTTGAATATAACTTTTCTTTCTTTTTTATTTCACTTTATTTCTCCTTCTGAACAATATCAGTCCGAGTTTTCAATCATGTTTCTTGTGAAAACTGTTGCTTGCATACCTTAGCTTACATCAAACTTTGCATGATAATGATTCATAGAGTCCTACAAGTTAAAATTCCATCAACCTTGTAGGCAATAACTTAATAAATATATTTGTAAGTAGCCACAATAAATACGTATAACATTACATAATAATAGGTGTATCACAAACAATCTTTATAACAAGCCTGTGTACACAGGACATGCAAAACACAACTAAAATGCAGCTTATCACATTTTATGACAGGGCCCTTTAAAACGTATTGCTTTTACTTAATGGTAAATTATCACTCAAAGTTTGAATCCAATTATATTCTAAGAAGTTATCCTAAAAACAATTTCATTTCAGTTTCACAAGTTTTTTTCAATAAAGATTATGCATAACATGTCATATGCAATATTAAGTAACTTGTCAAACATTCTTTACTGCTGAAAAATATCAATGATAAAAGAAATATTCTAAATTATTCCACTTACACTATGGATTGACAATGTAAGTTGATCTCTCACTAAAAGCATATTTGGCACAAAAATGTTAATAAATCACCAAGATGATAATGTCTAAGGAAACTGGTCCTTGAGCAGACATCTAACAAGATAAAACTGCACTAAAATGATTCGTCTTAATTTCACGGAGCAGAGTATTTATCTTCCTTTCACTTTCCAGCAAAATAAATGAAGAAAAAGAAGATATGCATAAATGCTACAATAAATAAAGACATTTTCCAGTCACCAGCGCTGTTCTCCGTCATCCTACTAGTCCCCAGTCTTCCCCAAATGTTTTTAAGTATCTTTTAAAAGTGGCCAACAACAAACTCAAGTTTTTATTTCTGATTCTTTTTAAACCTTTGTTCCATTTATAACACACTTGGACTGAACATTCAAGACATAATTGGTCTGAGAATTCACGACATATTTGCTGTATATAAACATGCCCTCATCCGAACACTTCAACCTGGGAATCTTCTTCAGCCACTTTCACCAGCTTGAAGTCTGTGACCAGTAGACAAATCATGCCGCAGGTCTTAACTGTAGCCATGTGTTACATGTATAAAGTCTATGTATCAAGAAAATAAGATTTGTCTACAGTTCATCTATGACTTGTCTACAGCTTGGCGTTGTGATGAGCCAACTCGTAGAAAAGGACGTAGGCTTCTGAGGAGGTCACACGGTTTGATGATATGGGAGAAACTCTACAAAAATCAAATACATATAATCATTAGTTGGAATTTACATGTAATAAATAACCTTATCCTCTTTAATCAAAAACTTAAAAAAGCGAAAACCGAAACTTTAGTAGAAAGAGACTGAAATTGTGTTGTACTGCATATGTAACTCATAAAGATTTCATAGCATGTTAAAAAGATTCCATTTTCGTCTCTTTCGAGAAAATTTACTTTTTCACCACCAGCAAAGCTGTCAACTTTATATCAAATTTAAGGGTGAGCGAAGACAATTTAACCACATCAGTCTGCCTCACCTGCTGTCATTGTAGTGGTACCAGTCTTTGTTATACGGATGTTTACAGTAGGCCGTATAGTGACCAGAAAACACTGTCCCTGAGTGGTTGGACACCCCATAGAGATTATACACTGGACGATGACCTGGAGATATAATAATAATAATAATAATAATAATAATAATAATAATAATAATAAGGAAGTGAATAGGTGGTATAGTGACCAGAAAACACTGTCCCTGAGTGGTTGGACACCCCATAGAGATTATACACTGGACGATGACCTGGAGATATAATAATAATAAATAATAAGGAAGTGCATAGGTGGTATAGTGACCAGAAAACACTGTCCCTGAGTGGTTGGACACACCATAGAGAATATATACTGGACGAGAACCTGGTGATATAATAATTATAATAATAAGGAAGTGAATAGTTGGTATAGCAACCAGAAAACATTGTCCCTGAGTGGTTGGAGATTATACACTGGACGAGGACCTGGAGACATAATAATAATAATAAGAAGAAGAAATCCAAGTAGCTTAGACAAATTAGTACCTTTTGTTTCTCCAGCAAATTCCGAGAGGTCTAGATTCATGGGGAAATCTACGTATGTGGCCAACTTGGAGCGAAATCTTTCCCCAGAAAAACGCTTCAAATCTGTGGAATTAGGTTAAGGTCTTAACACTTGATACTAATTATATAATTTAATGCCAATGATGATTGAAAGAGAACAGTGAAGCCAATATATTACAGCCAAATATTTTGCAGTACATTTTCTGAGATCAAATTTCTGATGCCAAAAAAAGTGAAGAGATGTACTAAAATTGAGCCAGAGCAGACAGATTCTGTTTCAAAGGCACCATAATTTTCAAAACCTGACAAATAAAATTAATTATAATAATAATTATATTAATCCATACATATTACAGAAAAAATCTTTTCAAAATGTTTTTTGACAAAGTGAACAGAATTAAAAGGATACGCAGCACTAGAATTTGTGGAAACTTCTGTATTGAAAATGTCTTCGTGCATTTTCTCCTTGTTTTGCACCTTTCACAAGTCTGGAAAGAAAAACTCAAATTCTCAATACTGCCACAAACCTTGGACATATTATTTTTTGACTTTCAAAATACCTATACCTTCCATGGGAAAAAAAGTTCTACACATGATGAATTGCTCATCAGAAATATTTAAAATAAAGATTATTTAGCCTGAACTTTTACTGAACTTTGTAAAACTGCATTTTACTAAAAATATGCCAACTATTTCCAAACAAAATGAAATATATGCAGCCATTAACAGCAAGGCCATCTTCAAAGATCGAATGGCTAAAAAGAGTTTATTTTTCTTGATTACTTACTGGTCTCTCATCGTCATCTAAGATTTCTTCCCTCATAAACTCCTGTATACAATGCATTATTGTAATATTCGAGCTCTAAAAAACAAAACAAACAAAGAAAAAATACATAATTTCATCTTTGCAATTTTGCAATGCCATTATTGAAAATGTCATATTGAAAGAAAAATGATCATGTGACAATCTATTATCCCAATGAAACATAAGGGAAATTAATATCCAATTTAAAGATAAGGGATGAGACTAGGGTGGGTGGGTGGGTGGGTGTTTGGGGGGGGGGGGGGGTGATGATATTTTTGGCTCCCAAAAAGTCAGAAAATACTCTTACCTTAGGTATGGGGACCGATAGGTCCCAGAAAGGGTCGAAGGTCACAGAACTATGATCACATGCCGTGCAAGTCAAGGTGCTGCGTAACTGACCAACAAAGAGATCTGAAAAAAAAAAATTGGATTGTGGCTGCACGTATTTCACACTGACATAAGATATAGCACAAGAGAATTGGTTTTTTACATTCTCATAATATCACAATATAGGTCATGATCTCTCTGAACTTTATTTTCTCAAAAAAAATATTAACACCCCCCCTTTTTGTTTTGAAAAAAAAAAAAAAAGACAAAATAGAAACTATTATTGTTACTTTGAGTGCAAAACACAACTGATGAAATTCTTTGCTATACTGTCTTCTCTTTAAGTTACCTAGACAGTGCACTATATGCATACATTTCAAGCAGAACAGAGATTATGGACTACTACAATTTTAAGGCCTCCAGTGAACTCACCAACAATCTTGCTGTCATCAATCCTCAGGTAGCTCTTCCAGTACATGGTAGCCTTCTCACTGGTACTGAAGTGAAACAGGTGGAATGAAATAAAATGACACAACACAAAGCAAAACAAACTGACAAACTAATAAAAATTCTCAATCAAAAATAAAACTAGATAGCATTTCTTAAATTCATTTTTAGTAAATCACACTTACTAAGTACATGTACAAAAACTGATCAGTGGAAATGATAATCAAGATGTGCTCTTGGAGGTCAAAGCTAAGGAATTAATTAAAACCAATAAGACCAAAGCACCACAAAACAATGTACCTTAAATTTTCTTCATCCTTGTCACTGATTATCATGGGTTTAGGCTTACTCTGGACTCTGTTGATGTCCTCGTGAAGTCCCTGCAGCAGGTAACGTAAAAACTCCTGGGAATCTTGTTGACTGCAAAAGAATTTTTCAAAGTAACAAACAGCCGAGTCATGGGGAATATATGCAGCATTTTAAGCGTTTGTTCCTCAGCAATCAAGTATTGTTCATAAAAATTACTTAAAATAACTTGCCTGACAAATGTTCATAATTTTGAAACACATGTTCTATCTATGTCCTATAGTCCTCAGTGAAGGTTTGCCAGCTAAAGATGAGCTGTGCATATTATGTATTATGGCGAGAGCAAACTGCAGTTAACAATGTCAGAAATTCTTCCTTTAGTTGTATTATAATAATATTATATGATTTAGATATTGTACCTGTTATAATATAGCTTCAACATATTAGTCCATAGTCTGTGTCATAAATGCACAGACAAGTTGTGCTGATAAACATTATTTTTATTATCATCATTGTTATTATTGTTATTATTATATAACCAATTTGAGAAGTTCATGACTTACTTGTACCCCATAAACCTGGGAGCAAACCTCTGTATTTGACTCTTGAACGAGGTTGGAGACACACAGTCAGTGTAATCCTTCCACAGTTGCTTCATCAGGCTTGCATAGGCTGAAACAACACACAGTTTGAGACAGTCTTAATATATACCATAAGTTTGTATATGTATCACATATTACATTTATCTACTAGTAAGTATTTTGTACATTTGCTCCAAATTGTGCATGTACGTGTGAATAACTGGGCCTTTTTCTCTCTCTCAGAGTGAACTGTGGTATGAAAATATGTAGATTTTCATATAATTACACTTGTGCCAGTATACATGTATGGGTACTTGTAACTGAAAAACAGACACATGATGTTTAAGTGCCTTCCGCCTCTAGCTGCAATTTGTGTAAAGTTTGTACTACAAGTCTGATACAACACTGGTCTCTGGTCTGTTTCTGTTCTGTTGCTATCACATAATACGAACATTCTAATTTTAAGAATTTATGACTTTAAAAAATACAGGATCTGTAGATTTCACTATTCCCCCCCTTGAAAAAAAGGAGTTACTGCTGAACTATTATAACTTTAACATGCAATGTCAGTACTTTGTGAGTTTCATTTTTTGTTTCTTGCATGCAGTATCCCTTACCATTCATCAATTGCCCCTTCATACTGCTGGTAGTTTTGTTGAGATCCTTAGCATAATTATCCTTGAGGCAGTACTCCACCAGTAGCTGTGTATTACTGAGACACTGGAGGATAGAGTTCATAAAACACTGGAAAAATAAAGGTATATTTCTATTACCAACACAGCATTACATTTATATTTGAATGATAAAAAGGTACAGTTAATTGCCATCTCTACCCATTTATGTGTATCACATATTATTAAGGACATACTCATACTGTTAACAAGTGTGATGCTTTTATGTATATGACTGTTTAAAATATGTTTGTTGCTCAGTGAGTTAACTCATTATCCAAAGAATACCAAAAACTTTCAATATTAATAATCTATAAGTGACACGTGACCATAATCATGGTAACTATGACCAAATGTAAAAGCTGATGAAGGTATCCTCACTGTATTGCCGACATTGCGTAATCCCGTGAGTCCACATTTTTCTTTTCCTGCTACAGGGGATATCACTGCATTGTCCTTGCCTATATGACTCTGAAACAGAAATATCATAATTCCATTAGTTTATTACAATAGCGAAGCATCTGCAACATATTTATTGACTCAGAGTGCAATGCTAACTAGTCAACTTAAGATGCCTTTACTACAGAAATTACAATTTTCAAATCTTTTTAAGAGTTATCATAAACTTATCAATTTATATTACTCATGAAAAAGTATTTTCCGACAAGAAGACAGAACAGATTCAAAACTAACAAAATAATTCTTTGGGGAAAATTATCTATTATGTTGTCAGAATTTATTGAGTGTTTAGTAAGTTACCATGATGATACTTTTTCATCTGGGCTAGTCAATCTTAAAGTTTGTATATAAATAAATGTATAGTAGCAATGTGTATTTAGTCAGAATTCATATTTTGGGTATTTGATATCCTTTCTCAACAAGACACATAGGCGGTTTTTAAATAAATGTATTAATACTGTTGCACAAATTCTACTAAATTTGTTCAAGTATATTCTTCCTACATTAAATAAATACCTTGAAATGCTCATCTACATTGAAACTTCAACCATACTTTTAATCAGCCAAAACCAGTTCATTTCCCTGAGACTTCAGTGAAATTAGTTCTGTTTTCTGATTACATTTATGTTTTTTGGGGAATAGGTGTCACTTAAAACAACAGAACAATTTATATAATTTTAATTTAATGTGTCATTTGATAATTTTCTTATTATAAAAGGTGTGTGTGTATGGTGGAGGGGGGGGGGGTTGTTGAATGATTTCCAAGAATCTGATGTGATCAATTTAACTAAAGCAAATGCTAAGGTTATGGGTTAGGTTAAACAGCCACTGCTTAATCATCAAGTGCCTGTTGCTTCTATCGCAGAAAGCTACAGGAACACGCCAAGAGGGTAATCAATAGCAGCAATGTTAGAACCAGGTTCTTGTCATTACGTTTACTGTGTACTGTTAACTACATCAATAATATCAGCCAGTATCAACTTCTGTGTTCATATGGATTTCCAATATCTTACTACACATGTAACCAAATTGGTACAAAACATCAGCATTGGTGTTTAAGGTCATGCCTCAAAGTATTACGACTCACTGATTCAAAGCCAGTTTCCAAATCATCTTTGATGTGGAAAATTTCCACAAAGATAAGGTTACTATGATCTAAAAACTTTTGTAGACGGACCCTAATAATTTTGAAATGCAATGCTCAAACTGCTTTCATCTGTTATAATTGAAAGATTCAGAATAACATGCAAATTATGATTTTAATTTAATTGGAGCCTATAGAAACCACAGGGTTATATACTGTTATTCTCACATTAGAGTTAGAGCCCACAAGGATAGAAACCACATTTCAAAACTAACAGATCTGCGGATCAAACATGGCCAACCCGCCTGAAAGCTTACTGCATAATCTCTGCGGAGAATATATTCAGTATTAATTAGGGGATTATGTGGCATACTTTCAAGTGGGTCGTACGTATTTGATCTTCTGATCTTTTAGTCTGTGGATCATCATGTTCTGAATGCACCCTTAGACTGGGTTCCCACAGATTTAGATCGATCCATCTGGATCAACCTAACTACCTGGGGGTTAACGCTAAATTGCTGTTAGCTTTCGGGAGTCGAGCGTGCACAAAAGTTATCCAGGGGGATAGATCGATCTAAATATCTGTGGGAATGGTCTCATATACTCACATTAGAGTTGGAGCCTATAGAAGCCACTGAGTCTTGTCTCCCACTGGCAGCGTTAGAATGAGACAACCTACTTCCCGGACTGGAACTGTCATCTTCTGAGCTATACCTGAATGGAATGAAGAAAAGCATTATCTAAATGAATGATGTAAAGAGTGTGTTACTATGGTGACTGTACAGCTTCACATGAAAACTAATCAACTAGTACATACACATATGAAGTAATGTCTATAAATTAATTGCCAGCGTATGAGCTTTGGGCATGAGCTTTCACTTGATGATAAAATCTGAGAGTTACATATACACTGTGATGTACACTTTCAAAAGAAAAAAAATGACTTGTTAAAAAATAGCTAAAATGGGAATTTGCCACATACAGTCATTAAAATTGTGGGAAAAAAAACTTGTTAGAGCAGACCCACTGCCAGTTTGCCTATAATGATAATACTAGTACATATAAAGAAGACAGGATATGGGGAATTCACATCTCAATAGCTGTTTATCATCAGTGTCACTGCCAGTGCAATACACAGATACAAGATGTCTTAGAGGTACATTTGAACTGAGTGTCAGTGGAGTCTGGATTGCCAATAATGCATATAAACCACTTCTACTGGTTTCTTACTAGTACTTGACTCAAATAGAGTTGACATGCCAAGGGATAGACCGATTTATCACTCTATCAGGCACAGAAGAGCTTTAAACTGTACTATGCACCTTCAAAATTTTGGTAATGAATTTGACTTACTTATCTGCCCTGTTTTTATACAGCACAAAAAATCCCTTCAAATGTCACTATTCGGGTAATATAATATAATGTCCTTTGGTATTTCTCTAAGTTATACTATTTGAAACTATATGGTGGCATTTGATTGGCTTCTGTGGCAAAAAATAATTAACTTCAAATGCATCTTTAACAGATTTAATTTAACAGCTGTATAGTAATATTTCATTTGGTTATTTCATGATCACGGCTAACTGACAGATAAGTTCAACCTGAATCGGATAGCTATGTGGAGTTCAGAAAGTATAAATTAATATATTCCCTCATCCACTCAGAAGGGCAATATAACACTTAGTAAGGTGAGGAGGGCCTCTTTTCTAAACACCTAAACAGAATTGCAGGTCTTACCACTTTCAAGCCATAATCATTACTCTTTTCTTTTACCACACTGTAAGTACCATCATAGTACCATGGCCCATAGGAGCCTGCATAAGCACTTTTCAACAGGTTATAAAAATGAGAAGACCCAAACCACCCTCTAGATTTCTCATTTTCTGGAGCAAAGTAAATGTAGATGTGGTATAACCTATGACAATTTTGCATTTCTGGTGCGAAATCAAAGATGGAACCAAGGTGTTAAATGTCTACTTCATATTTCTGGAGTCTGTCAAAAAAAAAAAATAAAATAAATAATAAAATAAAATAAAATACATGTTCTGGCTCCTACAGGCCATGGTAATTAACATAGCACTGGAGAAGAGCACCTGACTCAACCTTCAGGTTCCTAATAATATCTGAACACATTCCAGAGCAGCATGGTACAGAACAGTACTGGTCTACAGCCAGATCTCACCTGAACTGTACCCAGCCATCACTGGGTTAATACAGCATATAGGACATATGGGAAAAGACCATAAATAATAGGCTTAGGCCCCACTCCCATAGACACCATCGGTCTATGTAAATCGATCCAACTCTGCAGGAACTCTTGCTGAGTGCAATTATTCTGACTGCATGACACGCCTCCTCCTGGTGTTAAGTTGCATACACAAAAGCTAGTACCTTGGAAACAAAAGGAGGCGTGTCATTCAGTTAAGCTGATTGCACTCAGCGAGATTCTTCCGCAGAGTTGGATCAATCTACAGAGACTGATGGTGTCTATAGGAATTGGTGTTTAGTACCCCATCACTAACTGCTTGCTCCAACCTAAGGCTTACAGGCAGACAAAAACCAGCGTATATAACTCAAGTGCAATTATGCTCAATATATTGGTCTAGCTTCTCCCATTCTTGTCTGGCATACCTATTTGTCTCACACAAAGAGCAATTTATTGAGCAAAATGCAACAGAGGGTGCAGTTCAGAATTTTTTGCTGCTTGCCAAGTTTGGCATGGAAAGATACGTCTCACTTCAATTTTTTAAGAAAAAAAGTTAATGCCTGGCTACTGGGTCTCTAAAAAATATAGAAGGATAAAAAATTAAATGACATATAGCAAGCCTTTCATTATTGATGGCCACTGGCCTCAAAAGACAGCCTATATTTTCAAAGACAGCTCGGTGGCTTTTGTGTTATGTGTTATGTGTTCATTTATCTGGGTGAGCCACTCTATCAATTTGCAACTGGCCAGGTTTAAATTGAAAGAAAAGGCCTCCAGCAGTCAAAAAAAAAAAGAAAAAAAAAAAAAAAAAAATTAGTCACAAATGCTTTCCAAATTATTAAAAATTTTGAGTCAAGTTGAATGGTTGTAAAAAACCTGTGGAAATGTAACCAAAATAGGGTATCCATGGTGACAAGTGGTGTATCTAATGTTTTAGATTACATGAACTTTTATTGCAGCCCTACATTTACAAGCTTCCCTACTGACCTAGTTACTGGCCTGACTGGACTTGTCGTCGTGATGTCAGGTTTGAACGTTGCCGAGATCCGTTCCTTATGTCTGTAAGAAGAAGTGCTGATGGCATCATTATTGTCAGACTTGGTACTTGAAAATGAGTTGTATCCAGAGTCATACTTTGACTCCTGTTTAGCAGAATATCCATTGTATTTTGAGCTTGGCAAGGAGTAACCGTCTATTGTCTCATCTCGACTTTTTTCAGTCCTTGCCTTGTTTTCATCATTGAGTTGTAAAGTGTTGCCACGATGTCGAGAAAACCTGGAGGGAGTGATTCTACCTGATGTATTCATCCTATCCAAATCGCTAGTCAAATCACTAATGCTACTTGTCCGTTGTGTGCGTGGTAAAGTACTCGTCCGAGTTGACGCTGTACTGTCATAAGATGTAGTAAAATCATGATCGGCCTTCAAAGGTCCATTCCTCACAGTTGACGCCACAGAGGTCCGCCTTGGTTTAAAACTTGTATGGGTGGTAGGATCCATCTTATTTCCGTATCTATCCAGTGGTCCTGGACCATCAGGCAATGGCCGCCGTTGAACAGCTGTGCTGCCGTAGCTGGTGCCACCTATGCCATATTTGCGCCCTGCAGACAGCGTGCTGCTGCTGTTGTAGCGGGATCCAGGAAGGTCCGCGTACGATCTGCGTTGTGGCTTCGGGGATGATGGTGGTACAGGCATCCTGGCAGCTTGGCGCCCGCTGGAGTAAGGGATCGGGGAGCGTAGGGAGCTAGAGCGTGCTGACATGGGGTCCAGACATGTGCAGTGCCTACCAGAGTAGGCCAAGGATCTAGTGTAGGGTAGGGGCGTTAATCTGACAGCTGCCAGGCTTCAAGGACTGGACGCTTTAACTCTGTACCTCCGCATTGTGGATCTCTGGAACAAACAGAAAACTGTGTTAATGCAATGCTACAAAATATAGCGACTTAGGAATGAAACTGTCAAATTTGATCTGGTTTCTATGCTAATTCTTAGGTTGGGTCAACTTTGGAGGTAAACAGGTCCACTTTTTTATTCTATTTTATTTCACAAAAAGAACTTATGACCCCTTTGAAAATGCTGGATACAGGCCTGCTATTAATGAATTAATTAATAACCCTTTTACACCAACAAACAAGGTAATGACAAGTCATTTTCCAAAATTATTAAATAACATTCTTTACAATCTAGGAACCTGTATGACAATGGAGTACATAACACTGACGCAGTAGCTACTAGCAGTGAGTTTATTTCAAACCCAGAGCACTTTGGGGTAGAATTCCAGTCAGTGCACAGAGAGTTCAACAGAGAAACATACGATGTATACTTTGTCTGTTTGGTTCAGTTTGTGGAGTTAGGCAAAGAACATGTAATAAAGCCTCAACAGGATTGCTGAAGAAAAGAGTAAAATTTATATCTCAAGACCATACTAGTAAATACAAAATGTCAAATCGCACATAACAGGGTACTTGTTAGTGGGAAATAAAAACACTGCAGTGAGAAGACCTCAAGTAGGTTGATAAAAGTCTGTATGTCTTTACGATTACATATTCAATAGAATAAGTTGAAGAAATGTGGAGGCCAACATATCATCATCTTGGTACGTACTCACTCTCCCTTCCTGTCTGCCAGTCCACCTTACACTGGCTCTACGCAGGGCTAGGTGGCCCTTGGTTTACCTGTACCTATAAATAACCCTGGCAGGCGCCTCCAGTTTATAAATAGAAGTCAGGTGTAATTCAAACCCATCAATCCAGAGGTGACGTACCTGCTGCTTTAGACATCTATCAACAGGAAACATTCCCTAATATACTCATGCCATTGACTGCTTGAACTCGGCATTAATATGGTGAAGCAAGTTATGCAATGAGTGTAGAATGTGATCAAAATTGTTCCTAAATTATACCAAAAGTATAATGTTAGACCTGCCAACAATAAAAACCCAAATGTTACAGTTGAAATATAGCCACAACCTCAATCATAAATTAAACAAATGAAGTTAGTCTACATGGTCTTCTTTCGTGCTAGTTTGATATTCAAACAAAAGTGGAGTGAGGGAAATTCCAGCCTTAGAACATGCTATCTCCACCTCAGTAGTAAGTGGTACACAACCTGCTAAGAAATTATTGTTAAAGGAAGCCTTTGCTTATCTATATCCTAGCTAGTAATGGAGCCTGGAGAGGATTAAAAAGATCCTTTGAGGGGATGATACTAGAAACTAATGATGTATTCAGTTACAGCCTGGGATTAAACCTGTAATCTAATGCCGAAGATAGTAACAATTACTACTGTTGTTTCCTTGCTATCTGACACATAATAATATATCTGACACACTATCACTCATTAACAGCTTATAAAAAGCAACAACGTGAAAAATTCAGGGATACTCCAGGAACAGAGTAGACTTTATATTTCCTCTCATTATGCCTACCATAATCACTGAAAAAGCTATGGATTCCAGATCGAAAATGAGAATATGACCAATGCGGTCAATCTGCACAAAGAAATTAAGGACAAGTAAGACTCTTCCTCACAAAATTTCAGGACTCAATGTGTGTCAGACTCCAGGTAATAATGATAGCTTCGGAAACAAGAGTTCCAATTTTGCCTGATAAAAATCAATATAGAATACAAATAGCCATCAAATCACTCTCAGACCAAGTTCTTCCACCTTTAAATTGCCAAGGCTTCTTTTTCCACTTCTCATTTTTATGTTGGAGAAGATTTCGTTGTGAAATTAGCAAATAAAGCATTTGTCATAAAAAAAGAACTCAATTTCCATCTGCAGCTATATGTACCTCTTGCGGTGAACCTTTTACATATGAAACCAATGTCCTAAACTCTTATAAATTTAGTAAAGATTAATTTAAGCTTGAGCTCCAAATTGGACATTATATTTCTAACCTACTGCGTGCAAAATGCAATCCAAAGATTCCACGGATTGTGTCAACCATTAAGCACAAAGAAAACAAACATAATGACTAGTATTATTTATTTGCTGAAGATTGGTAACCTCATCAGGAACTCTCCATCCTTGGAACTCTCACACTCCCAGAACTCTTATTCGTCTGGTTTTTGCTCCAAATCTTATCTCCCTAGGTCTCTCAAGATCTCTCTTTAAATATATATCCAACTTACTATCCTTCAGTTACACAGTACATGCAATTCTTAATTGCTTCAAACTGCAGAGTTTAAATTTAGTGGCACAGTATTTGCCCCCACCATATGACTGTTTGATTTTCAATATCTTATCTACATTTCAAATTTGTTGTAACAGTTTCAACACAAGGCCAGTGATTAGGGGCAATTGACCTGGATTTTCATTCCAGGTGAAATGACCCTAGTCATTTACTCCCTGATAATGGTGACTGACTGTCACAGAAATATTGGAGGTAATACCCACATGTTTTACAAGCTCTTGATAAAAAGAAAAACAAAAATTTGAATTGACACATACAGAGTTAATGAAACTGTTCTCGCACTTATCTACATTTGCTTGTGTGTCTAATCATCACCTTATAAATATATCTTAAGATATGATACTTCACTCTTCAGAACTGAATATATTGACATTGAGGTCGATAAAAAGACGGAGCAATGTCCTTTTCCCTCATTTGTAAAAGCCTGCTCTGTGTAACTTTATGCCCAAGTATTTGTTTTTAAAGCTGTCATTTCTTTACAGACTCTATGGATTATATATATAGCAATTTACTAATTTCATTTTTTTAAATACTTAACTGTTTTTGATCAATATTTTTTGCAAAATGCTAGACAAGTGTGGTATTCTAAAGATGTTTTCTGTGGCACTTAGGTTCATATACCAATCAACACTCAGCCCTAGGGAAACTAATTGTGATGAAGATCCCTACAACTTACGAGAGAATTCCTTCAGGAGGTTTTAGAAATAAACATTAGAAGAGAAGTGTTAACTCTGTCATCTTAAAATGTAACTAATCAGTGACAGGGACAGGCAAAAGTAAAAACCCTTTTTCACTTCAACTGTTAGGGTACAATTCCCAACCTTCCATATCATTTCACTTTACATAATGTATCAAGTTTCCAGTAACTTCATCCTTCTTATCGATCATAAATAACAACTTCCACGTTTAAAAACTAGCGGAAAAATTGCATCCATATAACAAATGTTTTAATTTCACAATTAGATAAGACCCAACCAACAACCAGAGAAATAACTCAAATTGCCTTATATAGGCAGAGCAGTAATGATTGAATGTGCGGTGCAGTGTAGCCGAGCGCTTGGAAATGATCAAAACACTGTATTCGCAGCTGATATGCATAAAATATAACAACCCAACTATACATATAATTCACGTGTGACTTCATAGAACAATAGTTCTTCAAAAGTCTTTAACGAAAAATAGCTATCAACTCACCAGGATAGAGTTTTCGAGTTAAAAATATTTGACTTCACCGTCGTTTTCGGCTGTCGACCGCCATGTTTGTATGATCACGTGACAACAGTTTACTCCTGACAGCGTTTCTATGGAAATAGTTTATATAAATACCAGTCAGATAATGTAAAAAGGCAAAATATATCATTCATAAATAAAATTTTATTTTTTTATTAATAATTTGAATAAAACATTAAACAGAGTCGAAAATATAACAGTTATAATTAAACCAATCACCAAAGAGCTACCCCGCACACCACGAAAGTTGGAAAGATCATAGAAGTAGAGACTTCTATGGAAAGATGCAGGCTCAAGGTGGCTTGCCGCAGCCCGGGGAAATAGTATTTCTCCAAGAGTTGTGTCGTAGTGACACGGATAAAAAATCCGTGAGAGTGATAGGCAGGTGCGGAAAAACTTAAAGGCTCAATTCTGCAATTTGGTTTTAGCTCGGTAGAGTCGGACAGTGAGCCCGTAGGCGTATTATAAACGAGCCCCCCCCCCCCCCCTTCTGTTTTATTTACTCAAATTTCAAAGGTGTATATAACACAAAGTCGTTTGTTTTATCAACCTGGATCGAGCCCAATTCCAACGTAGGGTCCACACATTTTTCTAATACTGCTAGGGACTTGACATTTGTGTGACAGATATTCATGGTTATGAATAAACCATATATATTTGAATTCTAAAGACTTTTTTTCATATTTTTAGTGAGACGAGATTTGCCAGTTATCATCTTCAAAATTGGGTAAACCTGATTTTCTCCCCTAAATTTTGTCAAAGGTTTGCATTTGAAATTTGGATATGAGCTGGGCACAAACACGCATTTTAATTTTGGTTCTTTGGTAATATGCTTGTTGTGATATGGGCAGAGAGAGACAATTTTGGAACACATATACCCTGTATGTGCAACGTCATATCATGATATAATGATAAAAAATTCATACAATGTTCTTTCTTACGCATAAGTAGTGCTAGAGCTTGGCCTTCTTATAATGGCTAAAATAATGGGAAACGAGATGAGGGATGAAAAAAAAAAAAAAAAAAAAAAAAAAACATGGCATGCCAATTAAAAGCTAAAGATCTTTTTCTCAAACATGGCTGATGTTCTGTCTTGCTGCCCTTTGCTTCTAGAAATTTCAAAATTTAAAAGTTTGTCATTTACATTTTTATGTATGACCTTTCCAATATTATCAAAATATTGCCTATACTTGGTAGTATCAGCTGTGTATAATGATGTCAACATGGGTCAGTTCTTAATGCAGTAGTTGAGAAGCAACACGCAATGTACTGTAAAAGAAAATAACAAATATAACACTTGTGGGACACTTTTTATGGTAGTCTGCGTCGCAATCATCTGTATTCCTCATCTGCCACAATCATCTGTGCTCCTCATCTGAACCTGAATCTTGTGAAAAGGCATAACCCTCTTTTACTTTTTGGGTTTTTAAAAAGTTTATCATTTTGGAATTTCTGACATATCCTGGAGATTAAATCTGGTGGCAACAATTTATAGTTGGTAGTTTGGCTGTGTTCAGAATAGAAGTTTTATTATTATCAGGACCAATTTATCTCGGCAGGGATTCTTGCTGAGGCACAGCCAGTGTAATCGGCTTATAATTGTCTGGCATGCCCCCTCATAACTTTAAGTACTTGGGTAAAGTTGGGTAAACTTTGTTGTCCATGATGTTCTTCAAGCTGCTTTGTGAGGGAGCATGCCAGACAATTAAGCTGACTACATTGACTTCGCCCTAGCGAGAATCCCTATTGAGATATATTGATCCTGCTAGTATAATATCTTTCATTCAGATTGTAATGACTTCAACTTTTCCCAGCATAATTGTTGCAGATGTATGGCAAGTGTCAAGAAATGATGGTAAAAGTTTGGTTAGTTGGAGAAAAGAACTGTTTACCCCAGGAAATTTTAAGAATGAGTTTTTCCCAGGAAAATCGTACACTGCATCTTTAACAATGTAAGTGTACAAATTCTTGCATTGGCAATCCATTTCAGCTGTCTATCCTATAACACATTATTTTTTTCTATTTTTGCCAGGCTAACAAACCATGACTTTCGTGCCTGCAGTGCAGTTATAACAGATGTGACACAGACATATACAGTGAAAGTCGACACCACTCTTATCGAACCATTTAACTACATGAGAGACTCCTTGGTCCAGCTTATTGGAGAGATGGAGAGGCTGGACAGAAGTGGTGACAGGATTCTGAGGGCCAGAGTGGTCAGCATAGTGGACGGGATGGACATGAATTTGTACCAGAGGGTAGTTCAGGCTCAGAGACAGTATTTCAACAAGAGACAAACTATTCTACACATTTAAATGTAAATCAGTATTGTGTGTATTAAGAATGGACTTGAATTGGTACCAGAAAGCAGTTCAAGCTCATAGACTGCAGGAGCAGATACAGAGCTATTTTCTGACAGTCTTCCAAATTATCTTTGTTGTTTCATCCTCCATTTTTGACTGTTTTCTTGCAGAAAAAAAAAAAAAAAAGATACCGGTCTGTGTAAACTTGAAAGTCAGACCGTATTCTGGAGGTCTCAGAAGACGGGTCAATCCGGCCCTGGACTGAGTATTACAGGAAGAGATACATGTTTAAATGAAGTGGGTGTCAGTATTATATGTATTACTGTATGAAAATTGGAACTATGGGCCATTTCAAACAGGAGCTGCATGGGACCTAGAATTAAGATGAATTTAGTGTGTTCAGGGAAGAAAATTTAATGTTCTCAACTTGCTTGCGACTTCTACCACAAACATTTGATGGAAATGTGCTCAATGAGAAAAAGTGTTTCACAGTCATGACATTAGTTATTAAGATGCCTGTTGTGCAATGTGTCCACCAAGTTCACAAATAAAAGTGTTAGGGACCATTCTCAGACCCTATCGTACTATTAACTGTGGATCGATCGGTCTCCGAGGGGATTCTTGCTAAATTGCAATCAACTTAAGTGGCTTAGATGTCTGTCACGCCTACTGAAGCTTCAAGGGGGTAATTATAATTGTCATTTAGCAGCTTAATCAGTAGGTGCACGTGCTGCTGAAGCTGAAAGCAATTTAGCAAGAATTTTAATTTTCTTTTTTCAACTTCGAGTCCTTAATTGTCCCTGCAGCCTTCTCCTCCAGGTAAGCGAATTTTGTTTAAACCCCTGGGATCTAGATGTGTCGATCCTGTTAGATCAATCAAGGCATGGGAACCCAGTCTTAATTCATTCGTAGGGAAAAAGACGTTTGCCTATTTTTAGCTACCTCTTGCCAGCTGGATGCCATTGGGCCTGAATAACACCTACATCTATGAGTGTACCAAATAAGGTGTGGACTTTAGTTGGCGAAATTAACCAAACCCAAAATGAGGATATTAAAAAGACTTAGGCTTCGTTCACATGCAATGTCTATTTTCTAAATTCTATTTTCAATTCGCGGCATGTGTTGTGATCACGGTCTGTGCCCTGAATATCCCGCGGCGTAATTACTGGCAGCGCGAGCCAATTACTATAAGTTACTATAAGTAACTGGCTCGCGCTGCCAGTAATTACGCGGCGGGATATTCAGGGCACAGACCGTGATCATAAGATAGCGCGAATAGAAAATAGATTTTAGAAAATAGACATTCCATGTGAACAAAGCCTTAATTACTACGTCAACATTTTCATTAAAGTGTTTCAGGGATTCCAGGAAAGACGTGATGCCAAAAATCTGTAAATTCCTCATTAAAACTCCAGTTCCAAGTGAAAAAACAGGATGTCATGAAAACATGGGAGAAACTGCCTCTCTGATGGTTGCTTTGTGATGGGGCATGCAAAACATTTAATATATTGATTATAGGCAAGAATTTTATGTAGTAAAAGCACCACAAATGCTGAAAAAAATATAATTTTTATGATTCTAAAACTATATTATCTGAAAAATTGATAATTCTTGTCCACTGAAAAAGTTGAGTAATATTACTGCTGTTATTCAGCTGTTTTCCTGTCAACACAGTCTTACACTTATTTAGAGTTTAAAAGGTGTATTCGAATCATTGAAACCAAAAGGTTGAAGTTGTACTAATAAATGATTTAGAATGAAAATAATAAAATGAAGTATTAACATAGAGTAAAGGATTTACAGTAAGATCAAATTGAGTTTGGAATAAAACAGACCTCTCACAGTTAGGATAAGAAAAATGTATAAGACGTGTTTCAGAAATGTTCAGTATTGAATTTTGGTACATTGAAGTCAGATTGGCTATGTCTTAGCTTTCTGTATTTTCTGGAGGTTAATTTTCAGAGGTATTTTAACTTGTTCTTTACACTCTTTATTTTCTCAAAAAAAGATTTCTACCTCGAATATGATGTAAAGGTGCACGTCGATGCACAAGATGCATTTCACACTTGAGTTTCAAGTCTCCAGACAGCATGATCCTGGGTTAACTTACATACTAGTTCAGTGTCAGGTCAGGATGTCTTTACTGATGGTGTAAATACCTAGATCCACGTGCTGCTGACATTCTATTTGTTGAATAGACCAAATCAAACAAATAAAGGAAGTTCATTAAAAAGACTTCATTATAACAAGCAATTTTAATTGAAAAAGGGCTTGTTACATTTAGGTTCTGGGAAAAACTAAAACCAAAGTTCAAGTTACAAATACATAGAATCCGGGATATGTCATTGTATGACATAATAACACAAGCTGATATTAATTGTCTTTTTTTTTTTTTTTTGCTACAGTTTAAATTTAATGGTACCCACTGAGTGTTGGGGCACTTTAAGCTAGCTTGTTCATTATACCTTTGGTCTTTAGGCTGGTACGCTTTACAGAGTATATATAGGTATTGCTGATTTGGGTTAGAGAAGAAATCAATGAAGACCGAGCTGGCAATAACGAACTCTGGAACCTAGGGTAATTAACTGGTAAAAGACAACTAGACACATGTACCTCAATATAATTCAAAATTCAGAAAAACTTAAAATCTTAACAAGTCTAGATTTAGGATCAAAATCAGTGGGCCCCTATCTGCATGTTAAAGCAGGTATTATAGATTAGAATACCTATGCCAAAGGTAAACCAACCCAGCTGGAAACAAAATATTATTATGGATTTCAGACTCAATATAAATAAATAAATAAAAGAATAAATATATTATTATAATTGCTATTAATACCTGGGCGTTTTCTGATGGCCAGTCAAATAGTCACATTCATGCTCAGGTCCCGAAGTTGAAAATGACCTACATTAGCTCTGCTTTGTCCTATTTGAGTGTTTTAATACTTTGAATTATCTCTGGAGTGATAAGAACTAGAATTAAAATTGAAACCTAACCAAGGCTTTCTCCAGAGAGTCATCTAGCGATCATTTGAACCATTAGCTTCAAAAAATGGCCTGTATTGCCAAAGATGGCTGGACGGTTAACAAAACTTTTGAGAAAGGATGGGTTGATTAGTTGGGCTTGCTCGATTTAGAGGGCATTTCCAGAGATTTAGATCAATCTTACTAGATCGACCTAACTCCCTGGGGGTTCACGCTAAATTGCAGTCAGCCAACCGCGCACGGAAGTTAATTACCCCCTTACAGCTTGTTGTAGGCGGGACAGACATTTAAGCCGGATTATCTGACAGTAATCTAGTGAGACTCCCCACGGGGATAGATAAATCTAAAATCTATGGGAATGTGCCCTTAGACTCCCTGTAATTTGATGACAAAATTAAATATGCACATTTTGGACTCCCTGTACCCCCAAATCCTAGGGAAGCCCCCGAACCTTCTTAAAGTCGGTTTCTGTTTAGTTTATACCAGCAGTGCTTATACCAACAGACAATGCCTGGAGCACAGGGTTATTCTGAACTCTATACAGATCTCGACAGTCAAGTTCTATCCTTGAAACTCCACACTAGTGGACCAAAGGGGAAATCTGTACAGTAGGACACATACTGTCAGGATTTAGGTGTGATTTGAAACGTCATGGATTTTTTGGTACATCCGCGTCACGAAATAGCGCCAAAAAAGTGGCGCGATGAAAAATGCGTACGTCTGAAATAAATAAACTTTGCGAAAAAACTACAGTGAATTGACTTTTCATAATTTAGAGACTAGAAGAAGAGTTGTCCGTTTATTGAAAAACGGTAAGCTTTCGTCAATGCACTGTACAGCGTAACAGTTATTTCCCTCCGAATCCAGAAAACAGAATATTTTACGTGTCCGAAAATGCTTTTGTATAGCGAGGGACTATATTGCAAGGAAATTGTTTCCAAATACGAAATTGGCTTAAAATTAATAAAATGGTCGAAAATATATCCAGGTTTTCGATTTTGAAGGGAATTTCCCGCACACTCTCTGGTTAAGAAGTCTCGACAGAAAATCCAAAAAGTTGTGAAAAAACAGAGCAAAATTTCTCCCCTGAGGCACCTCCGATAAGAGTGTACATCTCATTCATTTCCCGAACTTGAAATTACGTTTATTCATCCAAAAAAGTTAGTGACTAACCTCAATTTTCAGGCAAAGCAATGATGTTCCATAACTTGCTACCACAGCATTTTTTTGACCTTGAACTGTGGAAGTTCGAAAAAGTCATGTGATACAAATCATGTGACGTGCAGATTTGGGTGCTAAAATGCACTTTTATAGACCCATATTAAGTCAAATATAAATTTAAGAAACAGAATAAACATTTCTTTTATCAAAGACCAAAAACTTTATACAAATTTAGTAAATTTACCGAAATCCCGCCCACTAAACGAGAGGTGAATTGAGGTGCTTTCCAACGAAACCCCGCAACTTACCACGAGGCAGGGACAGGTGAAGTAGGTTGTGCGGCAAGTTATGATTTTTATCCTTGCTGAAATATGGAACCCACACATTTATAGCATGTCAGAGACTCATTATCAGGTACGTATGCAAATTACTTAGATTGTAAAATATATATAAATGCTTTTTATTACGAGAAATGTGCTAGTTTCGCTCCACTACGGACTGTACATAATCAAACACATTTGTTATACATTGTATCTTGTAGATTTGTTGTTAAAATGTGCACCGTGTGACCGACGCAGGCTTATTCAGAGTAATCTAACTCCGACTACAGTTCAGTTTTAAGATTAGCTTTTGATCTAGTGTTATTTAGAATACTAATATTACATTACGACAAGTGCCTTAATTAGTACGTAGCTGTATAACGTAGCATTGCGAGCACCTGTCATGTGAAGCATAGATAATGTGCTTGACAGTTGTATATTGATTGAATTATGAATACATCACCTTTTATTTGTATAATAATTAGCTATAGGTCAGGGGAGTATTTGGCAAGATTTAACATTTCCCTTGTCCTTTTTTCAGGCTGATAAAATTTTTAAAACTTTCTAACATTGATGTAAGGAAAAAGATGTTTGGATATAGAATGGTAGAAGTATTTATGTAATATGATTTTTTTCATGATCAGTTAACACTCATTTTCAGTATAAAGGCCCATTTGAAAGTGTGGGGTTTATTTTATAAATCATTGAAAATGTTAAAATCCATGACTTGCTAGTACAGGTATGAAAATGAAAGTTGAGACATTTATACACCATACTCACTTACTGTTGAAGTTGTAGATTTTTACTTTAGTTAAAATGAAGTAGATCTATTGGAGAATGTTATATGATTCTAAGATCAACAGTAATAAAGGTTTAAAATATAATCCATTTATGTTTTCTATGTGAAAAAAGATAAAGCCAGTAATTATTTTTTTATTATGTGAGTTCCTAGAATTGTGTTAGTTAAGTACCACTTGGACATATCTTGTCCCTCACTCATTGTTAGTCAATTTTTTAAATGTTAAATGGACCTATATATTGAAAATGGGTGTAAACAGATTGTTTTTACATTTAGTTGCATGGAATTGTAAATTCTGAATTGGTTCTGATTTTCTTTTCCAGATAAAAGAAGAACAGTCTTTTCGGATATTAAAGAATATCTGCCAGGCTTTGAAGTGCCCTGAAAAGTGACCACGATGATATGCTGCATCATTATCATGCATTCCTATTCGTTATATTAAAAAAAACTGTCACCAAGCCCTTAGTGAAAATTGGTTATCAAAGTATTCTTTGGCAGCACTTACATTTTTTGAAACATAAATATTGAATTTTTTAAAAGAAATATGACTTCGGTGGTATTTCTTTAAGATAATTGGATGGCAGTGTTGCAAAGAAGTGTTATTATGGACACATTTTTTCTAATTGGACTCCCAGGAGCCAGGCTGCTTTTCACATTCAAACAAGAATTTTAAAAAAATGTCAGAGTAGTAAAAGAGGTATTTTGAATATATTTACAGTCCACATCCATTTATATCCAGTATATAGTGCTTCCATGGTGTTCACAAATACAGGTAGAGCCCTTTTAGGAAGCAAGTTACATATTCCCATATTTTTAAAATATCAGATATCAAATACAAGCATATGGAACTGTTTTGAATAAAGACATAAATTGTCATTGGTGATCACATCAGCATATTTTTCTCTTATTTTAAGTCTTAAAAGGATAGCTAATGTACTTTGAGATAATGCATTTGATGACAGAACATGTATAAAAAATTTCTTCAGCAAAAAAAAAAAAAAAAAAAAGAAAAAGGAAAGTCATTTAGTTCAACCTACTGCAATGAAAGTGAAAATTTTATATTATTTTTGGAAATATTTTTTTGTTTTTATTTATGTATTTTTTTAAACATTTTTACACACTTTGTATAACTAAATACTTTGTGAATTCACTAGCGCCCATGCATATGGACTTCCTGTGCATGTATACTTGTACCTTTGTTTTGATAATAAAATTATTGAATATAAAAGAGGTAACTGTTCATATCAGCCCAAAATGGATTCTCCTGGAGTAAATGACAATTTCCCCCTTCTTACCAATAGTTACTGGGGTACTGAATCAGTTTTGACATTCAAAATTAGTCTGTACTGTAATTTTTTAATTTGTTTTAATATTTTAAAAGATTATTACAGAGTATAGCCATCATGTGATTGGATGACAAAAACAGTTTCCAAAATAATTGTGAAAACTACAATTTTGGTAGTAAAATGGAATATATATTGTATTCCTATATGGGTTCTTTACACTATTTATTCTTAAATGTGAATCTCATACAAACAGTTGTTAACCCTTGAAAATATTCATTTAAGAAACGACGAATTTGTCTGTGGAAAATAAAGAAAAACAACTTTGTTTTATTTTAAACTTAAGTTTTGGACTCGGAAATGTTCAATTACCTACATATTTCATAAGTAACATTGAAACGTATGCAAGGTACATGTACCGGTAGTAGGGCATAGAAAAAGAAGGTGCAACAATATTAAATTTACAAGTTAGATATAAAATCGACACGCATTGTTTGACTATCAATTGAAAACTGTAATAATATCCAAAATAATGGGTGATAATCGCCAAAATAAAGCACATCTGCAAATGTAAACAAACGCCGAGTTGGGCCCGTCTTGGGTCATGGATGACGCAAAAACCTGGATTTTGCACGATTTTTGGTACAAAAAATTCTGCAACAATTTTTTCCAAAGATGGATTTTAATGATTTTTTATACATACAATATTGATTAAAAGATACGTTATCTCTTATCTGGAATTTCCCGCACACTCTCTAGTTGAGGAATAGTGGCCAAAGTTACGATGTTGCCAAGGTTAAATTTTACCGCTCAGTGCGACTTTGACGAACGTAAGCTCACTCTAAACGACAAAATTTCAGTAGAATGCTACATGAATATGAAGTCTACATACCCCACAATCATAATATCGTATTAGACTTGCTAAGTATGCATTTATTTAAAGTATATAGCAATTTTTCGACCAAGTTTAATTTTTTACAAAATTTGAGCCCGACGTTACGTCCTGGCGCGAGAAAACGACGTTATATCACTCCGCATCGACAGTATGTGTCCTACTGTGTAAAGGCAATTTAGCCATGATTCCAGTATTTCGTGCCAATATGTGAATAGTATCTAAATTGGAACACAAAAAACAGTTAAACTAAATTTTATTTGAACAGTCCTTATAGTACAGTGTCATAGTGCTAAAGCCTGAAATGTTGCGAGATATTTATCAAATTTCATACATATATCTTTCAGCATATACAAAATAAATTCAACATGGGCAACAAGTCACCGTCAGCAATACCCATCAATGTTAAAATCATGATCTTGAATTATAGGCATACCAAAATGTAATATTGGTGCTAATTGTTATTTGAAGCAATGGGTAACTTTGATTTTACATAAAAATAATCAAAACACTGTTGCTTAAATAGTGTGCATTAAGTCTGTTTTATCAAATGATTCAAGTAATCATAAATTTAGACTTCTAGTCTTGTGCTTTTTTCTGTACAAAATATCCTTAAATGGACTACTTTTCCCACCTTACATTGTAAGAACACTTTAGGATATTGTATCAATGACTTTGGCTTTTAAATGTTCAGACATATTGATAAAAATGGCTTTCTAAATTCAAAACATCAGAATTTTCCTGACCTAGAAATGAACTTATTTCACAAAAGAGATTGTTTTAATTTGAATTATTTTATGAGCTACTAACAAAATTGTATTATAAGTAAGATAAGGAGCATGCTTAAGTATATAAATACTGCCTTGTTTCAATTCCTGCACAAAATATTTGTGGATGAAACATGCACATGACACTATGTACTGTAAACAAGGGGGGAGGGGGGGGGGGGATATTATTTCAGGGACTGCTTGCATGTTTGAGTTGCACGTGACTTCAGGGTTATATCTGAAATATCAAATTCACAAAAGTGATGTAATGAAGGAATTTAAGAACATGAGGAAGGAAAATGTACCCCTAATGACCTATTGTTCATTTCAAAATTTTATGTATTATTATTCAGTCAGGAATTCCAGAACTGGTACAATAATACTTAAGGAAAGTTGTTACTTGGAAATACACGTGCTCAAAATGAATGAAAAGTTTTTGGGAGAAAGTTAAATCCCACTACAATTGCTTCATTTACTGAAAAATAGTGTCTAATATCAAATATTATGTCCATACTCATTAAAACTCATTAAATCGTCAAGCATATGTATAATTTGTTATTTCAACATAGCAATATCTAGGAACAAATACATGCCAAAGTACGACACAATGTTAACTAAGTTTTGATAAAAATACTACGCAGCAAGTTACTGCTTTGTTATACACTTTCTAACCTAAAACTGAACATTTTACACAACGTAACGCGTAAAACAATAAAGACATTTAATGTGCTAAACAATAAACAGCTTTCTGATAACTAAAAATCAAATGATATATCTGTTTATTTAAAATGCTAAATAATGTATCTTCTGGCAAAAAACTGCTTACTGTTGCACTGACAACAAACTTTACAAAAAGAGAGTAAATGTTGGCAGGAAAATCTCAGCTCAAATATAACTATCAGAATAAACACAAAATGGTAAATAGTGCACATTTGCTTCAATGTCCATATTTATAAAGATAATATTCTGATATATAAAGATAGCCTCAAACTAGTGCATTTATGTACAAATCATGCATGAACCTATCAAGCGTGTTCACACACCCAAACAGCTTTCTTTAGACCTCATTATTTTATTTATCTAGGCAAAACTGAAAAAAAAAAATTTTTTTTTTCACTAAACAATTTATATGTAGGATATGTAGTGTACTAATGGTATAATACAAAAGATTGTTTCTTTTAAGGAAAACAAATATTATTACACTACAGAAAGAAATGCAGTCAACTGATAAATATTGCCATTGAAAGCAAAAAAACTTTATATACAGGTTTGTGTTAAACAATAAAACTTAATGGCATATATTCCATATCTGACACTTGGCAAAGAGAACACTACATACCTATATACATGATCATAACAAGTATCATAATATTTGGTTATATAAATGCTAAGTACCATTTTTAAAATTTGCAATTTATTTACAAACAATTAAATCTGCAGGACCTCTTCAGTCAGTTATAACAAAGCATAGGTGTATAATTTTAGGAAAAAATATACAAACGTCTCAAATTCACCAAAACAGAGCACATGAACATTTTTTCGAAAATAACTTGGGCACTTCTCTAAGTACACAAGCACAGAATTACACAGTATGCATCCTACCAATACCATAGCAGTAACTGTGGCAAAACAAAAACAAATATCTCACAAAAAATACAGTTTATATATATGATCCAAGTCATTGGCTTTGATAGCCCTTTTTCTAAATCAAATTATGCAAAGTGCTGCTGCTCCAAGTGTTGACCGTAATGCTGCATCGCAGGGTGCATCATGTGCTGCTGTTGCATGCCTGGCGTGATGTTCATGCCGAGAGTGTCTGCAGCAACGACATTACAGCTGTAGTACGTAGGGGGAGGAGGGGCCTGCATACCTCCACTGTACACTGACTGGGGCATTTCATAAGACTGCGAAGCGGGGTCCATTCGCCGTGCGGTTGGCTTCCCACTGAGAATATTTACGATCTGTGAAACAAACAGAAAATTAAAGAGATGTTGATATTTGTGTAGGCACGTGCATACTTGAGGGATGTTCTATCAACTGTTAAAACCTTGTTATTCCTTTGCTTAATTTATTGGGAGTATTTAACAGTGAGCTTAAAGTAAACAATCCTATGATAACAAGTTGCTGTCTTCATGAAGTAAGACTGCGCAAAATATTTCCCCATTTTTTTTAACCATTTACTGATCAATTAACTTACTTGATTTCATTCTTTTTATTTGTTTTTTCTTTTTTCAATTTTCTTTCCACTCTCAAAAAGTTTAATTTTTATGCTAATACTGCTTATTACACTATGAAATCCGAAAGCATCCAAGCCTCACCTCCTCGTTATGATTAAACACCAAGTCTTTCGGTTTGTTCTTCTCGTGATTCTTCTCATTGGGGTCAGCACCCTTGTTCATGAGCAGACGGATCATTCTCTTGTGCGTGTCAACATCTGGCATCTGCAAACCTGTAAGATGAAGAAACCATGTCAGTTAGTCCACTGCCATTTTTAGATTCACATTTAGCAAATACCATAATTATAAGGCAAAGATACCTAGCCAAATAAAAGACTTAAAGGTAAAATCTAAATTAAATAAAAACTGAAGCTGGTCTTGAAATGATGTCTATGTACAAAACCAACTGCTTTTTCTAAAAATGTAATGATTTCTTCCAATGGCTTAAGTAAAATGTCTGTCCAATTGTGAAAAAATGTTCAGTTGGTTTGCTGCTATATCTGCTACCATTCAATTTGAACTCCATTTTACCATCTTTCAAATAGTAAATCTTTAAAGGTATAGAATGATCACAATTATACTGCTGCAAAATGGTTTTCTTCACATAGCTGAAAAGTTTTTGTCTCATTTCATTGATTAAGTGAGATGATTTATGACCTCACCTGCTGCTATGTGTAAACATGTGTTCTCATCAAAGGCTTTGATTTTAAGGATCTGATCACTGCCTTTTATCTCTAACATCTTTTTCACCAGGTCGACGTCTTTCGACTCGATGGCATAGTGCAGAGGGGTCTTCCCGCTCTTTCCATCCTAAAGAGACATTAACAACACGATCATTAGCCGAGATTTACTACTATAAGAGAAAATAACACTGGGCTTATATACAGTCAAACTAAAGACAAAACCATCAGCAGGATTCCAAATAAATATGAAACTTATTTTCATGAATATCCCTTAATATTTATACTCCTGATGAATAATTTCAGTAAATAAATGAAACTATCTCTTCTTCCAACAGTTACATGGAGTATTGTCCTCACAATATATAAATATATCACAAAAATTGCACATTTTTAAAACTGCTTATCAATGATCATGTTGGTCAAATGCCTCAAATTTAAATAGATCTGTCTTGTGTTGTCAAATGCATTTTTCGTCTTCTTCTTATTATTATTATGACTGTTCTTTTGCTTACCACAACATCCATCTTTGCTCCCCTATTTATCAAGCATGTGATAATGTCAATGCTATCAATTTCCTGTCGGGTCTCGGGGTCAATCTTCTTATGTCCCGCTGCTGCACAGTGGAGAGCAGTTAAACCTAAAGAAGAACAGAAACTCAAATAATTAATTGCAAACTATTAAAACTAAAATCTAAAGCCTTCTCCGAGAATTTTTAGCCACTACCCACAACCTTGATCATCACTTTGACTTGGAAACTGATTTTTTTTTAAATGAAAACACCTGTTCAAAATGTTATTGTAGAAACATGTTGTCATGAAAAGCACAGTGATTTTCAAATTTACCCAAATTGCACTATTCATCAAATTTCAGGTAAAAATAAATTTGCACTATTCATCAAATTTCAGGTAAAAATAAATTTACTGGATGGATACATACTGGCTAGCTATGATATGCAGAACATAACTGACAAGCCATTGTGATAACTTGTACAGCCTATTGAATACTAATTACATTTATTGGAACATATTTCAAACCCAATTATTAAAATGTCACAGCATAACCTTATTAAGTATCTTAATCCCTACCTTCAGAGTTTTTAGCGTCCAAATTAAGCCACTGGTTGCGCAGTAGTATCTGAATGGTGGCCAAATCTCCGCACCCGGCGGCCACATGTAGCGGACCTCTGCTCTCCAGGGACTTCGTACCATTAGTCACGATGCGCGCCTGCAAATTAGGATCAGCGCCCTGACTGAGCAGCATCTCCACAACTTGTGGTTGCCTAGTTACCGTTGCCAGGTACAATGCAGTCTGATCCATTTTGTTCTTCATGTTCATTACTACTTGTAGGGTATCTTCTCTGGTTATTCTCTCCAGCAGGGCCTTAACGAGATGGGGGTCCTTCTGGCACACAGCTATGTGCAAATATCTGGAACAGAGATTCATACTTTGAAAAACAATGTAAGAAACCTAACGACTTTAATTGCCTTGGTAAAAGATCCATCTCTAGTTTTTCTTTTAGTCATATAAAATAGTCAAATCTTACCTTCCGAAAATTTTACAAGTAACAATCCTAAGGCACAAGCAAAATAACTTAAATTGATGTCACAGAGTAATGCAAAATAAAATGTAGTTTGTATAGATCCACAAATTTAATACCTTTCAAGCCAGCAGAAAAGTGGCATGAAATAGTCACCACTATAATAGAAAAATGCAACTTTTTTATTATTACAAGTATAAAAAATTTCACTCACGTGTCTCCGTCCTCATCTTGAGCTGTGATTTCTGCACTTTTCATGTTGGCCACGCATCTCCTTGCGATCAACAGTTTCTGGGGGGTTCCTCCAGGGGTGGTGGGGGTGGGGGGCAGGCTGGACCCAAACTGCGTCACAGGGGTGGGGGCACCTGGTGAAGTAAACTTACTGTGTAATTCACAAAATCTGATACTGCACTTAAGTTCCTAATATCTCCACTAAGTTTTCACTAAATTTTAAACTTAAGGTCTCTTTCTGGCACCAGCCAAGTTAACTTCTCACGTATGATATCTGATACTACATTTAAATTCTTAACTTCTCTGCTAAGGTTTCAATAGATTCTGAACACTCGCCAATTTAGACAAATGCTTAAACCGATTTAAATTGGCTAAACAAAATAGGGTTGATTTGATTTGATTTGACTAACAGTTTAAGTGTTGGTGAAGTCCCTTTTCACGCATCATTAGTTCAATAACATTGTTCAATTTTCCAAACTTCACTTTACAAATCACAAACTGTGGCAACTGATAACTGTGAAACTCACCAATATTTAAACGTGGTGGGGGCTGCTTGGAGCACCCTGGTACGGGCGGCACCTTGAATACGCCATCTTGCTGAGATGGTTTGAAAGATCCAGCCTGGAACATGGAGGAAAAATTTCACCATAGAATCAGAGGTAAATGGACTCAAGTCTTTCACACGACCAGTTTTTATTCACAGCAATGTGATTTGACTGTATGTTAATTTATCTTACATAAAAAAATACATTGGGATTTTGGTTAAAAAATGTAAGTTAATGTTTTTTTTTAATTAAAACATATTTTGTAAATTTTTTTTTGCCTAGGACTAAGGCCATGACCATATTACTGACTAGACTGTAACCTTGGAAATATCATATCCAGCATATTTCTCGGTATCAATTATTTTATGTTCCCTTCCTACAAAGTTGTTAACTACCATTGAAAGAATCACATAAACTACCAAGAACTGGTAAATCAAGGGATAAATGCATGAAAATCAAACAAAACATTTCTGGAATCTCAAGTGCAATGGAATGAACTTCCGATGTTTTTGAAAAATACTGAACTTAACTTATTATCACTGTTGTCACGTGTCAGTCTTACACGTTGATGCGTGGCAGTCTTACACGTTTATGAATCAAAGAAGGTTCTACTTACAGTAGTGGTAGCCACAGCAGGCTTGACTGCAGACATTGTGGAGGGAGGGGAACCACAGCCCATCTGCCCCTGTGCTGGGCTGCCGCTCACACTGCCCCCTACACTCTGGGGGGACGCCGGCTTGGGGGCTAATTTAGGGAGCTTCTTACCGCCTGGAATATAATGTTGAATACGCCACATTAATGACCAATTTATAAGTTCATTTAAACAAGAAAATAAAGAAAATTTATGAGCCTTACCTAATACAAAAAGTTAGAATTCCACATGATTAATATTTGAATCACAAGAAGTTTTTCACTTTTGAAAACCTTCAAAACACAAATTCTTCTCATTTAAAAGAGAAAAATGAACATAACAGCCAAAACTGATATATATACACAGCAGAAAATGTTATAAATAATTCAAATGAAAAATGTGAAACACAATTTTTCACTTTTGAATATGTTAATAACATAGATTAAATTTCAGAAGAAAATTTAAGTCCAAAAGAGACATTTCAGTTCTCTTTAAACATTTATGAATGGCTACAAATAGCACTGAATATCTATCCATTTTTTTCTTATCCTAGCCTTGCAATGCCAGCAACAATTACCCTGATATATGATAAAATTATCCATTAAAAGTCCTTGTCTGCTTAAAATACTAACAACTACCCTCTTTGTAAAAACTGTTTAAATGGTAGGTGACAACTCTGTCCTGTCAACCCCAGGTATGGTTTCATGTGTTCCTAAAACCAGCAATCAAAATTCTTGCTGTGATTCAGAGTCCCTAATTATATCCTAGTTATTTTCGTGGGACAGTTTCTTTTATTTAATGCAAAGGATCATGGTTTCTCAATTCTCTTTTAATTGAATCCCAAGGAAGCTGCGTCCTGAGATGGCCCAGTTAGTCACCACCAATCACTGAGCAGTTATTTTAAGATAAGGAAGTGAAAAATGCGTGGGCAGAGTGAAACTTGTGGCTTGTTTGTTTCCCTCCTGCTACTGATAAACAAATTGGGGTTTTATGTTAAGTAGATATTGTATTTCAAATATTTATCTTAAACTATTTATTTTGTGCCTTTTCTACAAGAATGGTAATTTAACCAATTATAAATTTGAAATTTTGATGTCTATAAGGTTGGCCAAGCATATCTGCTACTAATAATCAGTTGAAATTAATAAATTTAAAGAAGTGCACCATCCTAGCTTCTAAATCTGGAGTGCCTACTAGTATCCTCATTTAAACACTTTTATCTTTTAACAAGGAAGTTGTATATTTAATTATTGACTGTTAGATACCACTAGTTTATAATTTCCTTTTCTTTTCCATTTTTATTATTTTCTCTGTGATCTTATATTTTGTATCTTAAGTGAAGAAAAGTGAAGGGCATTCTCCAAAGAGGCAATCTGTGCAGCAATATCAAACTACAGTTTCTTTTTAAAGCACATAATACCCATTTATCTTACTACTGTAACAGCGAGAAATTAATTCTCTCCTGGAAATCTTAAAATTTTGTCCCTTGATCAAATCCATTCACAAAAATAAACATAAACCTTAATTTCGTCATTCTTGTATTGGAGATAGAGTATGGCGATTTTCAATCATGATGACAGTTAAAATTTGGAAATTAGAACTCGAAAACAGGAATTTAGATAATATTTTGAAATTTTCCCATGGTTTTGAGTAGGATGTACCTTTAAGGCAATGGAAAATTGTTTTAATTTTGAGGAAAATAATTTTTGCTATAATATAGTTTCAACACACTTTGCAGGATTTTAATAACTATTCAACAAGTTACTACTGTGAATGGCTAAAAGTATTATTATTATTATTGCTATTATTATTTTTCTTTGTAATGTTTCCCTTTTATTTATTTATTCATTATAACTATTTTTACTATTATTATTATTATTTTTTGCTGAAAAAGCCTCCTTACCTTGTTGTTGCTGCACCTGTGGGGCAATGATGATTATGGTTGCCGGGTTAGAAGTGGTTGACACGGGAACAGCTGTGGTTACCATAGGGACAGAGCTTGTTGTCAAGGCTGGATTGGCTGACATCATTGGGGCTGAAGCTGCAGTGATGTTGGGTTGAACGAGACCCTGAACACTTGCTGGGGACCCAACACTATAGCAAAGGAAGGCAGCACAATTGTCAAATTTACAGGCAACACAGTAGCAAAATAAAGCTTATTAAATAAATTCATTCATTAATTAGGCATCTACAATACCCAGAATACTAGTGCTTTTTAGGACAATGCAATTCTACAAGTGACTTAACTTTATACCCCACTTTCTTGTTTATACCAGTCTTCTGAAGACACAACATGGAGCTCAAGTTAATAAGGAAACCTCTAATTATCTTCAACTACTTGAGTACTTTGAATTAATACTTTTATTATTTTTTTTTCAGCAACAAAAGCACTCAAATATTTTATAAAGCCACATAAATCTTAACCTTGCGTGTCATACAAATGCAAGCTAAATATACTCAGTGCCAAAACACACAGGTCATTCCACAAAAATTGCTGTCAGTGATGCCCAAATTTTATACAAGTTATATTTGTTTTTCTTCACTTTTTTAATAACTGTTGAGTTCTTTCCATATTGACAAAAGCAAAAATAATGGGACAACTCAGAATCATACTCACTGCTGGGGTGGCGAGTAAGGACCCTGACACGCTCCAGACGAACTCTGCTTCCTGATATCCATGGAATCTTTCTCAATGACGGATATGACATCGGAGAGGTGTTCCAAGTCGTCTGGAGAGAACACGTACTGGCTGTCCTCCGAGGGGAGGCTGCTGACACTGGCCTGTGGGGAGGGTGCCCCCTGCGAGTAGGGTGAGGGAACCCCAGTGCTGGTGTTGGATACTGAGGACTGGCGCACACTGGAGATGGCCTGTGGTGAACCCACATTGTACCCTGACCCAGGGGAGGGAATACCCTGAGAGGACATACTGTAGGCGGACTCTGCAGGGGAGGGGACACCCTGAGAGGAGTGAGACATGCTGTACACGGAGCACGGGGACGGCACCCCCTGCGACATGTGTGACATCGGTGGAGAAGGGACGCTTGTGCTGGCTGGCCGGGCAGGGGAGCTGGAGCCAGCGGTGGCAGGACTGCCATGGGATGTATACCCAGGTGCCTGGTGCTGTTTCTGTGGAGGAACCTGTGACTGCTGATATGATGGGAGGGCCGTCATCCCCTGTACCCCCATGCCTCCTTTTGGATACGGAGGCAACTGCTGGTATGTTTGACGTGCCTGAAACATGTACTGGGTCTGGCCTTGACCTTGTTGAGTGGAGGTTGAGGTCATAGACATCTGTGACATGCTTGAGGCTTTGTACCCTTGTTGTTTTGCAACAACATTGGCATTATTTCCATAATATCCGTGATACTGGTTAGCTGGAGGGGGGCTCTCATTCTGGTTGGGATATTCGGGGGAAGGAACTGGAGACTGACCGGTGGAGTCCAGATGCTGGCGTTGATTTATTGCTCTTCGCATGTGCTGCTGTCGCTGCTCTGACAGCATCTTGGCATGAGCGTTAGCACTTGCATTGGCCTTGGCGCTGGCTATCTGATAAGACAACTTCTGGTACAACTGTTCCTCTTGTTGTTTTTGGCTGTACTCATCATCAGTAACAATACCCAGCAACTCATCTATGTCGAAGAATGGCTCCGTAGTTTCAGATCCTGGCACTGTAAAAGTATTCAGCGTGGAATTATTGGACCAGTTGTCCGATGTCTGTACCAAGCAGTGACCGCCACTGAATCCGCGTTGGTTGTAGGTGACATCTATATTGAGAGGTTTATTTTCCACAGCGGTTGGGTCATCTTTATTGAGGTTGTTAAGACCGGACCAGTTGGTTGTCTGTCGACCTTTAAAGGGAAGAAGAAAAACTTAGTGATAAAGTGCCCATAGAGGTTAACAAGAAATAAATGGTTGAAAGATAAATAAATAAATAAATAATGATAAATTTAACAGTGCTAAAGACAGGATGCACGTTTAGATTCCTTCTGGTTCTTGTTTTTTAAACTGTCATACTTCCTTTTCTATATTCATTGTTCCTTATATTCTCAAATCTTCCCCTTTCAACAGATTTTCCACTCAATTAAACTTCCTTCAAGATGTTTATTATAATCAAGATGAAACTATCTGATACAAAGAAGAAAGAGGGGGGAAAAAGAGACATCAGTGTTGAAGATGAAACCATTTTTTTTTACTATCTTATAAAGGTTAATAGACTGTTATTTTGTACTGATAAGATCTAGAGGGAAACCACTGTGCAATCTCAATTCACAGACCACGCCTGTTGGCAAACTTTCAATTTTATATTATGCACAGCAGCTGTATTATCAGTGTTAGCTTCCGATAAGAAAATATTCCTCAGCAATTAACATTTTCTGTGCATGTCAGCTCTATACCAGGCATTTTTGAAATAATTTCAAATGTATGAAATTCTAGTCAAAATTTATGACTTTCAAAACATTATTTTCCAGGAAATTTAAATTCTGATATTTTAACACATCACATCCATTATCATTTTTATTTTGTAAGCACTGGATAGACATGGTCATGATTATGACATTTTAATTTTGTAAGCAATGGATAGACATGGTCATGGTTGGCACACCATGACATAAGTTGTTATGTCTAGGCTTAATCTTGAATATTATTAAAATCTGTATCATTTGTCAAGAACATACTTATTTACTAGTAAGTTACTTAATTTGCCAATAACATACTTATTTAACATTTAAGTTATTACTAAATGAATTTACATTGATCAAACTGGGTACAGTAATCACAGGGCTAAACAGATCAGTTTCCTGACAAAAGCCATCCCAGAACCAAGACCTTACCCACGGTATCCTCAGATTCTGCAGGTCCTCTGTAAAACTTGGGGGGCATAGGGCTTTCGTCATATCGCCTCTTCCCACCCAACACATCATGGTAGCAAGTGGCCTCGTAGTCGACGCCCCCCATGTGGCCAATGGTCCCCCTCATCCATTCCTGGCCAGGACCTCGGCTGGCCAGGCCCATGCGTAATTTGGAGGTGTTGTCGTCCTCTACCCCAAACAGATTGGATTCTTTTTCTTCTTCTTCTTCATCCTCATCAGCAGCATCTCTTTCCTTTTCTGTTCTGGTGGGCTTGATAGACAGTTTCTGTAAGTCTGCAGCAATGTCAGCAGCTTCTTGCTTATTTTTGGAGTCAACTGTTAACGCAGACATGGCGTCAGTGATGTCTTCGAGGACTGCATTAGATGCAACCCCTGAGACGACTGTCTTGTTATCATCACCATCAGAGGCTGTGGTGGTCGTTTCACTTTCTGCAGAAACCTCTGTATTGATAGCCTTTGCATTTGATGCAGACTCTTTATCTGGTTGAGAAATATCTGAAAAATATCAAGAATATCTGAAAAATTTCAGGAACTAACACATACTACAGTAGCAGGTCAAAGGTGCCTAAAGGCTTTATCAATACTGTGTCCTACTGACATCATTTTATGTCTCATCTATTAGCATTTAAGTGAATCGTTTAATGCACAATAACGAACTTTAGCCAACAACAAATTTAATCAGCAATGTAATAAAACTTATACTTGAAAAACAGGGAAAGGGGGTCATGGAAAATGGAATCTAGGTTGGTGAAAACAAACGACTTTGTGTTAAAGTATTAGAGACCAGTGTTTCTATAGACAGGTTGAGAAGGACCTATGTGTACTATCTCTCAACAACTCTGAAAACAATCTATCGTTAAATAAAAGAGTTTTCTGCTGACATTTCCTTCACAAATTAAATATGCAACAACAGCTGATAGAGACGCATGTTAAAACTAGGACAAGATGGGCTGAAAAAAATCAAAAACAACATCAAATTTACCTTGGTTTTCTGGATCCTCTGCTTTCCCCATCGTTGGAGCGTTTTCTTTGTGATCTACTGATTCATGTACGTGTACTTTGGTTGCTAAAACTGCAGCCATTTGGATACTCTCCTATCTCTTCTGTGTCAGTCCTAAATTTCGTGTCTTGCTTATGTTTCTTCCCGGAAATAATGTAATATGCTGATTGGTCAGTTTCGGCCTACGTCATCACGAAGGGATTTCCCCTCTGCGCCAGCTTTGTCCGACTAAGAAAAGACTTGAGAAAATATACTTAATTCGGTCTAGTGGGGAAATCCGATCGACAGTACCGTCTGCTCATATTTTGTGAAACTGAGGCTGAAATCGAAACTCATCATATCGATAGATATAATTTCAACGTATGCTAATTTGCCTATTTAGAATCTGACGCGATCTCGTAAAAGAAAAATCTTCCCCGCGAGATCATGCTCATTGCGATATAGATCACCACTTCCTGTGCACCGGTCTTGACTGCGCAGGAAAAACACACGTCAGCAAACAGCAAAACCAAAACAATAAAGCGTGCTAGCCTGTGATAATTAAGAAACACGACCAGGCTTGAATATTTGTGATATTCTGTTTAGAAATGGACGCCCCGGGTCCGGGGAACGAAGCAGGGGCCGATGGAGGTCACGATATAACAAATGAGACCCCAGCATTTGTGTGGGAGTACCTGTATTTCCCAGGTAAGATTATCTCGACTTTATCCCGGCTTTTTTTATTTTTTACCTCATGCACCTGATTGCAGTAGGCGGGACGGGTCCAGATTAACTAGGGATGAGGGTGGGGTATTAGGTAAAAGGCAAAAGGGAAACACCCCGCCTTTGCTTTAGATTCATTTAATTTAATTTGTATTGGGGCATTATAATTAGTCATCAACAACGTACAGCTAGACCTCCAAGAATTCAAACGTCTTTTTCCTATTTACTTCTCATGTATGTTTTTTTATGCTTCTGTGAATGCTGTCAGCCACCCTGTATTACATATTTGGGTCCACATATCCCAGTTGAATATACAGTAGCACTAACTGCAATATTTTAGCTCGGTCCCACTATGGCGAGGAACATATATAGCATCCAGGCATCATAATCTCCTCTGAGCGCAGCTGAGAATTAATTACAGCTTTGAAAACGATTCGTTCGCGCTGCTAGTTAATTACGCCACGGAGTATTCAGGGCACAGACTGTGATCACTGTAGATACCGCCAATGGATTTTTAGGTTTTTAGAATTTAGATTTTTCATGTGAACGCAGCTTAAGTGTAATCAGCATAATTATCTGGCATACCCTCTCATGAAACATCTTGAACAATATCATGAACCACAAAGTTTTCTCGACTTAACTCTTTCATAAGTTACGAGGTGCCAGACAATTAAGTTGATTAAGTTGACTACACCTAAGCAAGAACCCCCGCTGAGGCGTAATGATCCTGCTTATACAATAACTCTATTCTGAAAAGAGTCATTTTCTGATTATATCTAGATTCTTAATTGATACTTGGGATGCTGTCACCTAGATCATTATACAAATCTGAAAAGCATGTGAAACAATCCTCTTGGATACAACACTATGGCTGCATTCAGTACAGTGGACTAACTGGTCCGGGGGTCAAATATGGCCGACCCACTTGAATACTTCCTCACGGGAATCTGTTCAGTGTCTATTAGCCGATTAGACAGCAAGCTTTGTAGTAGGTTGCCATATTTGACCCGCGGACTACGGCCGTAGTTAGTTCACTGTTCTGAAGACGGCCTATGACAGAACTTGGCAAGTGTCATGTCTGCACTGTAGCACCACAAGTTATCACTCGTTATATATATGCTGTTAAACAAAAAAATATAATTATGCAATTTTTCCCCATGATTCATGCATGTAATATAAGGTTTTCTGGAGTCTTAAGGATAGAGATATAGTTAAAATTAACCAGAAAAATATTTTAATTTTCACCCTTCCCAGATAAGGTTCAGATTTCATTTTTTTCCAAAATCCTTTTTGCTGTGCCTCTTAATATAACTAAATAAAATCAAACACCCCATTTCCATAGATTTTTAGGTCGATCTATCCCTGTGGGGAGTCTCACTAGATTACTGTCAGCTTGGCTGGCTTAAGCGTCTGTCCCGCCTACTAAAAGCTGTAAGGGGATAATTAACTATGGTGCCCGCTCGGTTGACTGCAATTTAGCGTGAACCCCCAGGGAGTTAGATTGATCTAAATCTCTGGGAAAGCACCCAAAGGCTTGAAGTTGAAAAGTAAAAAAATTAGGATCACTTCCACTATTATATATATATATATATATATATATATAGCTAAATCATACCACCACTGGAAATATTCATTCTCCCCTCACTTTCGTTTGAAGTTTTACTAGCATTTTTCAATATACCATCACAAACTTGACTCTCTTTTAATGACTATTTTCATTCACTGCATGGATTTTATTTCAGCTGTCTCTTTCCTGAAGCAATATGGCTGGTTTGTCATCCTTGGACTAATTGTGATTACATTTCTTTGGCACAAGATCAAGCCGCATTTACAGCAATGGTTAAAGAAAATAGAAGACCAGAAAGAGTATACAAGATATAAAGATGGTAAAATTGTTATGACTATTGATAGTATTTACATATATTTAAAATAAGTTTGTCCATCACATGTAAGTTAAAGTAAATTTTGTACAATTGTATTATAGTCATGCTTAAAAATTTTTGATATCAATACTATTTATATGACATGTCTTATTGGTGCATTTTCACCAGATTCCCCATGTGGAAATGTTACAAAATTAATAAGATTTTTAAAGATATATTAGAACATGTGGACTGTGTCATTCATTTTGAGCTGTGAAATTTTTTAAAAGACATTAAAAATGCTATGTTGCTACATAGATCGCCTTTAAGGTGTACTGGAAAACCATTTACTTTATTACTACTAGTAAGTACACTACTTGTGGATACATAAAATAAGCATCATGGTTACATGATACAACATAATTTATAAGCATACTACGATGTACTGCATATTGCGCAATTCAATATGGTAATTCATTAACACTATGTTACGAGTTTTAAAATATAAATTAAGTCAGAATATAGTTAAGTTGCCCCAGCCGTTCTCAATTTTCCCATTCTCAGGCTTTCAAATATTACGTATATATATATATGTATAATACTGTACATTTATATTGTTTCTATGTACCAGATCCTGATCTTGCTCAGAGGAGATTTGAAGCCATGGAGAAGTCAAGAAAGGCATTGCAAGAACAGCTGGACCGCCAGGCAGAGGTGTATACAGAAAAACAGAAAGAGGTAAAATGTAGGACTTACACAGTGAGCATCGGACTTCAATTTATTTTTTTTTTTTAAATCTCATTCTTTCAACACTTTTTCACTAATACTCTGTTCACACTACCATCTAAAGACCCCATATTTATTTAAGCTTGATTATCTGGTAAAAAAATTTGATGCTCTTCCCTGTACACACACAGCAAACTTGTCAGAATCCCACGTATATGGCACCATTTACAGCTCTTTTCAAACTCTGACCTTGTCGAATAGAGAACGATCCTCATACAAGGTGCACAAGTCGCTGTATTCAGAACAGCGGGCTAACTAGTTGGCGGATTAAATATGTTGACCCTCTGATAAGTTTGTCATCTATTACCTAATAGACACTGAGTAGATTCCCCGCAGGGATTATGCAACAGACATTCAAGTGGGTCAGCCATATTTGGTCCGCGGACTAGTTAATCTGCTGGAGTGAGTGCAGCCTATAAATGTGACCAAAGAACATGGAGCCTGTTTTTTTTTCTATATGCAAACTATATACAACCCGTGTATTTCTGATAACTAGAAGAGTTAACAAATCTTGCTATAAACAACATATCACTAGCTCTTCTGGCAAAGATTTTATCATCATTCATAGTTCTAATATGCTCCAAATGAGCTCCATTCTGATGAAGACACATTCATATTTAATGCCCCTATTTCACACAGACCACGAATCCCATGAATGGCCATGAATTGACAAATTTCACGATTCGTGGTTGAATCGTAATCAGTTCGTGAAGTTCTTAACAGATTCCTATATATTCGTAGTCAGTTCTTGCACTTCTTGACCAACAGGAATTGGTGGCAAAAACTTTGATGCCCCTATTTCACACAGACCACGAATCCCACGAATCGCCAGAAATTGAAAATTTCAGGATTCGTGGTTGAATCGTAATCAGTTTGTGAAGTTCTTAACAGATTCGTATATGCAGTTCTTGCAATTCTTGATCAATCGGGAATTCTTGGCAAAAATTTTGAGCTGTTCAAAGTTTTGGCCACGAACTCCCGATTCCAAAAATTCATAGTGAATTTCTGGACAATATTCGTGCGATTCCAGCCGAATCCCACGCATATTCGTAACACTATCGCACCTGTATCGTAACTGAATCGTAGAGGGTGTCGAATTAGACCAGAAAATTGGCAAAATCTCACGATTCCAGCCGAATCCCACTAATATTCGTAACACTATCGTACCTGTATCGTGAGCGTGTCGAATTAGACCAGAAAATTGGCAAAATCTCATGAATCCTCACGAATCCTGAAATTTTTAAATTCCTGGCGATTCGTGGTCTGTGTGAAATAGGGGCCTTACAGGATAAGTTGTCAATGACTTTGGTGCTCTCTTCTTTTGGTAGCTCTGATTTCTTGTTTGAGAAATTGCTGCCTTTAGTGGCTCCTCTACAGCTGCTGTTCTAAGCGCCCTTATCACATCTCGACTAGATTACAGTAACTGCACTTCTCTTCTTTACCTGGCAATAGTCACTTTACCCCTATTATCTGACAGTGTCTTTGTCAAACTATGAAAGCACAAATTCTTTTTAAATTATTACACTGTAGTTTATGTGCACCCTGCTTTGGGATTCATTAAACTTGACTGCGTTAGGATTCACTTAACTTGACCTCACCATATTGATATAACCTTGTAACATTGTAACAATCAACTTTATGAAAACGGATTTACAGTCCATAGTTTTAACTAGGTTTACATGTGTATCTTGGTGATAAAGGAAAACTGTTAATATTTTCAGGAAGTTGATGTTAGCTGTGAAAAGATGTTACGCTCATTGTGTTCTTTTCACATTAACACATCTGACCAAGAATTTACCTGAGCTAAAATCTTCATTAGCTTGGTAGTTGCATCATAAATGAAAATTATCAAACACAAGCTGAAAATCTTTCATACCCTAAACTTGCATCCGGGTTGGCCGTAAGCTAACGATATGAAAGATTTCCGGCTTGTGTTTGATAATTTTCATTTAAGAATTAACCTCAATATTATCTTATGGTTCCATTGATGTGTTTTCCTGCAGTATACAGACTTCCATATTAATCTATGACATGTTTTAGAGTTTTGGAAAATTTATATTTCTGTTGAAAGGGATAACAACTGTTTTTATGAGATCCATATTTCACAATAAATATATTTTAAACAACTCAAAGAAATATCAAATACTATTTTACCACTAAAATAGTAAAATCTGTGTTTGCTATCAGACCACTTCAGGGAAGATGGCTACTCTCTGTAATAATCATGAGAGATTATAACAAAAAAAAAAAAAATAAAGAAAGAAAAAAAAAGAAAAGAAAAAAAAAGGTGGACTAACTTTGAATGTTGGAACGTATTCTGGATTCATTGACTCTTGGTAAGTCTAGGAAAATTGTCGTTCAACCAAGGGAAATCCCTCTTTTTTTCCAAAATGAATGTTGTTATCCCTTTAAATTTTAATGTGAGATTTTTGCAAGTTTCACAGTGGAAGTCACTCTGTGTATAGTTCCTTAAATTGTATTGTTTTTACATAACCATAGAATTGCCAGCTAGTCTGAAGGTTTATCAATATTGAAATCTTCATAATTACAGATCATTTGTTTAACATGTTGCTGCTATAGAATTTTACTAGTTATATACTAGTAATGGAATTTATTTCTACTAAGTCTACTGTCTAAGTGTGTATGATATGTATAGATATGCTGAATGTGAATTTGTTGAGTAAGAAAGTGTTCCCAATGAAACTATCATTCTACATAGATGGATCCAACTCTGCAGGGACACTTGCTGAATGCAGGCACATTAACTGAATGACAGGCCTCCTCAAGGAGCTAAATAAGTGGGTGATTTACTTCCATATGCATTCGGTCACACTAAAATGAAGTGAAAAAGCTTCCAGAAGCCATATTTATGCTTACAATCATCTAAATTTGAAAAGGGATTTACAGTCCATAATTTTCTCATTAGGTTTGGATATGGTGTATCTTTGTGTTTCAGGGACAAGTGTTTCGTAATATTTCTTGGACATTTTTTTTTTTTTTTGCTATGAGAAGGCCATATGTTCATTGGGCCGTATGCATAAAAATGAAGCAAATACTTATAGCAGAAGCAAAATGTAAAAGCATATGCTTGAAGTAAAAAGTAAAAGTAGAAGCATTCACTTGGTTTGGTATGCATAATTTTTTACTTTTACTTCAAGGCAAATGCTTATACTTGGCAAGCATTTGCTTGTTTACCACCTATTTTGTCCTTGGTTGAGCACGGATACCACAGGTTATGCAACATTTTTAACAGGTTCAAAGTAATCCTCTGACTGTCACTCAGTGCAGAGGGACAAGTTAACATGAAACTGACCAACCATCTTTTGTATGGGTTATGAAATGACAACCTTCTAGAGTTTGTCCTCTAACTGTCAGTTCAAAAGACAATTCTACTAGGTACATGCAGACACATCACTCCTGAACAGAGATGTCAGACGCAAAGCAGAAAACCTTCGTTGCATTGCTTAAGGAGATGCCTGTTCTTCTGAATAAATCTCAAATCCCCAGTATGACACAGATGAAGACTGATGCAAGTGAGAAGTTTATTACGTCTTACAAATTAAAAAGTGGAATATCACTAACTAAGGAACAGCTCATGAAGAAGATCAACAACATGCGAAATACAGTAAAGTCCAAATCTGACATTAAAAAAACTGGCAACAAACCAATCAAATTGTGTGACTGGGAGCAGGAATTCCTGGATTTGCTGGATGCAGAATCCAACCCATCTTTCAGCCGCGTACCTGGTATGTTCTCTTAAGCAAGTACTAGCACGTACGCAACACACATGCAGCACTTTTCTTTTGTTATTTCACAGCAGATTGCACCTACAACAAAATAAATATGCTGTGTGTGCGTCGCAATGCAATCAGCAGTAGCAGACAGGCCATATGCATGTCCTACATTGCGTTTTTCACAAATTATATTTCTAATTAAGAGTTCTTGATTGATATACATGTATACCTAAAAATGGAATCGAAACCATTTTCGTAAAATGTTAATAACGAATAAATTTTGATGACAAAATACAAACACCAATGCTGTGACAGAGTAAAAATAATCCAAGAAAATTTATAAGGCATATGACATGAAACGAAAGCTGTCCAATAACACTGGTTACAGGTATGGTTTATTGTACTTAAACAGGTGGAGTTAGTGCTGTTGTTCACTCCAAACGGTCTACTGCTGCTGCTGCTGCTACCATTGAAGACTCGGAAGAAGACGAACCGACGCAGGTGGAAAATGAAGAAATCTCAGCTCCTACTCCTAATAAGAAACCTAAATTACCACCTCCACCATCACGAAAGAAGTCAAATGACCTACCTGAAACGGAAGAAACAAAAGATCTAACAACACATGAACTGCAACGCCTTGTGCTCCTAGAACAGTTGAAACTCATCAGGATGCAGCAAAATCAAATTGAAAATCAATAAGACTGTAGTAACCATTCAACATATTTGCTTCTTGTAGCTTATAGTGATAATTAAAACTTACCAAATTAAATTACACCCAGGTCCTTCTGTTCCCTCCATCATTCACCCTAATCCTGTAAGTCATGCAGAATAGCTGCTATCTCCCGTTGCCTATCCTGTCCCCTTCGGCGAATCCTATTTTGGTTATCCTCGTTTTCATCATCATCATCTTCTTCATTTACCCAATCTCTGAATTCTGGAAAGTCTTCTGGATCCTGAAGATACTTGGACACGTTGTGCAGGATGAAGCAAGCTGAGATTACTTTTGGGATTTTCTCAAGCTGGACCCGAACAGGCCCCTGCAGAATAGGAAATCTTCTCTTCACCTGTCCAAAGCAACGTTCAATGATGACACGTTCTTTCTTATGAACCTTATTGTAGGATCTTTGCTCTGGAGTAGCTGGATCTTTGAATGGGGTCATCAGCCAGGGGGCAATGCCATAGCCTTCATCTCCCAACAACAAAGCATCAGATCTGGAGTTTGACATGAAGCGGCCCACTGGTGAATTTTTCCAAATACGGCTGTCATGAACAGATCCGGGCCATTCAGCTGACACACTAGTGAATCGTTTGCTAGCATCACATGTTGCCTGCACATTCAGTGTGGGCACCCCCTTTCGACAAACGTACTCATCCCCATGTTGTCCAGGTTTTTGGATAAGAATATGAGTGCAATCTAGGGCTCCTATTGCGCAAGGAAAATTGCATTTTTCCAGCCATGAATCTTTTGCCTTTTGAATGTCATCAGGATCAGTGGGAAACTGTATCCAGATGCTGGCTTTCTCAACCACCTGCTCCAGAACATTAGCAAACGTCCTTGACACAGTACACTGATGGATCCCTATGTCCTTGCCCACTCCAACCTGAAATCCAGGGTCACCAATATAGCGGAGGAAGACTTCCATTCATTGTTTGTTTGAAAGTGCACCTCCCCTGGTTTCAGAATTTTCAAACAGAAAATGCTCAGCCATCCATGTAACATTTTCCTCCATAAAACGGAATTCTGCATGGTAAGAAGGTGATGCCTGGTCTCGTCGAGGCTGGTACACCTTCCTCCTAGGACCAAGTTGCATAAATGCAGCCATTTTGCTCACGGTCAACTGAACACTTCACTTCAAGTTGAAAGTCAAGGTAGATCTGCAGCTACCTTGAAATTTTGAAGCAAATACTAGGACAGTTTGAGCAAATGCTCAGTTTTATACATATGGTTTTTAGCATTTGCTAGAATGAAACAAGTAAATGGTAAATGCTTTTGCTAATACCAATAGCTTTTAGCAGAAGCATTTACTTGGGAGTGTTGTGCATACAGACTGAAGTAATTGCTTCAAATTTTTAAGTTAAAAGCATTTACTTTTTTTATGCATACGGCCCATTGTGTTCTTTTCACAAAAAAATTACCTGTATATAATTTTGTGATTCCATTAATGGAAGGTTGGTAATTAGTTGTAGTGTAAATCCTTCCATAATCTATGGCTTTGTATGTTCCTGGAAAAACACCATTTCTGTTAAGTTATATCACTTCGAGTTTTTTCAAGTTTCACAGTAGAGGTCACCCTTTGTAGTTACATAAATTATATAGTTTTAACATTAGGATGTAGTATTGCTATCTAGTATGTAGGATGATTAATATTGCAATCTTAATAATTGTATAATTATGTTTATCATGTGGCTACAATAGAGTTACTAGATATTTAATGGAATTTGATTCTGATACATATGTATAATTTAATATGTGTGAAAATGTTTTAGAAAGATAGTTTTTTATCTTAGCTCCAGCATGGAATGTGCAGGGATGAGATTTCTCCAACTATCAGCAGATTTCTGACTTTTTGGGAGCCAAAAATATCACTGGCCTAGGTCCCCACCCCCACCCCACACCATCTTTTTCTACTTTTTTGCTTAAGGGCAGTCTTGTCCCTTGTCCTAGAATGTTACACTAGTCTACAGGCCTATCCAACTACCAGACACGTCCCAATGGAGCTGAGATTTAATGACTGTACCCCCACAGGGACGATGCGTGGGGAGGCGTGTGAGAGGCGGAGAGACTATTAAAAGATTAGGCGGTTTTTCTTTCATGTACGCCCATCATATTTAGTTTGTGGATTTGTAGAGCCATGGCTCAACTCGTTGTGAATGCGGTCTAAGTATCTGCCGAATGGTGTGATTACTAATGTCATCTTGACTATCCTCGAAATTTCAAGGAATGTTCCTCGAGAAGGGTACAGAAAGACCCTCGTCCCAACTTTACAGAATCACAGTCAAATAGTGTTCAGACCAGTGCTTCAATTTTATGATTCCCAAGTTAAAGTAAAAATATACAGAAATGGTTAAAAATGTATTAGGAATCAGTTGTGATATTAACCAAGATTTTTTTGCATTTGGGAGTATGGGACCAAAATTTTGAACATTTCAAAATTTTTTCTTGTTTTTCTGATCTCTCGAGAATTGCAAGAACTGACTGAAAATAAACAAGAAACCTAAAGGAATTTATCAAAATTAAAGTCAGGACCCTGACATTCATGAGTTCCTGGTGGTTCGTGGAATTCGTAGTTGGTGTGGAATAGGGGTATTACTAATAACAGGATGGAGAGTAGCTGCCTTTTCTGTACTAGGACCTGAGTGCATGGGTGTCCAAGGACATACGTACCGCACAAATATTTCAAGTAATGGTAGCAGGCATTTGCTTGTACATTATCAGCTAATGCTGACTTTGTGGGGCCATTCGCTCTCTATTGAGTTCATAACAATTAAGATTTTAGATGAATCAAATTCTGGAACTTTTGATGTGGTAAAATTCAATAAGAAAGTGATGTTGTGGCCCCATCCTGAGAGCTCTTACTAGGTAATATACTAACCTTGTTGGACTGGTCACTTCATTTATTATCATAAAATTTTTACCACATATGATATCATGTTCCAAAATCTTATTTATCCGGACCATGTTATTGATTTGAATTCTACTTGATGACTCTAAGTAGAATTATTCAATCGGGTGGTGTTCACATTTTATCAATGTTCTTTGAATTTAACAAATTAAAAGTGGAGCCTTTAGTTGTAGAGGTGACATTGAAAGTTTTAATTTGTAAGGTTAACATTTCACGTGGGCTTAAACATTAGTGACCAATTTTCATATTATGTAGCAAATTGCATGTTTCCCATGTATTAATTCATATAATAGAGTAACTAATGAGCAGTTTATTAATGAGGGTGCCTAATGTTATATGTAATTAGCACTTGGCATAATTTATTAAATTGTGCAACCTGTTCTTATTCAAACTGCCGTAAGGCTATCTGGACCTGCAATGTTAAATTTATTCAACACTAAATGTTTAGACCTATTTTTTTTTTTTTTCATAACGAATTGTCTGTAAGACCATGATTTTTGTTTCTTGTTTGATGCATCATCATATCTTGTAAGTACTAGTAGATAGCCATATTTTTTTTTGTCTGATAATATTGACACAGTTCAATTCCCCCCCCCCCCTTTTTTTGTTACAGTAGCCAAACATCTCCAAAATCATCTTCACAATTTTTTCCCCTACAGTCCTTAGGTGTGACCTCAAACTTTGTAAATTTTTTATTATTATTATTATTTTTTATACAATTTTTGTAAAATTGTACTTTTCATTTTTATCTGATTAAAGCCATCCAAGCCGGGATTTTGAACACATTCTAGGTGGCACTGCATGAATGGCTTCTTGTTGAACTTACCTGAGAACGGTTAACTGGGGTAGCGCTAGCAATTTTTTTTCGCTTAGCCAAATCACCACATTTTTGTCAATTTGTTATCAAAATGGTTATAATTTGGCTAAAACATGTCAAATCAAGCCCCTTTTCTTTAGCCAATTTAAGTCAGTTTTAGCATTTGGCTAAATTGGCGAGTGTTAGCGCTACCCCAGGTTAATCAATACTGCAAAAAGTAACCATATACACCTTCCCCTGTCCAACCTGGATTGTCAGCCATCTTGACATAGCTATAGTATTTTCATTTAGCATGGAAAACAGTAGTAGGAAGGAATGTAACATGTTGGTTGCACCAATTTTTCACTGCTTATATTAAGAGAATTTGCATGTCAATAAATAAACATCACATACTAGTACATGTATGCTTTTATATCTTTTTCACTGCTTGTATTAAGAATTTGCATGTCAATAAATAAACGTCACATAATGTATGCTTTTATATCTTTTTCACTGCTTGTATCAAAAGAATTTGCATGTCAATAAATAAACTTCACATATGGTTTAATATCTTTACTAGATTGAAGAGAAAAAGAGGCAATTGAAAATTCAAGACTGGGACAACCATTTACAAGGCAAGGGGTACAGGTCGAAGGTCAAGCCTGGACAGGTAAGTGTCATTTTAGGAACCTTCGCTTTTCATTCCCATAATTATTAGAAGGGGAACAAAAGGGATCAACTAACTATTAGAAGGGGTTTTCCTAGGATTTAGGATAAAGGGAGTCCAAAATGTGAATAAATTTGGTCATCAATTTACAAGGAGTCCATCCCAAGCCAGCCAGCCCAACCTACCAACCCCCAAATTTTGTTAGCCGTCCATGGAAATATAGGCCGTCTTTTGAGGCTAATGGGCATCCAAATGTGGACTGAACAGCTTGCTGGGGAAAGTCTTGCTTATTAGCCAAATAGAGGCTGATAGAAACTGGCAAATATGTAGAATGTAATTCTTACAACTGTCATCAAACAGAGCCTAGATAGTAAATGTGTTTTTAAATTAACAGTTAAAATCTTTTTCATATATTATTTGGCCAGATAACTGCAGGCCTATAGCCAGCAATTTCAAAAGGGGGGTTCTTTTTTCTGAAAAGTGGACCTTTAACCATGAAACCTTCATAAACCTAAATAAAATTTTATCCAGAGGGGACCTTTTCCCTGCAAAAAGGGGGGTTCTTTCGAATACCCCCCCCCCCCAACCTCCCACCTCCTGGCTACAGGCCTGTTACTGTAAATATTTTTTTTAAAAATATTCCATCAAATATTGTGTATTGTTATTGTATAAAGTGAATTTTGTCTGTAATTCTTTTGCATCTAGGTGACTAGATGATGACTTCTTTTGTTAACTGAAGAGCTTGCTATCCAGCAAACAAAAGAATGAATGCTGGAGAGCAAGCTCCTCTGTTAATAAAAGAAGTCAACATCTAGCCATTTTGCTGCAAAAGGCCTATTGTGAAATGTTCTGTGGGTATTGGGTATTCCTACTGGTACACAGTATAATGCCATCACATGCCACGTTTTTGATATCATTGTCTTATGACGCATCCCTTAAAATATAATGTGACATTATTGCATGCTTAAAGGAGATACATCATTCCATTTCCCTAGCAGTGTGGGTTGTATTCATGTTGAGATCGCATTACAGTCACTGTGTTTAGCAAATATAGGCATCGGAAAGTGCTGAGATCAAGAGGTCACGTTTGGATTTTCACCATTTTTTTATTAACCAATAACTATAGAGTCTGACGTATTTCCATAAAATAAATGCTTCAGATTCATTCTTATTAGTGATCAGCTCAAGTCAATGTCAAGACGTTTTCACATTGAGTTGTATACTTTTGAGTAACATCTACAACAGTGCTCTTTTAGAGTGACAAAATAGTAGCCTACTTGTTACAACATTGGAGGGTCACTTAAACAGATACCCTTTACTTGACATGTTGCATTGCATTAACTTAAGAGTTCTCTTCTGTTCATGTTCTGAACATGAGAAGCTGGGGTTGTCAACTAGCTGTTGATGTCCCTGATGTTATTGTAGATTTCTGCCTACAGGAGAGCGTGCTAACTACCACTGACGTCACTGCTGTGACTGGTATTACAATGTTTTGGACACTGTTTGTCTATTGCCATGATTATATGTCTTTAGAAGGTATTATAATAGCAAGTAACAGTTATTTTTTAACTAAATGCATTTGCAATAAGTTATGCAAGTTCATATTACAATGTTTTGGACACTGTTTTGTCTATTGCCATGATAGTGTTTTTATAACTTAAAGGTATTAGCAAGTAAGAGTTATTTTTAAACTAAATGCATTTGCAATAAGTTATGCAAGTTCATAGCTTTATTTTTTTTAAACAGATTGTGCAAAGATTGACAATAGGGCAATTAAATGCATTTGCACAAAGTAATTTACGTTAACAGTTAGAAAATGTTTATTGTCAACATTTCAGTCTATACAGTGCCATTTTGCAATACAGATTGTTCAAGTTTACCAATAGTTCTGTCAATGTCAGTCTATTGTGATAGTTTGATACTCAGATAGTAGCAATTAATAGACATGTAATATGTACTGTAAAAGATAAATAGTTATCCATAGCGTATTTTAGCTCCTGCGCTTTGCTCGGGGCTGGTCAGACTGACTCCTACATTGATACACCCTAAAGATGGCGAGCAGTGCGTGTAACGTTTTGGCAACTTGGGTATCCAGTTCCTTTTTGTTGGAGAGATTGGCTTTTTTTCGCGCGTGTTGTCCCATGCTTTGAGATGTGTGAGTAGAGATCCCATGTTGACTAGTGCTCTCCAATACTTGTATGCAGGACTGAGGGGGGTCTGCACACCAGATGGGGCTTCCACCTTTGTAATCGTACTCTCTCCCTTTTCTCCAAGGCGTGGCATTAAAGAAAAGCCAAATCTGTCGAGTTCCTCATCGTTGCTTCCTGTGGTTCTGGGGTTGGCCATTGTATTCAGTTTATTCTGAAGCTGTTGAAAGAAGGTTGCAAATCCTTTGTTCTGGCTCGGAAGCTCTCCATCTGGATATACTTGTGGTTGATCTTGCATGTCCCCAAAGTAAAACGATGCTGACATGGATAGGTTGACAGCAAGAGAGAGAATTGACAGTATCAAAACCCACTTCATCTCTGAAAAAAAGGCACAATGTTGCTTTTAGTATTAAGGCGAAGTTTGGAAATGCAGTGATATAAGAAGACTTAAATATTTATATTTTTTCAATGTATATACATCTTCAAAATATTAAAAAAATATTTGTTGCTTTATTTATTTATTTATTTATTTATTTATTTTATTATTTATTTTAAGATTGAGAAGATATTTCTTTGTTATGTTCAGTTTAAGATGATGCAAAAAATAAATGATTTTTTCTTCAATTAAAACCAGGCAATGCCGTTTTGAAAGATCCACATCTAATTTCATAGAAGCTATTTACAAACGATTAATATCTTTATGCTTGTAACCCTATCCTATCTACCCATCTGCTATCAGGGCAATTCTGTGAGATTGCCTCAATTCCATTAGGCTAAATGCTGCCAAATGCTCTATAAAAAATTCAGTGCTTGGTATCATTCATTGTCTGTGATACAGATCTGAATGTTAGCACTGAAATGGGGATTTGTTGAATGATATCCATCCATGTCCGTGTATGTCCATTGAGACCCAGGTGTAGTGTCAGAGTTCTAACCAGTTGGGCAGACGGAGATTTCAGCTCGATGTCTTATTGTGCATCAGCGATGGAAATTGCTAGGGTAATTAGATAGCGATATCATTTTACCAACTACTGATGCTTAAATGCCATTTGGTCTTTCAGTCCCTGTTGATAGATAAGAAACTATGTTTAGTGCTTGTGTGGTGTCAGGCCATTGTCTGTCTGAATATAGAGAAAAAAGTCATTTTGTTTCCTTTTTGGGGTGAAAATGGCATTTGTTCATACTCACCCTTTGAGGAATCTACACCAAAATTCAGTGGACTTTGACACATGGCAAATCTTTGGTGGAGATTTCATGTAAATTGCATGAGACTGAAACTTTATCTTCGTGTTTGACATATCATGAAAAAGGTTTTTAAAAAAAGGGCTAAGCTGATTAATAAACTGTTTTGTTGAGCAAATATTTCATGCAGAATTGATGAGTTTTCGTGTCAGGTACAACAGCTACATGTACTAGAACATTACTTTATGCCGACCTATGGATTCCAAGTGTATTTCAATTATGATTATTTCTTAACCATAATCCTACAGACTGATCCAACCTGTGACTTATCTATTCGGTCACATATCAGTCTCATGCACTATACCACTTAATTATTGGTAAGTTGACACAAGGTTCTTGGTTTTAACTGTACACCGACAGAGGCGGCCAATGGATGAAACTTGAAGGTTCCAAGAGGGGCGCTATTGGCAAATTGCTGTAGTTTTTGTAAAAGTTCTGATTTGAGTAGCGTATATCATGAATAACGTGGATATTTGATTATCTGGACATGCATAACTATTTAAAATAAGTATGCGCCACTGCATGTTATAACAGTGTCCCAAACCAGTAAAAAATAAAACAAGTTTATGTATAAATTGCAAGATTATCCCTGCCATCCTGCAAAAACTCACACTGTTATTTTAGCCACAATTTAGCTTTGTTTATGATGCTTTTAAAACCCCAGTAGGAATGGCAAGATGTAAAAAGGTGGAATATTAGGTATACTTTTTCTGAAGTTTATAATAATCCATGTTGGTCATTTTTTAATACTGTCTTTTCTCTCAGCTTAAGAATAATTGTTGCAATATATCTTATTTGATTGAACTTAAATTTTCTGTTTTTTTTTTCTTTCTTTTTTTTTTTTTTTTAGAATTTTTATGGAGAGATGAGACATTCACATTCACAACGAATTCAGCACTTCATTTCTGGTGTTCTACATGGTTTTTCTCTTTTATTTTCCTTACATTTCTATTAATCTTTTTCAAAGAAACCTATTTATTCTTACCTTGTTTAGTGTAATGACCATGTATTTATTGCTCTGATAATGATGAGTTTTTGCAAAGATTGGATGTTTTTGTTGAGAAAATTAATGTAATTGAAAAGAGTTGATCTAAGATACTTTGACATGTTATTTATTTCATTTCCAAGTTAAACTCAATATTTCTAAATGAAGTTGAAGTACTTACTTGTTTCTTAAACAACTCTGATAACAAGTTGTTGCAATGTTTGAAAGGTGTGTTATCCCTAAATACTGAGCGGCTTGTTGTAGGTTACTTCAGGTTCCAAATACGTCAGTTTGAATTGGCAGGCACAGTTTTATAGCAACTTGCTGTTTCTGATACTGTTTTTTCCTTCTCTTTCTTTTTTCCTTTTTTTTTCACTGCTCTCTTTTATGTTGCACCTTTACAGTGTGTCTAGCAAGTGAAATGTATCTTTAAAACTTAAGGCTGTGCAGACTTGCCATTCTTTGTCCCTTCGTTATGTTTGGTACTATTCTGTATACTGCAACTCTTGAGAATGTGAAGTCCGTCGTGATTCAGCTTCTGATCAGTAATACCGTCAAATGTTACAAGCACACTGCTTTTATACCAGTGTAAATCCTTTTTTGTTAGCCTTTAGTAGGTGATGTTATGTCAAGTTGGAATCATGTTTATACTGCTTACATGACACTTTCACACAATTGCCGTAATTGTGGAATATTAACTGTGGAAAATACTCAACTTGGGTTGGTTCATTTCTGAAAACTGAAGTAGCAAATGAGATTGTAGGATTGTGAGATTGTCATGTCGTGGTGCAAATCTTGCAATCAGCCACTAGGCCTGCCAGAACTACTTTTGGCAGTCTGAGCTTTAATTACGAAAGAGAATTTTAATTTATGAATTTCACTGCCAGCAAAATAAATGGTAAATTTGAGTTGACTTGACTTGACTATCTTCTTCATGCCATTGTGGCAAATAAGGCAGACACCAGAGCTTGCAATGGTAAATTTACCAAATGGCATTTATAACCATGTCTGACAGAGGGCACAGCTTCTCTTATAGTACTAGTGCTAAGTAAATTTCTTTTATTGCAGAGTTTTCAAGGGAGAATGTTTCAAGGCATTGGCCGTAGATACACACCTGTACATAAAACAATCACCTGCACCATATTGGAGAGTGAAATCTATAGAAACAGGGATAGATCCAGAGTTATTCTCTGAAAGTCTTCCAACTTATCTTTGTTGATCCATCCTACATCTTTGACCATCTTCTGACAGAAAAAATTAGATGTCCATCAAAGTAAACTTGAAAAATTCTGACCGTCTTCTGGAAGACCGAGAAGACGCCCTCCGTCCTCTCCCTGAGAAAGGCATACTTTTATGTCTTGTTGCAGAAATAACTTTAAATTAAAATACTCCTTTTTTGCTTAAGAGTTAGTTTTGGTCCTGAATTGCAGGTTAGAAAGGGACCTGATTGGGTCACTTGTTAAAAGTTATGTTGCCTTTAATACTGACTCTGTCTTTACACACTGATGACTTGTCTCAGCTCATCTTGGTTATTCAGTCTCTGACCACAGGTGGGTGCTATAGTCTAGTCGGTTAAAAATCGAGGAAAAGGCCCCTGTCAGATTTGAGATGATCAAGCTGTACACTGTTATGTAACTTCCCCACCCCTTGAAAACTGGCACGTACAGCAGCAGAGGTGATTTTTAAAAATCTTAGGGTTGGGTGTTATGCCAAAGCTGGGCACTTAGAGTAGGTCTGATGCTGTGTTTGACCTAATCTTTGCACCTGTATTAAAATACGTTATTTAACATGGACAGAGATACCCACTATCCAACACCTAGTTTTTACATTGCCCTTCCAGAGAAATATAACAGGTGGGTCTGGGGACAGACAGTAATAATTTCAGATCACACAGGGGTCCTGTTTTCCCCTAGGGTACTATGTTATGAGTGGAACAGGTTTAAAAATCATGTTACTTTGCATAGTGCCTGCATGAATTGGCCTGTTGCTGGCTGTCAATCATTGACAACTCTTAGCCAATCAGTATGCAGTATTTTTCACACCTCAGGTCTTATCAAGAACAAGCCATATTTTTTTTCTATGCGAGCAACGTGCTTGGTGTCCTGTTGGAGCAGCTTGGTTCCAATAAGAAAAGGGGATTTTTAAGAAAGAATATGTTTCAAGGGATCGCTCCCTTTAATTTCTTACACACAAATAATTATTTCCTTTTTTCTTTTGTTCTAAGTTTTTAAAAAAATTCTGTCTTAGTTTTTTTTTCATAAAAATGTTAAAAATAAGTAGTAATTGTCGATATTCCACACAAGACAGTCATAATCTTGAATAGTAAGGAACCAGGTATATCACCATATTGTTCCAAATACTTCACAGAATTTTGAGGAAAGCTTTGCCTCACAATGTTGGATGTTAATTCTAGCTAAGAAAAAAAAAATAGAGGCTCTGTCGAAAGATTTGTTGTTCATTCACATATGTATGTAGCCCACTTAAAGGTACATACGAACCGAGCATCGGTGGAGCGTGGATTCCCAGTAACACATGTAAACCACTTCTACTAGTTTCTAATATGACTCAAATAAATTCGACATGCCAAGGGATAAACTGAATAGATCACTCGATCAGCCATAAAAGACCTTTAGACTGCTTCTTTCTTTAAATCTTTGGTTGGAAATTTAACCTACTTTCATGACCTACTTTTCTGCCCCATTGACATACAGCTTAGAATGCCAGCAGAAAAAACCATTCAAACATCATTTTCGGGTAAAATTAAACAATGCCTTTTGGTAATTCTCTTAGTTATACTACTTGAAACTATATGCTGGCATTTGGTTGGTTTTGTTGACAAAAAATTGACTTTGTATGCATCTTTAATGTTACACCTCATTGTAAAGATTTGAAGATACCTTACTTGAAAACAGGTATTGTAATAACTTTTAGGGTATTCAGAACAATGGACTAACATGGACTAACAGATCACAGATTAAATATGGTAGTGACCAACTTAAAAGTGATGCTCCTTATCTCCTGATGGTCTCCCCACCTCCACAAGCGCCATAGCTGCAGGGGCCAAGCAGTTAAACATTGGAGCCTAAACTTAATCCATTTAATAGCACATGCAGAGATAGGGAGACCACCAGGGTATTAAGAAGCTTCCTTTTAAGCGGGGTTGGCCATATTTGGTTGGGGGATCAGTCAGTTCTTGGATAATGTGTTTTGAATGCGCTCTTTGTGTTTACCTGACAGAAATAGCTACCGATGAGTTCTCTTAGAGATGCATTTAAAAAAGTTAAATTTTTGCCACAAAAGCCAACCAAATGCCACTGTATAGCTTCAAATACTAAAACTTATAAAAATACCAAAGGACACCATTTCGTATTATCCAAAAAATGATATCAGTACAGATTGCACCATATCTGACAGTGGTGACAACTCAGCCTCAGTTCACCAGATTTTTGTGAGGAGGCCGAAACGTGTGACCTCTGTTTCAGAACATAAGGTCCCTTGTGAGAATCAGTTACAGTTTCATCTTTATCTTGGCCATTCACACAAGTTATTACCACCAATTGAAACAGGCATTTATATTTGTCAAGTGGCCACTTTTAAAAGATGCAGAGAGAGATCGGTTGGTGGCGTTTATATATCTCAGACAATGAAATTGTGAGTACAATAGTTGGATAAGATTGATGTTAATCAGTAGACCAATGGCTGCCTTTACCTTGTTATGTTCATGACAGTTATAGGAATTGTGTTAGTTACATGATGATATTTCTGGGAAAGGAAGTTTAATGTAATTTTTCATTGTGAAAATATTTATGAATAGCATATAGTTAATTAACTTAATCTGTTGAAAGAACATAGCAAATTACACTATTCAGCATTTTTAATAACAGCTGAATTGAAATTGATTGCATCGTCACGCTAAGATCAATATTTACAGCCACTGGGAAGTCACATTACTACATGTTTTGGACCATCTTAACGTGCATTCGCTACCCAAGTTGATCAGCAGACTAACAGATCTGCTGACCAAATATGGCCAACCAACTTGATATCAGTACCCTAGGTTCTAGATTCCGGTATTGCCAGCTCGATCTTGATTTCATATATAACCCATATCAGCAATACCAGGCTCTAGCGAACAGCGGCCATATTTGATCCAGAGACCTGTTAGTCTGCAGATCAACTTTCTTGTGAATGCACCCTTAATTCAGGTAGGAATTATGAACGTTTAAGTGTGCAGTAGGAATGTGAATTAACATCATTCAAAGTCTTCAGTGGAATTTGAATATTTTTATATCTTGTTTTCCTGTAATTAATCCATTCAGATGCCAAACCCACATTGTGATGTCACATTTACCAGCCGTGAGGCACGTGAAGGCAGAAACATGGCAGGCATCTTTTTTTTTTTTTTTTTTTTTTTTTTTTTTTTTTTTTTTGAAAATGTTTACTTAATACACAGTCACTACAGTGACAAACACGAAGGCAACAAGCCCCAATGTTCAGTGTGGTTCATACATAAGTATAACTGAGTACATTGAGTTTCTATGGGGACCATTGGTGTGATTTTTTTTTTTAGAAATCGAAGGGGGTTCAGGACCCCCCCTGACACCCCCCTAAATCTGCCACTGCGTTTATTGGCTGCAAGTTGGCATTAGGGGAACTATATGGTCAGTGCACTGAAACCAGTGAGTGTAATGGTCAAATGGTATCTAACACAGATATCTTGCAGTTGCAATGTATAAAAATTATCTAATACATTTATATGGGTCATTCTTTCTTTTAAACTTGGGAAAGCTCTTTGACTTATATTGAGAAGTCAACTTTGCAATGTAGGCTGTTCAATTTAGGCAGCCTAAGTTTAGTCTAAGGACTTCAGGGTTTTTGTGGAAGAGACCCTTAAAAATAGATCAATTTAATATACAGTAATAAATGTGAAAGTATTTTATGTCTTGCAGCCCACAGATATGGAAAACCAGCAGCCAAAACCAAAGAAAAAGAATGTTTATAGAACATCTGGTAAGTGTGCACTGTACCAAAATGATGATAACATTGTTTTGCTGATAATATGCTTTGCTCGTCAGTCACAAGTTAAAATGAAACTGAGAGAAATGGTAGATGTGATGAAAGCTTAATGAATGCTTAGTGTAAAATTTATGCAAAATATTTGTATTAAATGAAGAGTTAAGGGGTGTGAGGAGGAGGGAAGGAGGGGCGACGACAAAAGAACTGCTCTTTTGGCCCAGAAGTCAGCTCTGAATCAAAATTTGTTCTATTTCCATTGCCATTTCTCAAGCTCGGACAACTAAAGGCAAAAATAACCCTTTTTTTCAAAACAACAAAAAAAAAGAACCCCAATTTCAGATTGCCAGCAACTTGCCTGTATATTATCCGTCAATTTACAATTAAGTTCTGATGTCTAGTTACAACTCAGGTTCACTTCAAAGACCCCCATTGTCTTTTACATGAAGTTTTATACAACACCATTCTTTCATTTATAGTAGTGTTTATGGTATGATGGACCTTTTGGCAACCTGCCCTGCCATTGTGTAAATACTTCAGTTCTTTATATAGCATATTAATCCAACCTTTTAACGCTTTTAACTGTTACAGATTCCTTGGTGTAAAATAAAGATATACCCTTTTTTGCTTCATGGAAACCATTGTTCTTGATAACTAAACATACTTGACACAGAGGTGACATTTCTTTTTCAGATTATAATCCTTTGATGGGTTCAAGTTCAGGAACAACATTCCGACCCCCGCGTCGTGGAGGCGCTGGTGGAGGATGAGGTTAATTTTTCGTGTACAGAGGGCACCACATACCTTGAAACCACATACCTTGAAACCACATACCTGGGAACCATACAACTGGGCACCATGTGCCTGGACACCATACAACTATAGCCACGTGCTGGATGGAGAACTGTTGCCAGAAGGAATGAAAAAATTCAAATTTGGCCTTACAAATTATAAATATTTTATTTTATGACAATTTTTCAGTGGTTTGGCTGAGAGCTCCATGGACTTCATTTCTTTTTATACCTACCAGTAGTATATAATTACAACTGTTTCTTGTAGTTGGTGTAAACTGTACAGGTACATGTTATAGATACACCACCAGTCAGCACTGTGTATATGATATATACACAGGTGGGAGCTCAAGTGAGCTCAATCACCTAGTTGTGGCTAGTGGTGTACCTGTACCACAGACCTATATTGAGATCAAGAAATCTAGGCATTTGTCTCAGTCACATTCATGTGTGGTGTGTGTATGGGAGATGCGTCACGTCTGAATCTTGTGTTCTTGACATTCATCATGGTATGAGCATGACTTGTGCGTGTGTGCATACCACAAGAATTTCTTTGTATGAAAGCCGTGAAAACTATGCATCATTAGCTGGGCTGTAGTGTGTAATCTTTCTCTTTATTTCCAAAGAATTGCGAACAAAATCTAGTTCTGATATTGTTGCAAATATTTTTCAATATATAATGCATCCCTTAGCAAAATATCAGGCTTGTTGCAATATTGCTGCAAACTTTTCATTTTGCTTAGGGGTAACATTACCATTCAATGAGCTTTCAAAATATAGGAGGGACGTCGAAGTCAAAAACAAGGGAAAGTTAAAGATTTTTACAGCTTGCATTTAGGGATCTTTTTACTATATAATTTGATATAAGTAGTTCGATATTTAGTTTAGTGAATTGATAAACAAGTTGACTGACCCTTTTTAGTAGAAAGTGATCTTCTCACTATAAAATTCCAACAAATATTTTGAAGATGTTCTTGACCATTGTGATTATTATATCACTGATTATATCTTTGACATTAAGATACAAGGTATTTTATTGACTGAGCACCCAGCCGGTGGTACATGCCCAGTAGGCATTAATGCCTTTCTGATTCCCCCCCGGTTTTACCTTTATTTGCCCTTCAAATGTGTGATGTTCCAATGTTATATGTATGCACATCCTTCTATTTTTGATATTGTGAAAATGCCATCATACTTTGAATGTAATGATATTATGTGGAAACCCTCTGTGCACGATGAATAGAAAACACGCCCGTGTAGCAGAATTCATCCATTAGTAATTTGGTCAATGAGTGAATTCTCTATGATACTAGTTTTGGAAATGGCTACCTAGTCATCAAAACTGGCTGAAGTGCCTACACAGGCTGTGTACTTGAGTCTTATTTATTTAAGATGTTGAGAACAATTGGGGTTCAAAAGTAGTACCTTGAGTGGAAGGTTAGTCTTGACATTTTGTCTTTTTTCCATATAAAGGCAAGAAATGCACTCAAAATAATATTTAAATGATCCAACTACATATTTCGACTTTCATTATCAAAACCATCTCACCCAGCAACCTCATGATACTCATAAAATGGTAGTTAGCCAAATGTACACTTAAAATATGACACAGGTGTTGAGCTATTGAATCCCTCAATTTTGGTGTGGAACAGAGGGCTCACTACTAGTAAATGTTTATTCATAAAAGGCAAAATATCAGGACTTGCCTTCTACTCAGTCTACTACCATTAAATCCCCTTGGATACACTGTATTTATTGTTTATGATAATTGTATTTGTTAAAAGTGCGAAGGAAGTGTCACCAGTTCTCTTTCCTGTTTTTAGTCTAGAGTTGTTTTCATGGACAGAAAATGAATATAGATGTAAAACAGCTATGTGTACTTTCATTATAAATAAATTTTTTAAAAAATGTGTGTAATTGTCAAAACTACAAGAAAATACCCATAGTTTTCTATTTTATTTTTTTTTTTCGGGGGTTGGGGGGGCTCAGTTTTAACTCAATTATTTCATTTTAAGTCAAATAATCTTCGTTAGATATTCGAGCCATATCTTATTTCTCTCATCAAAATTCACTTCAGGAGACTGTTGCTATATAAACTATAGAACATCATACATTGTAACTGACCAGAGCCCTTGACTGGATTCCCATGCCTAGATCAATCCACCTCGATCGGTCTAACTCCCTGGGGAGTCTCACTAAACTGCTATCAACTTGCAAGCTTTAATGTCTGTCACGCCTACCGAATCTGCTAGGGTGTAAAGATAATTACCCCCTAACAGCTATACTAGGCGTGACAGACATTTAAGCCAGTTAAACTGATAGCAATTTAGTGAGACTCCCCAGGGAGATAGATCGATCCAAATATCTGTGGGAATGGTCCCTAGAATCCTACCTTATTTTTATTATTATTACTATATAGTGATTTACCTTTAATTTCTATTAACTGTTCTATAAGACACTAACTCATTGCAAGTCGGACCAATAATATAGACTTCAAGAAAATGGGTTTGTTGAAGTGATCTTTCATTATATATACATTATACATTATTATGCTGTGAACTAAAGACATATACTGACCACGATACTTGGGTTAATCATACGAGTCCCCGAATCTCATACTTTACTAGTCCACAATGCCTTCCACAACCCATTTTTTAAGGATTTCAGATGATGCATTTCACATCATTTTCTACTGGTCTAAGTCTCTTTATTACCTCCATTTAGGAGGTTACGTTTTGCTCGCTGTTAGCTTGTCTATGTACAGCTTTGCAAAAAAAGTAATTGTTTCTTTTCCAGAACATTTCGAAAAAAATGTTACTCTCGGGTTCCAAAAAATGTGATACAAAAAGTTTTTAAAATGAAGAATAATGTTTTGGGTGTCTTACTTTTAATCAGAGTGGAGGGATAACGATGGGGGGGGGGTAANATTCAGCGAGGTGCGAGGGCTCATGCGGTGCGAGGGCTCATCGGTGCGGGAACGTATCTAGGGATGTAGCCAACACAAATGTTGAGTTTGTAATAAAACTGTTTTTAAAAATAACATCAGATTTAGTTATTGGTGTGTAACCTGTCCAATAACTAGATGACTGCAAGTTCTCTCAACAACGAATACACCTGGCAATACTGTGGTGGATTGGAAGAGCACTACTTCCAAGCTCAGAAGAATGAAGTGAATTCTCATTAACACTGTACAGATCCTTTTCCAAATATTCCTGATATTTCGAAGAACACATGTCCAGAAACGTGCTCGGTCCGACGTGACCACCTACAGGCACAACCGGTACCTACTGGTAACACTAATAAAATGTTGAAATTTCCAAGAAACGAAGGTCGATGACGGACACTATATACTTTGGGGCTGGCAAAAGTTGATACCCGATGTGACAGGAATTCCATTCTCCATTACCTTGTAGAGGTGACGTTCGCCCCGCATACAAACCTCAATACTCCGATTAACCCTGCGTTTGAGGTTAATTCTGATTAAGATCATTCAGACCTTTTTCCAAAAATTCCAGATATTTTGAAGAACACGTGTCCAGCAACGTGCACGGAACGACGCAGTCATCATCAGCACTACTGGTAGCGGTAATAAAAATTAGAAAATACCAAGAAATGACCTAAGTTTGGTGACGGACACCAAAAAAAAAAAAAAAATATATATATATATATATATATATATATATATATATTTTGATGCTGGCAGAAGTTGAAACTCGGTGTAACGCGCCAGAGAGCCCGAAGCCTCGCCCTAGGTTTTGACCCACTTATGTCAGATTAACCCTCACCATTCAGGGGCGGATCCAGGATTATTTGAAGGGGGGGGTCCGTGGATGTGAAGCGAACTCCCTCCCCCTTGGCGTGGGGTTCAGGGCCCGCTGAAGGGGCCCAAAGTCTATTGTATTTAAGAGGACGAACGATGTTATTTGGTACTGTTTATGACTATGATTCAGCTAGTCAAAATTCTAATTTCAAGAGGGGACCATTGATGTGTTTTTTTCATAAATCGAAGGGGGTGTAAATCTGTAAGAACCCCCCTAACCCCCCCCCCCCTACCCTCCAAATCAGCCAATGCACTGTAACTAAATGGAGGGTGGACTTTCTGTTTCACAGACCCTCGGTCTCGTTACACCTGTGTGAGAGGAATGCTAGCCTGCTAGAAACCGTTCTTCATTCCCCATTACAGTACCTTATACGGGTGACATTCGTCCCCACTATTAATACTCCAGCTAACCCTAACCTGTGGCAGTCGTATGGGAGCCCAGATTCCATTCCTAGAACTAAATGTATATATATATAGTGCGTGTGAGGTTAATTCTCATTAACGCCATCCAGACCTTTTTCCAAATATTCCAGGTATTTCTAAGAACACATGCCCAAAAACGTGCTCGACCCGATGCGATCACCAGAACACCCGATACCTACTGGTAGCGGTATAAAAATCTGAAATACCAAGAAACGAACTAAGTTTGATGACGAACACTATATATATATATATATATATATACCAGTACTTTGGCGCTGGTATAAGTTGAAACACGGCCACTAACCCCAATACTCCGACTATCCCTAACCTGTGCTAATGATATAGGACCATTCCTAGGACTACCATTCCTATCACACCCGTCTTACATATGTGTCCGGTCGTTTGTCGTGTCTAAGTGGCGGAGGCACTCGACCAGCACTCTCTTTCCCCACATCATTCAAAAACAAACGTTTGACAAAGAAACACTTTTTTTCGGGGTGAGGGTGGGAGGTTACTGACTATCAGGGGGTGGCCTGGAAGTGGTCGCTCCATTATCTTTCCACTAGTGGGCTTGATTTGGTCTTAAAGTGCAATTTAAGAACACAAATAGTCTTACATGATCTTAAAACATGAGTAAGACAATTTCTAGTCTGACAGCCAATTAAGTTGTCTTCCCTTACACATTCTCCTATTGTGAGCAGAGGTGTCCTCTATTGTGAGGGGAGGTATCCCCTGTTGTGAGGGGAGGAAACTGCTTGACCACTTAAGTAGATGTTAGATCATTTTTGATCTTAAAAGCAGATTCAGTCCATTTTAAGACTACTGCTGTAATGATTAAGATCGTGTAAGATCACTTGTGAACTTAAATTGCACTTTAAGACCAAATCTAGCCCACTAGTGTTCCCAGATGGTTTCCATTCTACCAGATGGAAACCCGTTCATCCAGCGCAGATCCATTATCCCAGCTGGCAAATATTACCGGCTGCAAGGACAGCTCAGCGAGAAGCTGCCACTTGTAAGACTCTTTAAGACTCTTGATTAGCCGTTCATCTCTTACCATCCGTCCTCCCACCTGGCAAAATCTGCCAGTTTACAATGGCCTAATGATCGGACATTTGGGTGAACGGCTCCACTGAGTCAGGTTTTTTGACAGAGGCACTCTCAGAGACAAAGAGAAAGAGACAGATCAAAGATCAGCTGATAAACGTATCAGGGAACCCTATGCATGGGGTTGTGAATATTTTTCTATCCCTCCCCCATCCCCCATTTTCAAACATTACCCAAAAATAAGGAAACGCTTATTATCCGTCAGATATGTATCACAGGGGTAATACGGATGTGGAAACCACCGATCTATCAATGATCATTATACCAAAAAAGCATTGGTAACTTGACTACAACTTTATAAAGACACCTTGCCATTATATTATTACTTCCAAAGCGTCATGTAAGGTATCATGTCACTGATAATGATCTCTTCGTATTACTTGTCATGAAAACAACGTTTAAACCATGAACAACATACTACCATTTATGAAAGGCAACTGTATGATAAAGTATATCAAAACAATAGATTTATAAAATGAAATTTGAGATTTATAAAATGAAATCGATTCTTTAGCCATTCCGAAGGTGGCTTCCAGCACTTCCCCTCCCTCTTCCCGCCTCTCTCTCTCTCTCTCTCTCTCTCTCTCTCTCTGGTTCTCTGTTTATGCAACAAGTATTTACACCAAAGGGAAATCATTATATACAGTCTTGATTTTGATCAGTGGAAAATGATCGATTTGATAGAGTAACTAAAACGAAGAATTGGTTATTATGTATAATGTCATGGTAAAAAAATTATTATTAAATAGGACAACTCAGAACAGAGCCGCCAGGGGACGTGTTTTAACACAGCTGCGCACTTGTTCCGTACCTTCCCATAACATAGTTCGATAATTGATGAAGCTTAAGTTTCTCACCTATAGGTGCGAAACTCAAGCGTCTTCTTTTATCTATCTATCTATCTTGCCATATAGACGTGACAGATTCGACGTATTTTTTGGCCTTCCTGACATATTTTTCAGCCTTCCTGGCAATTTTAGCAGCAGCTGCTGACAAAGTCTCACTGGGCACTAACTAGTTGGGTAAGAACTTGGGTCGGTGCGAATGTTCTGCGTTTTAAGACCATCAGGAATATCCCTGTATGGCGTTTTCAGACAAAATGTTCCGTTTCTTTAGGGCATATACTTTGTGTGCCACTACTTCAACTTAGATATCTTGACCTATAGAAAAAAATTACTCGTAACCTACTCATTGTGCAGATTTTTATGCCCTCACATTTTTTTCTTCACGACTAGTACATACATTTTTCTTGTTTTAGTTTTGACACTCACAATGTAATTTCCTCTTTATCCTTTGGTATTTCATGGCCGAAACATTCATCACTAAACTCGTTTTAATCTCTCCTTCAACTTTTTCCTCTGCCTTTCTGCTCTTTAGAGGGTTCCCAAAGATAAATATATCATAGATATATTTTCCTGAATTATGTTTGATTAAATTAATTTTGAACAAAAGCTCTTTGATTGTCATATCAAATAAGTGACAGTTTATTTCACTAATATTATAGACAACTGAGATATGCTACAGTTGATTCAAAATTAAATAGCCCATGACTTACGTAGTGGCCAGACTTCTCTGTGGACTGATTTTGTTTTAAATCATTCAACCATTCCAACGGATAACCCTGGATGTGTTTAATCAGAATTGCTTATTTATTTATTTATTTTTTTAAGCCCATGCTGTCTAGAGAATAACTCTTGCCCCGGTTTCACAAAAAAAAATTAATAAATAAAAAATAAATAAATAAAATAAAATAAATAAATAAATAAATAAATAAATAAATAAATAAATAAGTCAGTACTGGTGGCTAACATCTTTGTTACCATCGTTACATAATCACACGTGCGTATCTTACTCTATCAGAAACAGTTTTAGAGCACTCTCGTGGAAATCCTGGTCAACAAAGCCAGGTAACTGACTTTAGTTTTTTTTTTTTTTTTGCAAAACCGATATCCATATGAACATCATGCCAGTGGCGCTGGTGGCGCAAAGTACGGTCATCCTGCATGACGTCTGTATTTGTAACTATTAAATACAAATAGTTAAAGCACACATAAACCGTCCAAAATTATGTTAAAGCTACTTAAAACATATATTTCTGATATGCCACAGATAGTCCTTGGTATGCAAAATCACACGTACGGGTCTCGTCATGACGGTCTGACATTGACTTACTTTGGCACTGCAGTGACGACGTACTTTTCGCGCTAGTCAACTTTAAGGGTCTGTTCCCACAACTTTAGATCGATCTATCACCGCGGGGAGTCTCACCAGACTACCGTCAGATAATCCCCCTTAAGTGTCCGTCCCCGCCCACTACAAGCCGTAAGGGGCAATTAACTTTCGTGTCCGCCCGGCTGACAGCTATTCAGCGCGAACTCCCAGGGAGTTAGGTCGATCCAAAGTAGGTCGATCTAATCTATGGAAATGGGGTGTAAGTTATAGTTCTGTGTCCCTTTAAATTCATTCCCTTTAAAATATAACGTTTGCTAGTACCCCTTAAATAAAAAAGTTACTTATTATTGTATTCTCCAAAAAATCTGATTTTAATGTTTCGTAAGTTATCTTATTTTTCTGTGAGTAAGAGTACCCGATTAACTACAAGTGTCTTGCTTGAAGTACCCAATCTCAAAAAAGTCCACAGAGAACACTTAAACAACAACAACATTACACGCTACGCAACTTGAACACATGGGACTTTGGAAGCTACCTTAATCTGATAAATATTCATCTTGTTTGTGCTCAATTTTCCTAATATTCCCAACAGCACTATCGTCTTGACTGACCTGATGAACAGAAGTTTTAGCTCTTTTGGTACTAAAGTTAATTTTGTGCACAATATCTTTTAACCCACTTAAGAATTTAGAGGCATTTTTATCGTGGCACTTTTCATCAGACTTCCCAGAGTGTAAAGTTTCTGTGGACGTTAACAGATCCGAGGCAGGCGCCAAACTCGGTAAGTTTTTGTTTACTTGTTTACGGTTTGGTGAGTTTATAGTTCTACTGTGTCCATCATACAGGGCTTTAAATTTTTGAAGGAAAACTGAAGCTTTGGCACTTTTGTCTTCCTCCTGGGCCCTCACATCGCCAGTGTGACGGATATCCTCTGGAGGTGACGATGCTAATCCTCTCTCAATTCCCGTTGGTGTAACACAGTGCGGTCTAACACTTAACACATCTCCAGTATTAGAAACACCCTTTGTGGACAACACCTCTGAACTTTCACGTCTCATATCCAGCACAGGTTGCTCCTCGAGAAACAACAGGCTGGCGGAGGCAGACGTATCGGAAACGCGATCAAAAGGGCCATGTTTGAAATCTTTCACTGGCGTATCACAGAATTTGTCAATGACGGGAGGGCTGGGGGACCGCGTACGATCAGCAGTGGGTTCATAAGCTGGCATGTTCAATTCTTTACAATTTTCTTTCTCCAACAGAGGAGCCTCTGAATCATCTATCGTCTGCCTTAAACTCTCGTCATAACACGCGTCACTGGTTGGGGAAGCCATTGGCATGTCATCTTGGTAAACGTCACCAGCAGATTTTTCATAATCTTCAACTGAGTTACTATGAGACGCCCCTGTAGTAGGAATATGTGAACTTTTCACACCAGAGTATGTCTTTAAATTGAATGTTTCACCGTTTGAAGCAGAGAAGCCTCCTGCAGAGGTTAAGAGGGGTTCGAGTTCAACTACGCACTTTGCGTTGAGCCTACTATCCTGTTGTCTGACCTCTTTCATTCCAGCGGAAGATTCTTTAACAGGGATATCCTTTCCGCTGCTCTTTAAAATTTGTGCAGCATTTTCCTCTATTTGGTTGCTATTATGCACATGTCCTGTTTTTGAACTTATTTTATTTTTAGTATGCAGGATGGGGTCTGTCTGACAAGAAAAATCACATCTGTTTGTTTTTTGAATTTCTACATCCCTAGTCAAATAATCAGAAACATCCGGCATCTCTTTGTTTTCCATTTTTATTGGAGATCCTTCTGTCGTTTTAGAGTTACTTGCTGACTTAGATATTTCACTACAGTTCTGCCCCTGATCCAGCTTGGATTCTGCTATAGAACATGAAGTAGCTTTATCTTTGGGGACATCATTTCTAAGAGGGCTTGGCTTTGTGATCTCCTCCTTAATTTCCACTTTGACGGGAGATGTTTGTATGTCATTTGTGTTGTCCACTTTTCTGTGCTCTGGAGAGGAAAGAGTTTCATTTTTCACCATTTCTAAAGTTTCTGGGGCATCATCAGTATCCTCTCCCTCCACATTGTGAGATTTGCTACTCCCTTTCAATTCCACTTCTTTTTTCCTTCTTGCCCTCCTTTTCTTTGGTTTAGGCTGGCTGTCCCCTTGTGAGTTCCCCATAAACTGGTGGAAGGGATAATAGCCAGAGTGAAACCCTTGAAACTGGTGCATGTAAGGTGGTGCCACCTGTGAATAGACCACAGTACTACTGCCTGAGGTGGAGACCGGGTAAGGCTGCAGGTACCGGGCGCCAGAATGGTGGTGCTCCATTATCATCCCTGGTTGGGGCTGTGACATGGGGGTGCTGCATCCCTGTGAAACCATCATCTCCACAGAACCAGGCACTTGCTGGTTTACACCTGGGGGGCCACTGTTCCCACTCACCTGTGGGTGAGTGCTATTCCCAGGGGGGACCGTGCTATTCCCTGGGGGTGCTGGCACTTGGCCCTGAGACATGGCTGCCAGAGCCTGGCTGTAAGCCATTCGGGAGTTCATCATACCAGGTTGCATCATACGAAACAACTCTGGGTTCTTACTGGCTATAGCACTGGCTATGGCATACCCCTGTCTGTAGGCTGGGTGAGACTGCATGGACTTGGGGAAGGCCTTCACTGGACTGCTAGATGTGGCTGGATCAGTGGCAGTAGTGGTTGGGGCAGTGCTGCAGTCACCCTTCAACGGCACCTGGATGGGCGTCTGGCCTTCACTGCGGTTTTGATCTGTGTTTTGATGATGCTCTACACTTTGGACTTTGGCTGGCGTCGAGGTTGGAGAAAAGCTAGAAGTTTCAGCAGTTTTGCGACTGGTGTATTTCTCTACTGTTATTGGCACTTCAGGGGGAGCACTGCACAAGGACACCTTGTTCACAGTGACAGCCGCCTCCTCCTCCTCTGCAACTATATGTGGCAGCACTGTGGGATACAGAGGTGGAGCAGCATCAGCGCTTGTTGGAGTTATGGGAGATAATCTCATGCTATCGGCCAGAGAGGAGGGAATGTCTAGCTTCTTGTCTGTGGAACCCACAGGGTCTGTAGTGATTCCACTCTCCTGTGCTGACACCCGTGGTATGGTTGCTGAGTTAGTGGTGTGGAATGCCCCTGGACTGGCTGATGTGGTCACTGGGCTGGACTGGGCAGTGCTCTGGACAACTCCTGGAACTCCCCTAGAGACCGCAGAGGTGGCTGAGACCGAACCTGGCAGCGTAGTGGTCTGAGGAAAACTGGACATACCACCGTGAAACGGTACCATGGGCTGGACTGCGCTGGTCCCCATCCCAGGTCTCATGTGGTACATCCCTCCTGGCAATCCAGGCATACCAGCATAAGGATACATCATCATACGGGGTGGGATCCCTGCAAGGTGTCCTGCCATATGAGGATACATCATGGGGGGCATTGGCACCAATCCTGCAGGGCTCTGGGTTACAGATGGAGTGCTGGCAGTGCTGCTGGGGGAAGACACAGCTGAAAGGAATCAATATAAGTAGCCTGTACTTAAAGGAAAGAAAGAAAGATGACTTTGGCTCATTCAGAATAGGCGACTAAATAGTCCAAGGGTCAAACATGGCAACCCTCTACCAAGCTTGCTGTCTTATCTGCTAATAAGACACTGAATAGATCTCCCTTGGGGAAGTATTCGAAATAGATATCCCATGGGGTAGTATTGATGTGAGACCCTCGGACTAGTTAGTCCCTTACTCTGAATGGGCCCTACGATAATCAAAAGGGCATTTAACAATTTTGTGTTTGTATGATACAGTGAAAAATTTTTGGGGTAAGCTGAGTCACTGTGGAGGTGATATTGTCACGACCTTAAACGTAAATTGAGACATTGTTTTTTATTTATTTTTGGATGCAGTTACAGAAAAGAAGAAAATTCTGCGTCATTGAAACTAAGCAGCATGATCATGGTATCATTGTATCTATATCTATTGACATCACTTCTGGTATTTGCTTACACTACACAGCTGGCAAAACAAACAGAAATCTAATTTAAAAATTGCATGTGTCTAGCCATGTTTTTGACATTTGGCACCTCACGTGTGTCATGCAAACCACAGTACACCTGGTTACCTGTTCTGACGCATATCTATTTCGTACCTGTTTTTTCAGCCCCATCTCCTTCTTTTTTTGTCTTTATGTCTGGAAATTCTTTTTGATCACTGGTATCAGTTGCAGCAGTTTTTTTAGCATCACCATGTACTTTCTGCAATACCTTTTCCAGGGTAGACTCTGAGACTTTGCTGAATTTTGCATTGCCTGAAGCTGACGTTTTGACTTGACTTGTCTCTGGTTTATTAGAATGGGGTACTGAGGACCTGGGTGTTGTAGAAGAATCAGCATCAGGCTGACTTGAATCTTTTGAGGCTGGAACACTGGTAGAGTCTGTAGCCAAAGTTTCATTCACAGATGGCACCACTGTGGCCTGAGTAGCAGACGTGTGTGGATCAGTGGTAGACGTTGTTTCTGGTGTTGAGACACTCACTGCAGCTCCAGTAGCAGGAATTGATAGTTTCTTTTTAGATTCCTTGATCCCCACATTTGTTTGGTTAGAGTCAGTAGGACAGGCAGTGTCTGGAATGGATGGCACAGAGGAAGAAACTGTCGTGGCTGAAAATATACAGAAAATCAGTAAAAAAAAAAGAAAGGAATGAAAAAAAGTATTTAAGTTTCCATGGAAAATATGAAAACGTTAGTTTCTTTAAGGCTGTTATCAAATTTTTAGCCAAAAATAGATAAGATGGACAAGATGAAACCATTTCAATAAACTTTCAATGATCTCTAGGAATGCTCAAAACCATCTATATATTATTTCAGGAACTGATACCTTACTTATCACAACTGATAGGTCACAATTAAAGTAAATTTTGTCTTCACAAACTTGAAATAGTCTAATCTTCATCAAGTATATATGTGATCTAAACAGAGCCCCTCCCCCCCCCCCCCCCCAC